GCAGATAACAGGACCGTCGAGCAGGCCGGCCGTAAACCTAATATCAACGCTAAAAGGCTCCGCAGAAACTCTGTTTACGTTATAGCGTTACTGACGCCATATTATGCGGACGCTCTGTGTGTCAAGTGCTCGGGAGAAAAACTGATAAAATAGAAACGAATGAAATATTGTAATTGGATAGTCCTAGCCACTGGGTCGTGAGCGATAGGGATGGCTCGCTGGAATTTGCTCACTAATTCTTTAGTACGGGAACTCGACAGGAGTTGTTATGGACGCCAGTCGCCAACGAAACACAATGCAAACATGACGCTCTAGATTCAGCATATCAGGCTCGGTCAATCAAAAATACGAAGAATGGCGGTATAACAGTCGTAGTGCGTTTTCCCGGTGCAGAACGCATTGCACGTAGATAATTGTGCTAGGTCAAAAATACGAGTAGAAGGGCTACGCAACGCATGCTGAGCCATGTAAGGTGTCTGACATTTCTCAGCCTCTCTTGACCCCGTGACGGGTAAACCGTATCCAACATCGGTAACCCAGGCAAAAACACATCACCGAACCGACCTCCCAATGTCACTAGGGCCCACACTTAGACCCCAGTGTAGTGTCACCGGAACCCACACTACAGTGTCACCAAAACCCACTCCCAGTATCCCCAGACCCTTGAAGTTCATCTGCGTCGCTCTGTCTCCGCCGTGCCGTATTCAAATGAAGGCTCGTCTCCGCTCGGCTCGCCTCTAATAAACCGGGGCCGTTTGCATGTCTCCGGTTCTGAACTCGCGATACGACAGCCATCAATCCGTGAGGGCGCTCGTCGGCCGGGCGCGGCGCGATTCACATCATCAGCCGCCGCTCCCGGGCGGAGGTGGAACGGCTACGGACCCGCTGACCCCCTCCGACCTCACCGCGCACTGTTGCCGAGTTCAGAGCGGATTGGGAAAGACAACCGGAGGTGTAACTATTTGTGGAGTTCATTTGGCTGTGGGGAATATTGGAACCTAACCGTCAGCGGTACGTGAGAATACAAATGCCATTGGTGGATGTGAAAAAGATCCTACGGAGACGTTTCTTTTTACAATAAGAAAAGAAGTTGTCGATAAGCATTACCTTTTTTCAGTGCATTACCTTCTTTCCAATTTAGTCCTTTACGAATTACGAATTACGTTTTTGCATGCTAAGGTCTGTTCTTCGTTCAATATTTCTCTCTGACCACGAAATCGTCTCTTCCTTCCATCACCTGCAGTTGCGGCGCGTCTGTTCCAGCCTCCGGGAGTCACACCTCTGGCATCATCACGTCACTCACGAGTCCTGCACCCAAATCCGGCACCTAGATCCGGCAATCGCCAATATGGTTCCGGATGAGCGACGTTTCTTCGACTCTTCTCGGCACGACGTCTAACTAGAAAACGGCGGAAAACCCACAGCACCACCCGTCACCAATGTCGCATTCTGTTGGAGATTCAATGCATAATTGCCCTGAAGAGAACCGCGTCTGGTCGTCAGCACGCCTCTGGCCAGCTCACGATGCCCGGGTCAGCTTTCCGAGCTCAACATGGCAACAGGAGGTGGTTGATTCGTGTCTGCTGAAATCGCGGCTGAATTAAATTTACGTATCGTGATAGGCCCGGTGTCAGTTTCGGCCGGATTTTACGCTTATCGAGGTATTCACAGGTGCATAATCACGGAGACACGTGTGTCACGCTTCGACTTGTTCATGATCAACGAGTAACGACTGTCACTCGTGCAGTTCAGGCGGCTGACTGACTCAATGATAATAGATTCTATGCTTATTTGTATTTAAATGTGGCGCTTGCATATACTTATAAGGGCCGTGGACCGTGCTTACATATTTCACATCCTTGCCACCTTCATCTCGCAGCTGAATGCGGAGTTAAATACATATTTGTCTCAAAAACCTCACAGCCTTCCCGCCAGACTTCTTCAGCTACAGCACAGCCTGCGTGCATTGCGGCACAGCCTAACCATCAGCCTGCCTCGCCCGTCACAAACGTACGTACATAGGTACATAGTATGTATGGTGCTAGTGCTGCTCCGATGAATTCACACAGACCTGCATACCGATTAAAACAATAAGATCAAAGTCCTGTCCTTGGATACCAATTACTTTACCCTTAACTGTCTTTCAGGCTCTGATGTTTATAGCAAAGCCTTCTAGCATCATGATCTGCAGCTCCTCTCTTCACATCAGTCTTGTAAAGCATTCACTGTCCATCGCTTCTTTCACGAGGCCGTTCATGACCAGATCGTCTCTCCATCCTCCGTGTTACCTCGTCCAACCCTTGTCCTCCGGGTGAGGACGATCTCTGCGCAGGTACCTATCTCCAGCAGCGCCCGTACCGAGACGACGGAGCCCGAGCTGCGCGACAGAGCGGACGAGACGCCCACTGAAAGCGCCTCAGAGAATCCCTTACGGCCGGTCGGCTTACCGCTAACGCCATGTATTCTTATTAGTCGGCGGCGGATATGAGCGTCGGCGACACTAAAGCGGGCGTCGCATCCGCCAGCCGAGCGCCTTTTATTAAATTTGGCGGTTTGGGCCGGCATTTAGATGATTAGTTTGGCCCGAGTCGAGTTATAAAATTGTGATAGCGCCGGCCGCGCGGCGTCACATAATGTGAAAAATGGCGGCGCAGGATTAATGAAGAGAATAAAGCAGTCGCCGGCGAGGTGTAATGAAACTGATCGAGCGACGGACTCGGCGGGCATTTATCTCGCGGCTGAAATGAGCCGCCCACATGAATAACTGGTGAGCGGAGGCACAGTGAGCCCCACGCCTTCAGTGTGGCGTTCGCCCACCGCTCAGGCATATTCAGCGGTGGTTCAAAGGTCGTCAGCAATGGCTAATGATTGCCGATGACTTTTCAGCGATCAGTGGATCTGCTAATCGAAGGAGCTGATCGCCAACTTGCTGCTTATATCCACAATCGCAGGCTCAGCGCTCTGCTGCAGGCGCTCCAGCATTGCAATGGCAGCGGTGGCACCATTATCCTGTTTGACAGGTGTGATGGGGAGGTTCGATGATTGTCAAAGGATTGGTCCCGTCATTTTCCATGAAATCTTTTGTGTGTCCAATGTCGGTGTTTCTTGACATTAGATGGCTGCAAGTCGCACTTCGTTGCGCAACTTAGAACCTTCACCTGGCATCATCTACCGTGTTGAGCGTCAGCGCCACCCGCATCATGTTACCATGTCGGCCGCGATGAAATTCAATTATTTGCTGAGCCGGGCGGGCGGCGGGCACGCTCTAATGGAGAAGATGTGTACGGAGATAGCACCAGCAGCTCGCGGCAGCCGATGTCGGTGCGATACAACCGCGCAGTGGAGGCACGGCCGCCGCGGTGGGTGTCACCGGCAGCCCGCGCCGGTGTACTTACCTATCTGTCCACGGGCGGCTGTCAGCCAGCAGCCACAGCTAACAGTCAGAGAGCTGCGACAGCTAGAGACCGCTAGAGCTGCGACAGCTACCTATAACCTTCAGAGCTTTTCACAGCTGGGCGTCCACAGGGGCTGGCAGCCAGCAGCCATAGGCGGGTCAGATATGTCGTCAAGAGCAATACCATTTGTCAAAAGATAAAACAGACATCAATACTGTCATAAAGAGCCCGTCGAGTAGCGTTTTGTTGTTACGCCAGTTTGGCCGAGCTGGCCAGTCTGGCCGAGCAACAGGCCAGACCACCGAGGAATGGTATGTTTCTTACCACGTATAAACACTCGGCCACCAAAGTCGGATATAAATTATACTGTCCTTCCATGTCGACATTTATTGGTCATTGGTGGTGGCTGAGAGCCCACAGAGAGTCGTTAATTTGTCGCGACATTTTATTGTTGTGGACGCCGTTTTCGGGGTGAACACCATATCCAAATGTTTACAGCACAAACAGGTCTGGAAGCTGGAGTATGCTACTTTGTGCTACTTTTGTGTGCTGGACATTAGGGATGCCGCATGCCAAGACACATTTAAAAGAGTGAGGCTGTTTTAAAAGGGAAAGCGGTGTAGTGTTACAGATTACAGATGCCAAGTAAAATGTGGTCCGTTTTAACCTTTCGTAAGGCACTTTACCTAATTCACAACCAAGGGGATGCCGCTGTCCAGCTTGGATGTCATTTTTGCCTCTTTAGATACGATCAGATGACATCGATTACAAAAAAAAAGAATCGTTCTCGTCATGAGAAGCAGCGGATGGGACACAAATGTTGCTCCTCATATTGATGGAACGAATGCTCTCGTCTGCATATAGGGGAGTTCCACGGGTCCCAGTAGAGGCCGCTCCGCCTTTTCCCAGGTCACTGGAGCTCCTGCCTCCTGGATTTCCACGCGCCTTACTGCTATAAGTACCTAGGTAGGTACAAGGAAGGGGAGGGTTGAACGCCCCCTCGTCGGCTTCCAGGCTGGCCAAGAAGAGCGTCAAAATTTTTGAAGATGTTGTAGGTACAGTCACTTATTAGGTAAGGTCGAAGGTCAGGTCAGCAGAGCTGAGGTCAAAGACGGTCAACGTTCGCCTAGATATTCGACAATTGTTCTGACAAAACGGCGCAAGGAAACGAAACTCGGAAACGAAAAGGTAGGTAGATGAAATAATCGATGCCGGCCAAATGCTCCAAAATGCTCCGCGATTTTTTTTTCAATTGAAAGGTTTCAGAAAGGTGTGGCTCGTTAGACCGTCCTGCCATCTGCCGAGCAGGCGCCCATGCCCTGGCCTGGTCCTTGCCCTGGCCCCCATCTCGAAGTTCGTTGAACCTCAGCGCCATCTATAGTATAGGTATACAAGTGTACAAATATCCAAGTTTACGTCCAAATTTGTCTCGATACCATGCAACTTTTATGAAGTTTTTATTTTTTTTTTGCATGAGTAGGCGAATACGCTAGGAATTGGTCTTTTTCTGGGATAATTCCGTAATAGCATTGCCATGATTTTAGCTCTTGATAATTTTGTGTTGTAAACAATCATTTTTGAGACTATTGTGGCTCGTATCTCTGCAAGTGTCCTCTGGGACGTTTTGCGAAAATTTTTGAGTGTTTTTGTGCACTCCGAATGATATTATTTGCCATAGCTATCAGAAAATCATGAAGTAGACATCTATATAACGCCTCATCCTACCAAAAGGTAGAATATAATGTAATTGCTATGAAAAAGATCATTCCCTTGCAAGGTTCAAATCGGCCTTGCATTTCAGTCGGGCAAACTGCAGGGAGGTAATCTAAAATAAGATTAATCTAATTTAAGATTATGACGTCACCAAAATGGGCGGAGCGATGACCATATAAGGAGCGATAATCAATATTTAGATTACATTTCCGACACGTCCTCATTCAAACCCCGTGCACAGTGCGTTATATCATGTATTATGTTGCTTTGGCATATAAAGGAATTAATTGATTTCTTTATTAGAAAGGCATATTTTGTATTTTGGCAATTGAACTCTTTTCCAAAAATGTGACTGTTGTTGAATTTTCAATAAATTGTTCATGTTCCGACTTCGGAATGATCTCATGATGTTGATGACTGATATTTAACTTTTTTTTTACTTTAACACTTAAAGTTTGTTCTAGTCAGGTTTACAGTGTACATTTGTAATTTGTAATTGGTTATTGGTAACTTTGGGGCAAGAATATTAGGTAGGTACTTGATGCCTGGGCCCTGGGCTGATGGTCAATGCCTGACCAGATGGAACAAATTAAGAAATCACCCTTAACCTTGCCTATCAAATATAGCAACTTTTCTCCTATTTCATGTTTTTGACATTGAGCGCTTTTGTTTTGCGACTTTCTAGCACTGAGGTTTAATCTATTGATCTGCTAGCTAATTGTGTTAGCTTATTATGATTGTTTGATCTGTTCTGTATTACCTATTTTGTAAACAGGACCATGGCTGGGCAGGGTGTGAAGATCAAGTGGTCTGACCACCTCAACTCCTCCTGGATTGGGGAGAAGCCCGAATCAGTCTGCCACAGGGAGGCTGCCGAGGGTCTCTACGCCCGCCTCATTGAGTCCAAGGTGAGGCTTCCTACTCTGGAACACTGGAGGATTTAGCTGCTTGTGATGGCAAAGGTGGAATGGTGCTCGTGATTTTAAAACCTGCTGTCAGCCTCATTGTCAAGAATATCCTTGTGTTTGTAGTGGATTATGTTAACCTACTGATTTTATTTCAGAGGCAGCTCATACATTTGGACTTTATTGCCAAGTAGCTTATAGGCTAGTAATAACAATTGGTATATGGTGATGTTGTATATTTTACAGTGCAATTTTGGTTGTGATATAATAATTTATACCCATAAAGGTGGAAAACTCCTCTATGCCTAATTTCAAAATGCTGGACAATGATGCTATAGTTATTTCTATTTGTACTCTCCTAATCACAGCAATGCTACTTTCCCTAAAACTTCTTTGCCTTTCCTAAAAATGCTATGGAAAGTCATACTTTTGGCCATTCCTCCTATTCCAGTCAAATTTCTGTTCAAATTAATAACGACCATGCCATACTCTTACTCTGGCCTCTCCAATCTTAAAGGTAGTGTGCCACCTTCGAATGATTTCCCATTTTATTTTTCCTAGGATAAGAAGCTTCTGTTTTTACCTAACATCGCAAAAAATCAAAAATGATCCTAAAATAGTGCTTTTTTCGCCTAAAAGTTTATCGGTTTTTCGATATGTATAACAACTGTAGTAGGCTGACCTGCAAACAGGCGTCGGCAACAATCACGAATGCGGCGCACATGTGACAATAAGCAAAGGTCATTATAGAGTTACCGGTTACGACGTACAGGAATGAGTTATCAGCTGTCTAATCGTAGACAACACAATGTCGAATTTAAACTGTAAGCCTGTATTGGTATTGTTTCTTTAATTTGGCTGTCAAACATTAATTTATGGTTTGAAGTATTATTTTATGTAAAATAATTGATATGAAACAGCCGTCTGTAAAGTTATGACCCCATTTTACCACATGAAAGTGGCAGAAATGACAATGATCAGCTGACGCATTTTTCTTGGCCGAAGTCAGAGCGCGCGGCCCGACGCACCACCACCGCACCACAAAGTATGAGCAGAAGCCGCGCCCAAAGCCAGGGCCCCGGTAACGTGAGGTAGCCGAGTCGGGGCAGCGTGCGCTGACCCAAGCCGGGGCCGCGGCTTTGGGCGCGGTCTACCGCATCCCCGCGGGCAGCCCCGGGCTATCACATGACACCGGGAGGACGCGCGGCCCCGGCTTGGGTCAGCGCACGCTGCCCCGACTCGGCTACCTCACGTTACCGGGGCCCTGGCTTTGGGCGCGGCCTACCGCACCACCTAACAGCCGTGTTCGAAACCGCAGGAGATTATGAACGGGTTTATCGAAACTTGATTGGATGAGCCTATCGGTAATAGCGATTTCAGTGTGTGCATTTATTGTTCATAGTGGTGTGAAATGTGGTTGGGGTACGACCGACAACCCGTCGGGGCGAATTTCGCACTGGGGTACTCAAAATTTGAAGACTTTAAGACGTTTCCATGAGTTTTGAAGGTATGGATAAGTTCTAAAAATCCGGTTCTCCTTATCTGGGCCATTAACTCCATACGGTCCAGGAAAGCTGGCACACTACCTTTAAGATCTCAGTGACATTTCTGCTAAACTCGCCGTACGGTAACAAACCCTCTCCTCTCCCCTCCCCCAGGAGGTGGTCCCACTGCACGACACCTGCCCGGCCCCACCGACCACCCGACTGCCCGACTTTGAGCCGGAGAGCGGCGCCAGCCGGGCCGACCACGAGGCGTTCGTGGGCAGTCTGCTGAGTGCCCAGCTCGGCCTGGCCGCCGCCGTGCTCGCCGACTCGCCGATCTCCGGTCTGCTCAGACAGCGGCTCATCGTGCTGCGCAGGATATTCCACGCGCTGGCCACCAAATACCATGACGCCGGAAAGGTGGGTGACGGGCTGGATAACTGGTGCTGAGTAGCTTATTGATTCAATACCACTTCTTGTTTTTTAATCGTGATTAGCTCGTTACGGTGCAATCTGTTGCGATCGCATCTAAACAAGTTTTAATGCAGGTAAGCATATTTTTATGAATCAAAAGTAAAATGCCATTTTATTGTAGCAAGTATTCCTTGTACCATTTCATGATAGCTATTAGCTTTTACCACCAAGCGTATGCACACTGGGTCACACATCCAACTCCCTACCACCCTGACACCTCTAACGCCCCCCCCCCCCCCTCCCGCTCCCAGAGCGTGTCCCCGTCGCCGGGCCGGCGGGACTCTGGCCGGGTGTGCGCGGACGGCGCCGGGACCGGCTCCGGCGGCGGACAGGCGGCGCTGGTGGCTATGGGCGTCAAGACGGGCCTGACGCTGGTGTTTTCACTGCTCAGACAAAGCTGGGCGCAGCAGACCGGCGCCGGTGAGGGGAGAGCGGGGCCAGGGGGAGAAGGGACGGGTGTGGAGTGAAACACGACGGGTAGTCTTGTGTAAGACGGTAGGATCGTAACGCCGTTTGAGATGATTGCAACTTAAGCTAATGGTGGTCAGTGGACTATGAAAAACTCGCTATGATTTTTGCGTAGCCGAACGTAGTCACTTTTCAACGTTTTTATTCGCTGCTTTCGTTGCTGGATTTATTAATTATGATCGATCGTAGTTGATTAACTTTATGGAATAATCAGAATGCTCAAGTGCACCCGGCGTGAAATCAATATCGAGCTCGCGTCTCTCTGTCGGCAGCCATCTGCACGGACGTGCTGCGCACGGCGCTGGACATTCTGAGCTCGCTGCCGCCGCTGTCACTGTCAGACGACGCCAAGATGTCGGCCATCGGCCGCCAGAGTCTGGACGACGTGTCGCGCTTCCTGCGCTCGGTGGCACTGCCCTCGTCGTCGGCCGACGAGCAGGGTGGGTGGACCGAAATTCGACCCTCGTGACAGTGTTTGTGATCGTCACAGCCGCCGCGGAACTGTTTTACGTATAGACGAATAGTCACTGTTATTTTGCTGTGATCTAGTTAGTTTAAAGGCTGCCTCTTGTCCTCCGAGCAGCTGCTGCATTGTTTCTCAACCGTATTGACCGGTGTAAATAAGCTATAACGCATCTTAACTGCCTATCCACGGGACGTCTTCTGCTATCCTGTCATGTCCTTGAGGTTTGTATCCCTGCTCAGGCTGGTTTGTGCTGTGTACCGGACTATTTTTTCTTCACAGGCCGTCTGCTGTCCTCCTCGTCGTCGTCGTCGTCGTCGTCGTCGTTGCTGCTGGGTATCTCCGTGCAGCGCGGCTCCCTGCACCACCTGCTGGACTGGTGTGTGTTATATCTGACGGACCCCTCCCCACACACACAGGTCGTCTGTTGTCCTCGGAGCTGCTGCTGGGTATCTCTGTGCAGCGCGGCTCCCTACACCACCTCCTGGACTGGCTGGACATGGCGCTCACCGCCGCGGTCGAGGCCACGCAGAGGACAGACGTCAGGTAAGTGAGGAAAAGTTATGCGGGAAGGTGGACCTAAAGCAGCTTACAGCGACCAAAAGTGCAACTGCTCATATTTCTTTTTATCAGAACTCTGCATACGATTGCTGAATATAAAGATTAGACTTTAGTTAGGCGATATGTTACACGTGGCAGGCACGGCCAAACTCTGGACAGAATTACAAAATGACTCGCCTGCTTGGTTTCGACGTAACTATACACTGCCCCCCTACCACCACCACCACTAATAATAATTATGACGCACATCTCTCCTGTCCCGCAGCCGCCCGGTGATATCCTCCGAGTACCTGCACGGCGTGCTGACCGTGCTGAACGGAGGAGGTAGTGGCGGTACAGAGCCGGTCACAGAGACAGACGGAGGGAGAGAGATCCACCTACTGGAGGCCGCCATGGAGTTATTAGACAGACTGGTGGACATGGCCGGTAAGTAGAGAGGGAGGGGAAGGAAGAGAAGGAGCGAGGAGGGGAGGAAGAGGAGGCGAGAATGAATGAATTAATTAATGAATTAATGCGCAAAAAAAGATTGTTTAAGTACTTTACATCGCTTAATCGATTTGATCCTCATATTTCACTGTGTGATTCCCCATCATATGTTTTTGACGTCATGTCTTGCCTCAGCTGCAGAGAGTTAAGTCTTGCGAGGCTGCCGCCGTCTTGTCCAGATTTCCCTCATTGACCTCTCCCGTTCATCACCCATCCTCTGTCGTGTCTGTGTAGAAGAGCACGCGGCGCCGGCGGCCTCTGCGCTCCGTCCGACCACAGTCGACTCGTGGCTGGTGTACGTGTGGGGCAGCAACTCGGCGTGTCAGCTCTCCGAGCCCACACAGGACAAGATCGTCACGGCGCGCCTGGCGCCCGCCTTCGAGGCCGTCCAACAGGTGGGGCGATCAGAGGACGGGACGGACGGGAAAGGAGGAAAGGAGAGCTGTTTTTTAGTACGACTGTGAAGTAGTTATGATGCAACTTTTGAGATCAGACTTTCTACGTACTCATTTAAATAAGCTGCGATAAACGAGTTTAATATTTGTGGAATAGCATAAACACGAGAATTACTAGAGTAAGAAAAACAGCCAAAATTTTTGGAGAAACGCGCACGGCTTCATCTCTGGCATCCGTAATTTGAAAAAAGTTATGATTACCTGCTGATGTAATGTTTTTTTTTTGCCTGTTTTCCTGCAGACTGTGTATCCTTATGTATTTTGTATCCTACAACGGACGTACCCTTATGTTCTTGCGTCAGTCTTTTGTCCCCGTACAGATGGAGACGGGCCAGTACTGTTCGTTCACCGTTCACGACTGACCAACATCATTACTAGCCACTCCGTATTCCACTGAGACCATGACTGTCCACTGTCCTGTGCGTCGCCCGACAGATGGAGGCGGGCCAGGTAATCCGCTAAGATTAACTCATGTCCACTGACTGACCCGTCTCGTGCGTCCCCCGGCAGATGGAGGCGGGCCAGTACTGTTCGTTCACCGTTCATGCCGACGGCAGTGTGTCGGCCTGCGGGAAGGGCTCCTACGGTCGGCTGGGGCTGGGAGACTCGGCCAACCAGCCCGTACCGCGCAGGTGAGAGCACTGAGACAGTACGGGTCAGACGGGGGACGGGGGTAGGCCGGCAGCTGGGGTTGGGGTACTCGGCCAACCAGCCCGTACCGCGCAGGTAAGTAACTATATGCACATAGAGCAGGCGGTGCAGGCCAGACTGGGGGAGGGAACAGGCTGGGGCTGAGAGGCTAGGCCAACCAGCCCGTCCCTCGCAGGTGAGGAAATGTTCTGAGAGGGAGACAAGCACCTGTGGGTTTTGCATTTGACGGAAGATGTGTTTAGGACGTGGGGTGGTTAAGGACGGAATACACGATTACTCTGTGTAGTATGGTTATGAACTTTGTCAACTGCTAATTGTATGAATATGTATGCGGATGTTCGAAACAGCAGTAACTGCGGACAGCAGATTGATGGAGTGTGACACATGCAGGGTCCGGATGATTTCATAGCACGACGCTGACGTGGTATGCGAACTTAATGGGTCTGTCACCCTAGTCTGTACCCGGCGCCCGCTGGATGACATGATTTTATTGGACTCGCTTCATTTGGCCCGTGACTGGCCTGTGAGTCGTTCTGTGCGGCTGGGAATGGTTACCGCGACCGTGATATTGAGCGCCGTGAGGAGTCGCAGTACTATTGAATGTGACCTGATTGTACCGCATATGGTAGTGAGGACGGCGACCTGACCTGGCGACCTATCTGTTCTACCTGATCTAACATGTGACCTGACCTGACCTCCCTCACTCCCCCAGGGTAGCGCTGGACGCTCCGTGCCGCGCGGTGGATAGCAGTAAGGGCAGTGACGGTCACACACTGGCGCTCACCACAGACGGACGCATCTACAGCTGGGGAGACGGTGAGAAGGCGGACAGAAAGTGTGCTCGGAACTGGGGACGGAGATGGGTGTACACTGGGCGTCTTCGGTGATTTTTGAATAAGACGTGGACAATCTGTAGTGTATCACATTGTGGGTGTTCCAGATTTCAGTAGCGCGTTTAACATTTTTGAACTTAAATTACCGAGCAATGTTCTCAGCTCTTGATATCTTTGCCGATTCTTGACAGTGATTCAAATACTCTTCAATTCTGATTTATACCACGGATGTCCGACAACAGTGTCTATCGTGTACCGTGGACATTCTATCTCCTCTTACAACTGCCTCCTTTCCTACCGCCCACAGGGGACTACGGCAAGCTGGGTCACGGTAACACGGTGACCCAGAAGTATCCGCGGCTGATCGGAGGCCTGCTGTCGGGCAAAACAGTGACCTGTATATCGGCCGGGTATCGCCACTCGGCCTGTGTCACCTCTGACGGACAGCTCTACACCTGGGGGGAGGGAGAGCACGGACGGCTAGGTGAGAGGGGAGAGAGGAGGAAGGAGAGGAGAGGAGGGAAAGCTAGTGAAGTGGCCTGCACGTTGCTGATGAAGATGTCCGTTCCAAAGAATCATGAGTGATGTACAAAATTAGCTTATGTTATCTGCCACTTTAATTTGGTTTGTCGCTGAATGTATCCAGTGTCTCGAGTTACCCTGCCTCCCCTCCCCTCTGTCAGGTCACGGTGACAACACGAGTCGTAACGTGCCGACGCTGGTGGCCAGTGTAACCGGTCCTTTTCCCTCCCCTCTAACAGGTCACGGTGACAACACGAGTCGTAACGTGCCGACGCTGGTGGCCGACCTGTCCGCGGTTGGCCAGGTCAGCTGTGGCTCGGCACACACGCTGGCCGTCTCCGCAGACGGACGGACCGTCTGGTCTTTCGGGTCAGGTCAGTTCAGAGGAGGGATGGGTAGGGATTGATGAGCTGTGCTCACTCGGGAAGACCGACCTGGGACATCTAAAAAAGCATGCACAATGCACTGACTCGTAGAATATTATGGCGATTCCATGACCGCAGAAAGAAGCGGGCCTCGAGTCTGTGTCTGTTAAGTTGCTGGTTGACGCGTGGTTGGGCTGATCACTGCCCCACACACTACGGAGCGGCACCATGGTTGACCCTCCCGTTCCCCCGGGCGATAACGGCCGTCTGGGCTTCGGTGACCTGGCGCGCTGACCTGTGTTTGACCTGTTCTCTGGCCCCAGGTGATAACAGTCGTATGGGCCACGGTGACCTGGCGCTGACCTGTGTTTGACCTGTTCTCTGGCCCCAGGCGATAACGGCCGGCTGGGTCACGGTGACCTGGCGCGCTGACCTGGGTTTGACCTGTTCTCTGGCCCCAGGCGATAACGGCCGGTTGGGTCACGGTGACCTGGCGCGCTACTTCCGGCCCAAGGTGATCGAGTCGCTGCAGGGCCGCACGGTGGTCAAGGTGGCCGCCGGAAACCAGTGCTCGCTGGCCCTGACATCGGTGTCCGGACAGGTACGGACGGGAGATGGGACGGGAATGGAGGAGTGGCGTGATGATAGGGATGGGAGGGTTCGGTGGTGGTGGTGGGGGGACTAGACAGACTTAGGAGGAAATGTAGCGTGGTAGGGAGTCTCGTTCAGCCGGTAAGACTTAGTAGGATCACGTTAAAGCCAAATCTCTTCCAAATTCGCGGTGTAATTGGTCTCGTGTTTATTCACAACCACTAGCCTGAATCAAAGTTTTTGCGTAAGGTGTTCGTTCACTCATCATTCCCTCTGGTGACCCGATCTGACCCGGTGTGCCCGGCGTGTCTCGCTCACAGGGTGACCAGGCGGTCGGGCTGCGGCTGTGGTCGTGGGGCGGCGGTGTCTGCCTGGGCCACGGCTCACCGGACGTGGCCTGCCAGCGGCCGGCGCTGGTCGAGATCCTCTGTGACCTCCAGGTCACTGACTTCTCACTTGGTGACTCGCACTGCCTAGCGCTCACAAAGGTAACGAGAGTGATCAGTGGGCAGCACAGGGGGACTGGCTGGGGAGTACGTGGCGTGATTTTTGCCTGTGTTCCTGAAAACTCTTGAGTAGGACGTGGTGTGGAATTTTCCATTCGTTATGCTTGCATTAAGTTTTCTGTAACAAAGTTCGGCTCAAGTATCTGATTACTCTGCTTCAACCCCCTCTACCAATTGTCATCACTTCACCCTCATGTCCTGCCGTTTTTTCGCAGGACCACGTGGTGTACGCGTGGGGTAACAACTCGATGGGCCAGTGCGGTCTGGGCCACACCACCACGCCCGTGTGGCGGCCGCAGAGGGTGCTTGGCCTGGACGGTGTGCCCGTACAGCAGGTATCGGCCGGCACCAGTCACAGCTGCGCCTGGACAGCGCCGCCCCGAGACAGGTGCGTGTGTGGGGACGGGAGGTCGGGCGGGGGGATACGTGGGACAGTGGTATCTCAGGGACGACCGCGGAGGGATGGGATGAGTCAGGTGCCATCGTGGAGGGATATGAGGACCGTCCTGGTACTGGTGGGTGGTTTGTATGCCTCTCGTTCGCCGTAGCGGGCTTAACAGATTCTCTTCACCGTTAGTGGAGATTTATAAACACTGCTTGACCGGCCAGTTCTTCGTCAGAGGTATCCTTATTCCTTGGTAAGGATACGGTAAATTCCTTGGTAAGGATACAGTAAGGATAGAAGACGTATGGATTCCTTATTTCTTCTGTGAGTGCCTCTCTGTGTATATTTGTGCCCTCGTGTGTGACTTCGTCTCTCCGCCGTCATCCCTCAGACAGGCGAGCTCGCTGAGCCGGCCGTACTGTGTCAGTCTGGAGGAGAGCACCTTCTCACTGCTGAGGGCCTTCCTGGAGCGCTACTGCCACGGCTTCGACCGGCCCGCGCCGCCGCCGCCCTTCACATCATCAGAGTGAGTGAACGGAACTGGTCGGGGTAGAATAGTGGGATGGTGGCGATACTTACTAGGGCTGGTGTGCTGAAATGTTGGGTAGAATGGGCCAGTGAGCTGGGAGCTACTGGAGGACAATATGTATTTGAACTGGCACTGTACCACTGTGCCATCGCGTCTACTCAAGTATGCGGCCACGCCGATCCACAAAATATGTTCCCTTCACTGGCCGCTGGTCTACCAATTAACACCCCTCTGTTACAACCGCCCTAACCCCCTTTGCGTCTCCGCACAGGCGCCACCAGCGTTTTCTGCTGGCCTGCCTGCGGCTACTGCACACCCACCTTTCGCTGGCGATCGGCAGCGGTCTGGACACTGCCAGTATGGGCGCTCAGGCCGGCGCGCTGCGGACACTCCTCTTCAGGTAAGACGGGATGGCTGGTGTGATGTAACACCTAGTCACAGTGCCGGGTGGATATGTCAATGAAATGTAAGAAATGCGATGGAGCTATAGCTATAACAAACATCCTTCCCTCTTTCAAGTTCATCGACACCAGTATGCCCACGGAGCTCCATGAGGCGGTTCGCCCTGACTCTCCCTCTCTAACACCCCTCCCTCTCTCAGGCTGATCGACACCAGTATGCCGGCGGAGCTCCAGGAGGCGGTTCGCTCTGACTCTCTTCCTCTCTAACACCCCTCCCTCCTCCCAGGTTGATCGACACCAGCATGCCGGCGGAGCTGCAGAAGGCGGTCCGCTCTGCGCTCCGGACCGGCGCTCCGCTCCTCCTACCGCCACTGCGGGAGAGGATGGAGATCCTCCACTCGCTGCTGCCGCAGGGACCCGGCTCTGGCGGTGCGCGGCTCACAGACGGACAGGTGAGTCAGATTGGGTGGGGGAGGAGGGACTGAGGTTTGAGATGGTTGTGGTGTTTAAATTGAGTGTACCTATGTGTGTTGTGTGTGTGTGAGGAGGGAGGCTCAAATGATCGTCTGGAGGAGATGGGATCATAATGTGTAGTGGACGTTTACGACCAGCAAATAATTCATACATTATAGGATGCCATACTCTCTAAAAACATCCATGAATCCCCAAGAAGTCGCCAGTCCCTTAGTAACTACCTTCTCTGCTCCGTGCAGGAGCTGCAGCTCAGCATGATTCTGACCTCGCTGGAGGAGCACACCCACGTGGCCGCCCTGCTCGGGTACGGCGCCTCCAGTCCGCCGGCCTCAGCCGCGCCCGCCGACCCCGCCGTCGCCCTGCTGCTCATGAAAACGCTGCTCAGAAACGTCGGATTCGCCACGGTGGGTGCTGAATAAAGGATTGGTAGAGTATTGGTGCGATTTTGAAGACATTTTGTGTGTTTCATATGAACTGAGTTAAATGCTTACATGCAAGGACCTCAATGCCGATTCCGTCACCGCCAAGCGTCCAAATAAACTTCTATAACAGCCGATAGAATAATTTTGTCTAAAATATAGCCGACTCTGCTACCAGTGTCTTAAAAAGACACAACTGTGTTCTGTATGACCCCGGTCGACTGATTCCCTTATTCCTGATCCTAGGAGCGGTGGCTGGAGCGTCTGGAGCGCTCCGTACCGGGCGGGGAGTCCACAGACGGCTCCACGGACCACTCACTGCACCTGGGAGCGCTGCTGATGTCGCTGCAGAGTCACCTGCTGGCCTTCTGCTACACGGCATCGGGAAACGTCGACAGTCAGGAGGTGAGTCTGGTGGGGTTGGGGGGGGGGGGGGTCCCGAGGGCAGTGAATGGGCTGGGATGGTGATGCGTTCCAGCTTAATCCGCCGACTTTAATGTTTGAGGAAATATGAAATTCGTTCGTCCGCTCTTCCGTTCTTTCGGTCGCACTTCCTTTCGTTTATGATAGCTCATTCATTTTCATGCTTTCATTCATTCATTCATTTTTCATTCATTTATTGCGTCTTCCATTCGTTTATTTATGAATCTCACAATCCAATTCTTCTGTTATTTCCAGTACAAGAGCAGCACGGCGCTGCTGCAGAGTCACCTCTCACTGCTGTTTCCACTGGCTCGGGAGGCGGCCGGACGCGCCCTGACCGTCCTCTCACTGCGACCAGAGGTCTCCACAGCCGCCAGAGGTACGGGAGGGTCTCAGAGAGTCGCGAGTTTTATGTTGGAAATGTGCTTACGGCTAACATTTCATAGCGAGTTATTAAAGGATGTTCAAAAAGTGAATTCAAACGCCAATCACCCTTTTCACGTTCGTGTGAAAATATGACACTGCTGTTCTAAATCGTTTGTATCTAGCTAGTTTTGTAGCCTATCTATGTACGTTTTAGGTGACAGACCATATGTTACGGCTTGTTCATCACGCCTTCTCTCCCCGTTCAGAGTGTCTGCTGCAGTCGGCGTGCGGCTCGATGCTCTCCAAGGTGGTGCACTCGCTGCTACTGCTGCCCGTCAGCCTGATCTGCTCCCTGCTGGGACACCTGACGGCCCTGCTGCCCGCTGTGGACGCCCTGGTCAGACTCACCGCCGCCGTGCCGGGGGAGGAGACGACGGGTGAGCGAGGGGGGGAGAGGGAGAGAGAGAGAGAGAGAGAGAGAGAGAGAGAGAGAGAGAGAGAGAGAGAGAGAGAGAGAGAGGGGGGTAGGGAGAGTGAGCCTCATTGGTGGGGAAGGGTCGCTATAGGGAGAGGGCAGGGCGTTCTTTAGAGTTGCAGTACAACTGGTAAGGGCGAGAGAATTAGACGGAGATCAGGGGAGCTGGTAGAGGACGCAGTGGATGTCACAATGTCCCAAAATTTGTCAATTTGGGTGGGAAACGACATCCAAATGAAATTCATTTTCCACTCTCACCACCAATTTTTAAGAACAATTTTCCACTCCCAACCAAGAAAACCTAGATTTTTTACCTATAGAAAGAGCAGTTATGTGGATGCCCGGTTTAGCACCAAGCATCCTACACCTTCGAATAAAATGCATGTTTTTTTGTCGTTTTTCACTCTTTTTGGATCTAATTGAATCAGCAATTTTTCACTCTCGCCCCTCTTTTTGGTGGGTAATTTTCCCCTCCGACACCCAAGACAAAACTCATTTTTGGGACACTGGTGGATGATATATGAATTTACGAAGGTCTGATGTAGTGAAATAGCGAGCGATATTTAAGTTCGGTAGTCGTTAAACGGTCGATCTATCGTCTCTCCACAGACGGTTGGCAGTGGCTGTCTGACGCGGAGCAGGCCTGCGGTCTGCTGGTGGGCCGCTGTCTGGGCGGCCTGCTGGCCGGACCGCCGGTACTGGCCGAGGAGACCGACACGGCCCGCTGGCTGTCCAGCCCGTTGCTCAGCCGCGGACTGCAGGCGGACGGAGAACAAATCGGTACGGAGCAGACTGACCGGCTGACGGGCCGCGGGCTTTGGTCAACTGGTTTTAGGTTGTGTCGATTGTTTTATTTTTATCATTATTTTTGTGGCTGGTTGTGAGAATGAGCAGTGCGGATTTCGCACTGTGTAATGTCAAAAACTATGTGTGGTGTTTCAATTGAATTTGACCAATTTAATTGTGGTGTGAAGCGCGGCTGTTCGAATGTTTAAAACGTGGCGATATTTCTTGCGTTGAATTTGGTGCCAAACAGAGCTCCAGCCCCCGAGTTTTGGGCTGGAGTTTATGCGGGCACCTAGAGCAGTCATTCAGCGGCGGGTCACAGACACGGGGCTACCGTGAGCTCAGGCTTCCCTGCTCCTCCCGCTGCACACAGTTCGTCTTTCTTCTGCTCTGATGATAAACTAAAGCTGAGCCTCATAATTGGCGGTGACCATAAGTTTTCAATCTGAGCTCATGTCGTGTAATTGTAACGACACGCCCACCTGCTATTCAGTCCGCTGACAGTGACAGTGTGTATGTGTCGGTGTGCTGCCCCCAGGCGGTTGCCTGTCGGCGCTGCTGACCTGTGTGACCCGGGACGGCCAGCTGACGGACGAGGTCAGTGTCGGACAGCTGAGCAGACTGCTGGACACCGTCTCCTGGTGGAGCGACCCAGAGCGGGTGGCACTCGTGGCCGCCATCGGATTCGGTGAGTGCTGAGAGGGGCATCGTTTCTTTTCCGTGATTCGGCAAGTGTTGTTAAGGCCTTTGCTGCTCGTGGTGATTCGATTAGGGATAACCGGTCCCGTCCCATTTCGCAACCTTTGGAGTGATTCAATATTCATTCACCCCGATGCCGTATAAGAAAAGAATATAAACTTTCCAGTCATCTCAATGCGACTGTCCTTTCATTTTGGCGCTGCAAAGCGAGCCGCGCCGAAATATCTTAACTCATTACCTTGATGTACTCTTCTGTACCTCACAGACAAGCAGGAGTACGTGTACGAGGAGCAGTGTACTGAGTGACCGGTAACTGTACTCTGTTGTACCCCGCTGTACCTCACAGACAAGCAGGAGTACGTGTACGAGGAGCTGTACCCAGTAACCTGTATCTGTACCCCACTGTACCTCTCAGACAAGCAGGAGTACGTGTACGAGGAGCTGTACGAGTACGGGCTGGCCGAGGGCCTGGAGCCGGCACCGGAGGACCTGCCGCGCACGGCCGAGCTCGTCTGCCGGCTGCTGCTCGTCACGCTGCTCAGACACGCCGGGTGTGATACGGCATCAGTACAGCACGCCAGGTTAGTGTCAGGGAGGTGTATGACCTTGTCACGCTGCTGAGGCATGCCGGCTGTGACACGGGATCAGTGCAGTGCGCCAGGTGGGAAACGAGGGATGGTAATAGTCGGTATAGTAGAGGTATAGTAGTGGTAATAGTAGAGGTGTCAGAAGTTGCAGGCTGGTGTGTGAGACTCGTCGCTTGACACTTTATATAGCTTTGAAAAAATTAGTTACCTGTTTGCCTTTAAGCTACTGCGCAGCATGTTCATTGTTCATGTTGTCCGGCTCCTTACAAAAAATACATCGCCTTCGGCTTCCTCACCCACCCATGCATCGGCTTCCTCATTAATTGGATGTCTCACAAGTGTCCCGGTCTGTTACAGGCGCCAGGACATGGAGGTGATTTACGAGACGGTGTACCGGGTGCGGCACGAGCTGATGGGACACTACGCCGCCGAGAGCGCCGCGCCCCGAACAGACCGTGAGTACTGAGTAACTCACACAGGGAACAGTGATAGGGCCGGGCTGAGACGGTGTACCGGGTGCGGCACGAGCTGATGGGACACTACGCCGCCGAGAGCGCCGCGCCGCGTGCAGACCGTGAGTACTCACACAGGGAACAGTGATAGGGGCGGGCTGAGACGGTGTACCGGGTGCGGCACGAGCTGATGGGACACTACGCCGCCGAGAGCGCCGCGCCGCGTGCAGACCGTGAGTACTCACACAGGGAACAGTGTCCGGGCTGGCCGGCTGCGGCCGGACTAGGGTGTGGGATGTGTTAACTGAGCTGCGTATGTCAAAATGGTGCCAAACAGAGCCCCAGCTCTCAAGTACTGAGCTGGGGTTTATGCGGGCACCTAGAGCATCCTCCGCAAGATCCAGCCAAGGGGGACGCCCTGAGTCACCGGCGTCCCCCGCGTCACTCGCGGTACAAAACTCTCCCTTCCCTCAACTATGATGAACATTCACACTGAGCCGAAACACCGGCTGTGACCATAAGTTTTCAATCTGACCCGTCACGCCCTCCTCCCACTCCTGTCGTCTCCTTCCACCACCTAACCCCTCTCCCGTTCTCTCTCGACAGGAAAGCGGCACCGCACCCGCACCACCACCGATGAGGACGACGAGCGGAAGAGCGCCGCCGCCGACGGCGACGACTCGGCGGGAGAGGAGGAGACGCCCTCGGAGCGGTGCCGCTTCGAGTCGGTGTGCACGGCCGTGGCGCGCGCCTGCCTCTTCCTCTGTCTGGCCGTGGTGGGGCCCGACAAAATGGACTCGGAGTGAGTATAGCGCGGCGGGTGTTCGATTTATCGTAACTTTTTAATAATCTCGGACTGAACATTTCATTGAGGCAAAATGGGTGAGTGAGGGACGAGGGCTGTGATGTTCTAATGTAAGGTGTTCTCTTGCCGCGTTGGTTGTCAATTGTTGGAGACCAGGGGCCGTATTCACGTCGATCATATTCGTAAGAATTTTCTTAAGTTTACCTACTTCTAAAGTAAATTTTTTATTCTTGTGAACTCTGTCGATAAAAACTTAAGAAGTGTCAACGTGAATACCAAATTATACTTACGAAAGAAAATAGACTTACGAAGTCTACGTGAATACGGCCCCAGTTTTCTAAGGTGCTTCGGTTTGTAACTGATATTTCTGTCTTCCCGTTTCCAGCTCCGTCCGGGACCATGAGTGTTCGGAGGTGCTGCAGTTTGTCTGTGGCTGATGTGACCCTCCCTCCCCGTTCCCAGTTCTGTCCGGGACCAGTGCTCGGAGGTGCTGCAGTTCGTCTGTCACGACTGGGGTAACCGTCGGCTGCTGGGTGATCGCAGGCGGCCGGCCGGCGCCGGACTGGCCAGCACCGACCCCTTCCTCCTGCTGGTGGCCATGCAGCAGCAACAGCAGCGCGCTCAGGTCAGCTATTGGGGCTCCGGGGGAGGGGGGGGGGCACTTGATACATGAGCTGCACTGAGCAGGCACCACTTGTGTATTTTCCAACAATTGATGTCCTCTTGATTTTGTAGTGGCGTGCACCTTTATATGATCACTTCATGCTTTGCTCTCAACGGCACTGCAACTCACGATACTGTTTTGTGATCTCATTCGTTTGTTTTCTTGGGAAGCTTGCAGTTCAATGTCCTGTCCCGTGTCAGGACATACTCCTATGGTGACTGACTTGTCGTCTATGTTTCTGTTCGACAGTCTCGCCTGATCGGGCTGACCCAGGTGTGCGAGTTCCTGACGCCGATCGCGGCCAGTCCTCCGACCCCGACTGCCGCCCCCACCAGTACCACTGCGGAGGGCGGCCAGGTGACAGTGACAGCTCCGGTGGTGGCGGCCGTGGTGGACAGACCCATCACTGAGACCGTGCTGCTCAACCAGGTAAGACAGGCGGGAAAATCGTACTCTTGGACGGGAATGAGCTGTTTCGTGGTTTTTCCGGTTTCTCATGATTCGTTGTGTATGGTAGACCTCGTTTGTTTTCTATGAGTGGTAGGATTTCTCACTTTTACCAGACTATATTTTTTAAGGCCTTTTTTAATGTGCTAGCTTTCCACTATGTTATGCTAACATTTTTGCGCTTCATTTTACCAGACAATGTACCTGCCATCCCGTTCAGCTAGCAGTAAACATGTATCCACAAATTACCCACCACCTTACACCATTCCCCTACGTTCTCCAGGTGTACGAGCAGTTCGTGGCGGGCTGTTTCGGTCTGTCGGCCGTCTCCCCGGCCCCTCCCGTGTGCCGGGTCCGGTACTATACGGACGACGTGACTGCCAGCCGGCGCCAGCTGCGGCAGAGGATACAGGCGGTGATGGCCGACATATACCGGCTGATGGTGGCCGCCCTGTTTGAACACCAGAACGGCGGAGGTAAGAGGAGGGGGAGAGGGAGGAAAGAAGGAGAGTGGGAGGGAGGGAGGGAGTTTGGAAAAGAGGGAAGGAAGTAAGGAGACCTTCTGTATGTTAGTGATATGCTTGAATCGGATCGTTTTCCCCTCTAACCCCTGAATGTTGATCGGAGTCTGAGCGTCCCTTCCCTCTCTCCCCTTTCGCTGAGCGTCCCTCTTCTCTCTTCCCAGAGGTACGGTACCGCCTGGAGCTGATCGGCGTGCTCTCTCTGAGCGTGGAGCACCGTCCGGAGGACGTGTGGCGGGCGGCCGACTCTGGCCTCCTCCAGCTGCTGTCGCGGCTCTCCGAGGACAGTCTGTGGCTGACCGACGTGCTGGCCACCACCCACCAGCCGCTGGCCGTGGCCAGCATGAGGTTCCTCCAGATACTGGCCGTCATCGCCGGGTAAGCGGTGGGAGACGGCCTGTCGTGTGAGCAAGTGGTCAGTCCCGGCTTAGAACTTAAGCTGTGATTAGGATATTTGTCTTGGACAAAGTGGTGGCTGAATGTCTGATCCAATGATGAAAATAGCCGCGATGGCGACAAAGTTTTTTCACTGGCATACATTCTGAGTGAAGACAAAAGACACGTATGAAAGAATATACAGCACATTAAATTGTTTCGAAATTTTCAGAAGACGAAAGGCATCATACCAATCGACATTCTTCGTAGACTGGCTGTGTGAACACCACACTCGTGACTCATGACCACGAGGCTCTCCGTACCCTCCCGTTTGCCCGCCCTCAGTTCACACTTGTCCGCTGTGTTTCAGTGTGTACGTGGGCAGCCTGCCGGCCACCACCTGTGACCTAAACCCTGCTGTGTTCGTCTGTTTCTCAGTGTGTACGCGGGCAGCCTGCCGGCCACCACCTGTGACCTATACCCTTCTGTGTTCGTCTGTTTCTCAGTGTGTACGCGGGCAGCCTGCCGGCCACCACCTGTGACCTATACCCTAACTGTGTCCGTCCGTGTTTCTCAGTGTGTACGCGGGCAGTCTGCCGGCCACCACGTGTGACCTATACCCTACTGTGTCCGTCTGTTTCTCAGTGTGTACGCCGGTAGCCTGCCGGCCACCACGTGTGACCTATACCCTACTGTGTTCGTCTGTTTCTCAGCGTGTACGCGGGCAGCCTGCCGGCCACCACGTGTGACCTATACCCTACTGTGTTCGTCTGTCAGTGTGTACGCGGGCAGTCTGCCGGCCACCACGTGTGACCTATACCCTACTGTGTTCGTCTGTTTCTCAGTGTGTACGCCGGTAGCCTGCCGGCCACCACGTGTGACCTATACCCTACTGTGTTCGTCTGTTTCTCAGCGTGTACGCGGGCAGCCTGCCGGCCACCACGTGTGACCTATACCCTACTGTGTTCGTCTGTCAGTGTGTACGCGGGCAGTCTGCCGGCCACCACGTGTGACCTATACCCTACTGTGTTCGTCTGTTTCTCAGTGTGTACGCGGGCAGCCTGCCGGCCACCACCTGTGACCTATACCCTACTGTGTTCGTCTGTTTCTCAGTGTGTACGCGGGCAGCCTGCCGGCCACCACCTGTGACCTATACCCTTCTGTGTTCGTCTGTTTCTCAGTGTGTACGCGGGCAGCCTGCCGGCCACCACCTGTGACCTATACCCTACTGTGTCCGTCCGTGTTTCTCAGTGTGTACGCGGGCAGTCTGCCGGCCACCACGTGTGACCTATACCCTACTGTGTTCGTCTGTTTCTCAGCGTGTACGCGGGCAGCCTGCCGGCCACCACGTGTGACCTATACCCTACTGTGTTCGTCTGTCAGTGTGTACGCGGGCAGTCTGCCGGCCACCACCTGTGACCTATACCCTTCTGTGTTCGTCTGTTTCTCAGTGTGTACGCGGGCAGCCTGCCGGCCACCACCTGTGACCTATACCCTTCTGTGTTCGTCTGTTTCTCAGTGTGTACGCGGGCAGCCTGCCGGCCACCACCTGTGACCTATACCCTACTGTGTTCGTCTGTTTCCAGTGTGTACGCGGGCAGCCTGCCGGCCACCACGTGTGACCTATACCCTACTGTGTTCGTCTGTTTCTCAGTGTGTACGCGGGCAGCCTGCCGGCCACCACGTGTGACCTATACCCTACTGTGTTCGTCTGTTTCTCAGTGTGTACGCGGGCAGTCTGCCGGCCACCACGTGTGACCTATACCCTACTGTGTTCGTCTGTTTCCAGTGTGTACGCGGGCAGCCTGCCGGCCACCACGTGTGACCTATACCCTACTGTGTTCGTCTGTTTCTCAGTGTGTACGCGGGCAGCCTGCCGGCCACCACGTGTGACCTATACCCTACTGTGTTCGTCTGTTTCTCAGTGTGTACGCGGGCAGTCTGCCGGCCACCACGTGTGACCTATACCCTACTGTGTTCGTCTGTTTCTCAGTGTGTACGCGGGCAGTCTGCCGGCCACCACGTGTGACCTATACCCTACTGTGTTCGTCTGTTTCTCAGTGTGTACGCGGGCAGTCTGCCGGCCACCACGTGTGACCTATACCCTACTGTGTTCGTCTGTTTCCAGTGTGTACGCGGGCAGCCTGCCGGCCACCACGTGTGACCTATACCCTACTGTGTTCGTCTGTTTCTCAGTGTGTACGCGGGCAGTCTGCCGGCCACCACGTGTGACCTATACCCTACTGTGTTCGTCTGTTTCTCAGTGTGTACGCGGGCAGTCTGCCGGCCACCACGTGTGACGAGATCGTGGACCTGCTGCGGCGCCAGCTGGCCCGGCTGCTGGACGCCTGCTCCCGGCCAGAGCTGGAGACGGCAGTCATCACCACCGTCTGCGACATCGCGCAGCCGCCGCCGGCGACGGCCGGAAAACATGCCAGGTGAGTTAGGATACTCTCCGGAGGAAGGGGGGGGGGGGCGGTGGAGGCGCTGTGGTATTGTATAAGTGTGAGAATGCCAAAGTGTTTTAACTATGTCTGGACGAAAATAAAGTGGAATATATTTACTTACTTCCTGTTTTTATTTCCAGGGATCATGTCCGATACGTCAAACTCTGTCACCTCTTGCTTTGTTGACATCCTAACCCCGGACACGGCTCACACCACCTTCTAACCTGTTCTACCGTCGTTCTCAGGTACTCTGGCGCCGCACCATCTGCCTCTGAATCGACACTGGACTCTGTGACGGCCAGCTCCAACGACGGTGACTCGGAGCTCATCACGTCGGCCGACGAAAGCGAGTACGCAGAACGGTCGGCCACCGACACAGCCAACGCCAACACCGGAAAGGTACCCGGCATAGGCGAGCGGTGCTGATGACGGGAAGGGTGCGACATACGGTGCTGGGATACGGTGCTGCTCCCCAGCTGGACAGTGTCTCCCCTCCCCCCTCCCCCGCAAGGAAGCTGCGTGGCCGGCCGGCCTACTGCCATACTCCATGCGCTACTGCTCCTCTGATCAGTGTCCTCTTGACTTACCTCCCTTCCCTCTCCCTCTCCGCAGTGGAGCAGCGCCGCGGGCCGTCCCACTGCTGTGCTGCAGGCGGCCCGGCTCACCAGCACGGCTCAGGCGGCGGAGAGCTCTCTGGGCGACCTGCTGGTGTTTGTCCGACATGTGGCCTGCACGGTGTCCGTGCGCCGGCTGATGACCTCGCGCGTGTGGACGGGCCTGCTGCTGCGGATCTGTGGACAGGTGCCGGACGGCTGCGGACGGCAGATCCAGGCGCTGCGGCCCCGCCTGCTGGCGCTGCAGCTACTGGCCAACGTACTGCCCGCCCTGGACACCAGGGAGAACAGAGAGTACGCCGCACAGGTGAGGATCAGAGAAGGATGCTATGGGGACACCAGAAAGGAAGAAAATATAGGGAGGAAGAAAATATAGAAGTTTGGAGGGGGGATTCCCCTCGATGTGTGCTACGGCCATCCTAAAACGTTTCTGTTTTGAGAAAGAAAACCGTTTGTATTGTTGATAAAGCCGGTGCGCGGTCATGTTCATTGTTCATGACTCTCGTTTCTGACTTCAAACAACTGGCCAGTGTGGGGGTCGAACCCACGACATTCGCGTTATTAGCACGACGCTCTAACCAACTGAGCTAACCGGCCGTGAGGGATGGCTGGGGCACGCCAAATTTTGAAAAGGGCCTGACTAGATCTGAGTTTTTTTTTTGGGGGGGGGGGTTAGGCCTTTTCGGTCTGACGAGTGACGAGACCATTTCAGAGGCGGAAGGATGATAGGAATTAGAGGGAGACATTGGTCTGGGCAGGCACCCTAGTGAGTCACCGGGGCTGAGCCCGTCCAGAGGACAGGTCGACCATCCCCCCCCCCCCAAGTCACTGCACCCGGCTACGGGTGTGCTCCCCTGGGTGCAGCCCGCATGGGAAAAGTTGCCTGTCCAGCCCGGAGTGGGGGCTGCGGCGTGGAGGAGAAGGATTTCAGCGTCCTGTGGATGAAAACGACGGAACGGAGGTCAGATGCATTATTTTGTCATATAGCCAAAAAGTCAGGGCCTTACTGTTTTACTATATTCACCTTCTTTCTCCGCAGTTGGTACCGGAGCTGTTTCACCAGCTCTCCGACAGTCTGTGGCTGATCCCGCGCGCCGTGGTGGTTTCATCCCCCCCCCCCCCGTCTCCCCTCCGCAGTTGGTACCGGAGCTGTTTCACCAGCTGTCAGACAGTCTGTGGCTGATCCCGCGCGCCGTGGTGGTTTCATCTCCCCTCCCACCTTCTCCCCTTCTCAGTTGGTACCGGAGCTGTTTCACCAGCTGTCAGACAGTCTGTGGCTGATTCCGCGCGCCGTGGCCGGGCTGGCCGCCTCACGGAAGGACAAGGAACTGAAGAGGCGACTACTGAGACTCAGCAGTCCCGGTAAGGACTGCGGCGCACGGCGATGAACTGCTCTGATGGGGGCAGGACAGCCCAGATTGGGTACAGGTTGCGGGGAGCTTGGGATTGTACTTGGTAAAATGTGCTGCTGAGCCGCCGTTCACATGGGCATAATAATTTTATCTGTGTCCTGTGTCGATGCATAGTTTAGGAAGTGCTTCTGCCTTGCATTGTGGTGTGCGTGGCGGACCCTGGCTATGGGCTGCCGCTGTAGACGCTGACTGTCGATGTTATATTAAAATTTGGCTCACCTATCCTGTTTTGTGTTCCAGAGTGCGCGTCGGACGGTGACGGCGGCGAGAACAGTATCCCCGTGCAGGACGCCGGGTTCGACCCGGACCGCTGTCTGTTCTGTACCGTGGAGAACGGGCAGACGCTGGTCCACTCGCAGGGCGGCAAGGGCTACGGGCTCGGCACCACCGGCATCAAATCCGGTGAGACGTGCCTAGATGCAATGGATCGAGTGATGGGCTCGATTACTGTCGCCGGTAGCACTGGGAGAGGGAATCGCTGCTGAATGGACTTGGGGAAATTCTAGACTGGCTCGGACTGTCATCATCTGATCAGCTGCATATGTTGTTAATTTGATGAGATTCTCAGCCTAATTAGGTGGTTGAGGTCTACCAATCTTTCTTCTGCCAGCACAGTTGTATAACTGTGATCCCGTTTCCCCTCGTTGCCGGCAGGCTGTTACCAGTGGCGTTTCCTGATCGTCCGTGAGACGCGCGGTAACGAGGGCACCTGCGTGGGCGTGTCGCGGGTACCCATCCGGGACTACAGTCACCGCACCACCAACGACATGTGGCTCTACAGGGCTTACAGGTACGGGCGGCCGCTCCACTCGGTATATTTAGTCAGCAGTTTCCACAGACTACAGCCACCGCACCACTGACATGTGACTTTACACTCTACAGGGCATACAGCTGCGGGGTGACCCCACGCCTGCCCTCTCCAGTTTTCAGTTAAAACAGACTACAGGCGGTGACGTCTTCCTAACAATATGCCATGTCACCGATCGCCAGACCCGTCCTTTTCCCAGCGGTAACGTATTTTTGCCTGCGATTGATATCAACTCCGCCCTGCCCTCCTCCGTTCCCAGTCGTAACGTATGCTACAACAGAGATCCCCTCATCTGTCTGTAGTATCTACCCTTCTTACGAGTAACGAGCGGTAACGTATACAACAGTACCCCCCCTCTTTCCACGATGGTAACCTCCCTCTCTCTCCTCAGCGGCAACGTGTACCACGGCGGCGAGCTGGGCGTCACGCTGCCCCAGTTCACCCAGGGCGACTACGTCACCTGTGTCCTCGACATGGACAGTCGCACACTCAGCTTCGGAAAGAACGGCGAACAGCCGCGCGTGGTGTTTGAGGAGCTGGACGCCGCCGAGCTCTACCCGTGCGTCATGTTCTACAGCACCAACCCCGGGGAAAAGGTGCGTTTTGAAGAAAGCTAGCCACTGCTGAGATAATTACACTTATCCGAGGGCCCAAAGATGGGCTCTGACGGGCTAGAGAGCCCATCTTGAGGCGAAGTGGCTATAAAGCAGTGAAGCGTAGTACTGTCTTTTTAGCACGCTTTAGTGAACTATTCTGTTTTTTATGAATGCCATCAAGGACAGCTTATCGCTTAGAATGCCGCCAGTGCAGGCGGTGTGTACAGCGTAGTGCGACCCTTCCAGGCGTGTATTGTGTTACCTGACCCTCCGGTCCGTCTCAGGTGAAGCTGACGGACATGCAGCTGCGCGGCTCGCCGCGCGAGATGCTGGCCGGAGAGCCGCTGTGTGCGCCGGCCGCCGCCGTCCTGCTGGAGGCCCACATCGCGCTCATCAGGACACTGCACGGCACGACCGGATGGACCGAACACGTGAGTGACCGGGGAGGGGCACTCCAAGAGTTGGTGGGGACCACTGGCACTCCTGGGCCGGCAGGGGACATCGGGGATTGGTTGAGGTACTTCGGGTCAACGAAAGGACATTCATGACTCTTGAGTCACAGATTGTCTAGGCTTTGTGGAAAAATGCGACAAGATGTAGGGAGTGGGTGCACATGCTAATGCCTCGCTTCTTCCCGGCAGGTGAACGCGTGTCTTCTGGAGCGTCTGACCAAGATCAAAGGACTGATGCCGTCCACCGACACTGAGGCCGATCTCACCGAAACGGTAAGAAGCGCTCGAACTCTCACCACTGACCGGGGCTGGATACTGGGAACATGAGGCAGTGTCGTGCCGTCCGAACTTGTGAGCGTCCTATTTCCAGTAGGTACGATATTATCAATATCAAAGTCGTTATGGTATGATGTCCGTCCAGCCTGGCGCCCAATGCCTGGTGTCTGGTGTCCTTTGTCTGGCGTCTCATGCCCAATGTCTTGGTTCCTTTGTCGGGCCGGGACGTGTCCAATGTCCGGTGTCCGGTGTCTCGGTGTCCGGTGTCCGGTGTCTCGGTGTCTCGTTGTCTGGTTTCCGGTGTCTGGTGTCCGATGGCTGGTGTCTCGGTGTCTGGTGTGGTGTCCGATGGCTGGTGTCCGATGGCTGGTGTCTAGTTTCCGGTGTCTGGTGTCCAATGTCTGGTGTCTGGTTTCCGGTGTCTCGGTTTCCGGTGTCTCGGTTTCCGGTGTCTGGTTTCCGATTCCTGGTGTCTCGGTGTCTGGTGTCTCGGTGTCTGGTGTCTCGGTGTCTGGTTACTGTCTTTTTCCAATGTGTGGTTTTCAATGTCTGATATTTTCTGGTGTGTAGTGACCAATATTCGCAATGCTGGATGTTGGTGTTCTCACAAGATAATATGAGATTTGGCTTTTAGATTCATTTATGGTTTTGTTTTTCAAACCTTGGAATCGGAGCCCGCGTGGCCTAATGGATAAGGCGTCGGTCTCCTAAACCGAAGATTGGGGGTTCGAGTCCCCCCGTGGGTACGCCTGGTTTTGCGTTGGTTTTGTGGTTTCTTCCTAGCGTTCGTGCTTCGTTTGTCAAACGAATCTGCCGGCAAAACGAGTGAAGTGTCGGCGCCGCATTTTTCGCATGCGATTTTTTTCTTTGTCGGTGTGCGTAATTCAACGGCGTCTGTGCACTGACTCTTGTGGGATGAAAACACCCCTGCACGAATGCGTCTTCGCCAACCCAGTTCGTTCGACATCGCAAAACTAGGCGTACCCACGGGGGGACTCGAACCCCCAATCTTCGGTTTAGGAGACCGACGCCTTATCCATTAGGCCACGCGGGCGGGGTTGGGTACTGACGACGAGTTTTCAGCGTCGGAGCGATGGCCGTGCTTGACCGTCCTAGTTTGCTGTCCATCTCCGGTGATCTGTCGTTTCTCACCTACCTACCTCCCTCCCTTCAGACCGGCGAGGATTCGTCTGCGGCCGGCGCCGACACCGACGCGCCGTCCGCGGTGCGGCGCTCGGCCTCGTCGGACGCGACGGGCCGCCGCCGGCCGGCCGAGCTCACCATGACGCCGATCGTCGAGGAGGCGGAGGAGAGCGCCGGCACCGACCGCGAGCCGGGAGGGGAGCCGGAGGAGGCCACGCCGGCCGGCAGGAGGCGCCGGGCCGTCCGGCAGCTCTGCAAAGAGGTGCGTGAGGGGGCGGGAGGGAGCGGGAGGCTGGGGGACAGAAGGGATGAAATAAGTATCGTGTCTTGTCTCTCATGTCGAGGTGGGTTCGAGGGGACATTTCAACGATATCTAAATCCATGTTTATAGCCTGTTTACTGGTGACCGACAGCCAGTCAATGAAGATGCATAAAGACGAATTAACTTTCTACTACTACTCCGGCGTGACTCGTGGCTTCTCAACTCATCATCCCGGCCTCCAGTCTGAAGTTCCCTTGCCCTCCCCTTCAGGTGCTGCCGGCTCTAGCGGTGGTGGCCGGCGTGGACCGCGGCCTGCGGGTGGGCGGCGCCTGCGTGCACCGTCCCTCCTCCCGCCGAGCTGTGGTGCTGGGGATGCTCAAACAGGGCCTCTCCTCGGTGCGGCTGCAGTGGGAGGACGGAGACGCCGCCGTCAGGTGGGTGCCTGTGGGTAGTTTGCTGAGCTGTGGGCTGATGTTTTTGTCGATACACGGAAGTTAGAGATGTGCTTGAGTGTCGGACGTATTGATGGTAGTCTGGCGTTTGAGCCTCCGACAATCATTATCACTTTGTACCGATTTCTCGCGCAATTACACGCTCCCCACACCCTGTCGTCTCCCCTGTCCACAGTGACGCGCCGGTGAACAGTCTGGAGCCGTGTGACCCGCCTCCGTTCAACGTCAGTCGACTGGGTCACATCACGGCCGACGTCATACACCAGCTGGTCAGACTGTCCGGCATCACCGACGAGGTGGGTCGAACGGTGACGCAGACATGTCATGACGTGGCAGGAAGAGAGGTGTATGCCTCCAGAACAATTCAGCCAATGCCTGTCTTTGCGCTGTCTATTCAATTTGTTTAATGAGATTCTGTTACAACTCCGACAGGCTCTCTTTCTCAAAAAATCCTGGGTGATCCCGGTGGCCCCTCCCGAGCTGCCGTCTTGCCGTCTTTTCCTCTTGGCTCTTGCTGCAGTCTGGCATGACCCTCGCGGAGCTTATCTCTCCTCGCGTTGGTAATTTTCGCGACCCTTGCAACCCTGTCCATCTCAAGGTAAACCTGGTGACTGTTTATCTGGTGACCACTGACAAACCCTCCCCCTCCCTCATTTCCAGGTGAATCTGGTGACGTCCCCGGCCTCTGACACCTCCCGGTCGACCTGTGACGACCCGGCGCCGTCGGGCCGCGGTGTGACCGAGTCCCGTAGTGCCGGATCCTCCTGCGGCGGAGGAGGGGGAGGGGTGGAGGACACGGCCCCGTCAGCCGCCACCCCCGCCCGTCAGTCACACAGCCTAGTCACCATGGAGACACTGACTGACGAACTGGTGGCTAACATCATCGGAGAGGTGAGCCGAGACGGCGGGAGGGGATGGTGGGGACGATCGGTACTTGTGTATGAAATATTTGCGACGTGGACCGTAATCGGCGAGCTTCAGCATTTGCACAGTTCCATTACAAATTTCTGAGGATTGTCTGAGTCTGTGCATATATGTCAGAAGTGAGCATAATCACTGGACGGATTGCCTCGATGCAAAGCTATTGAGCAAGTCAAGCCATATTTCTAGCGTGCCAGACATTGAGTCGCTTCTCCACCGCTCGTCACTACACCAGGCCCGCTCTATCTCCCAGGTGACGGGCCGGGGCGGCAGCCGGCAGCGGGCGGGCCGCAGTCAGCCGGCTGACACCGCTGCCAGCGCGGCGGCGCTTCACCAGCTGACCAGGGAGGAGCAGGCCGTCCGGGGCTGCCTGCTGCAGGTTAGTACCTCACCAGGGTTCCCTGGGACTGACCAGGGAGGAGCAGGCCGTCCGGGGCTGTCTGCTGCAGGTCAGTACCTCTACTGGGTCCCCTAGGTTAGGTTAGACCGTCCGAGGCTGTTTGCTGCAGGTTAGTACCTCCCCAGGGTTCCCTAGGACTGACCAGGGAGGAGCAGGCTGTCAGAGGCTGCCTGCTGGAGGTCAGTACCTCCCCTGGGTCCCTTAGGACTGACCAGGGAGGAGCAGGCCGTCAGAGGGTGTCTGCTGTAGAGGTCAGTCACGAAAGTCACTCATTTGCCAGAATCTACCGAGGTAAATCGACTAAATCATACAAGCACTTGAGGAATTTTTGTTAACTTATGAAAGCGTCCAGCGGGATGAAATCGGACAGACTTTCTTCGTCCAATAAGTGAATCACCGCTGAACTGTTCGTTCCAGGGGTGACTGACCCGCCTCCTTCCCCCTCAGATGTCTGCGCTGAAGGTGCTGCTGGTGCTGCTGGGGGACGCGGGGGTGACGGACCTGCTGTACCCGCCGCCCGATCCCTCCCCGGCCGATAAGAAGAAGGAACTACCGGCGCCGGACGAGGCCGGCCAGGAGCTGCGGGCCGAGCTGCGCAGGGCTGTGACTCACATGGTGGCCGCCGCCATCAAATCCAGCCCCATCAGACGGTGGGTGAAACGGGAGGGAGAGATGGGAGGGGTGGGAAGGACTGGGAGGGAGGGGAGGGAGGGAACGAAAAACGGTAAGATGATGTCCTAGTTAAGAAAAGAACGAAGTGATAGTTCAACAGATCCGCCTTGAAATCTGACCAGCTCCGATCCGTGACAGCTGCCCAACCGAACCTCAGCCTGTCTTCCTTTGCTCAATGAAATATCAACCACAAATTCAAAACCTCCCTCCCCTCTCTACAGACTGGTCTCAGCCGCGGAGCTGGAGCGCGCCGTGACGGTGCTGCACGCCTCCCACCTGCGGTACCAGGCCGAGCACGGCTGTCGGATCCGGCAGACCGAGAGCCAGATCGCGGCGCTGCTCAGCAGCCAGCCGGCCAACGCGCCGGCCGCCTTCAGGGTAAGTAAGGTTGGGACGGGCCGCCGCCTTCAGGGTACGTAAGGCTAGGGACGGGCCGCCGCGTTCAGGGTACGAAAGTCAGTCCCGGCCGGAGCTGTTCAGCAGCCAGCCGGCCCACGCGCCAGCAACCTTCAGGGTACGTTTGGGGCCGACAGACCTCTGTGGTGGATTAGCTGATGGGAGATAAGGATGATGGGATGAGTAACACCGACTTATTCTTCGCTGCTCATACAAGCGTCGTTAGTCATGTGAGTTGTCTGAAAGTAGTTGTCCACTTGTCAAGTTATACGTGTGATTGTGATGCGTCGTGTCTTCCGCCGCTACGCACTGTATGACCTCGCTCCCGTCTCACCCCACAGGCGGACTCTGGCAGTTCGGCTCCCTCCGACTCTGCTCTGGCCCCGTCCTCCCTGCTGAGCAGTGTGCCCATCTGGTGGCCCCAGACGGCAGCCGCCAACCGCTCGGCGCCGCCGGCCGCCACGGCCACCGCTGTGGGCGTGACAGTGACGGCGGCCGGCCCGTCGCCCACCGCCTCCCTCTCCACCACCAGACAGAGGTGAGAACAGTGACAGTCAGACGGCGGCCGGCCCGTCGCCCGCCGCATCACTGTCCACCACCAGACAGAGGTGAGAACAGTGACAGTCAGACGGCGGCCGGCCCGTCGCCCGCCGCCTCCCTCTCCACCACTAGACAGAGGTGAGAACAGTGACAGTCAGACGGCGGCCGGCCCGTCGCCCGCCGCCTCCCTCTCCACCACTAGACAGAGGTGAGAGAAATAGGGGAAAATAGTGCCACTCATCGGTCATTGCAACCTTTTGTTGTAGCACTCCAGCTTTTTATGCGATGCTGAAGGCTGCATACTGTATAGATCTTCCGGATTCGCCTTTATTTGCTTGTTCTTAGCGTCAGCTAGACGCCTCCGTATATGGTATCAATGAATTAGATGATTAATTTGAGTCCTCGTCCAACAAAGGTACTTACCCTTCTTGCGATGTTTTATTGGTCGCACGTAACGAAAGTCTGTGGATGTCGTCTCGTTTTAAATTCGGAAGCTCTCTACCACCCCGGCCGCTGACGTGTGTCTCCCGTCCCGCTCAGACACCCGGCGGGCAGCGGGGGCGCCGCGGCCGTCCGCTCGCCCTCCCCTCCGCCGCCGCCCGTGGCCCTGCCGCTACTGGAGATGGGCTTCTCACTGAGACACATTCAGCGCGCCATCAGTGTGCTAGGTAAGCAGGGAAGGGGTCGTACTGAGGAGGACAATTAGTGTGGAAGGGTTCCCACATAACGTGGGTAATTTTTTATGCTTTTGTTAAAAACTGCCTGTGCCTGGCTGTTATGTATAAATGCGTTGAAACTGCTGTTAGGTTTTGCTACTAGCTTTTCGCCGCTTTATTACATTTGTCATCCCTAGTCTGTCTACTCTAGTCTGTCTACTCTACAATATGTATCGATGAACTCCAAGCTTAAATTGAGACTCTCTCCCTCCCTTACCCTCCGTCTAACCATTGCCTCCCGTCAGGCCGCACAGGTGACATGTCGACGCACGCGGTGAACCAGCTGGCCTCGTGGATGCTGGAGCACCCCTCTATAGACGACGTGAGCACGGTGAGCCGACCGGGCCCTGAGCCGCCCGCCTCTGCCGGCGCCGCCGCCGCGCCCTGCGCCGCTCCAGTGGCCGGCGCCTCGCAGCAGCTGATGACACACATACTGGACCGGCATGTGGCCAGAGAGATGGAGGTCAGTCGGGGGAAGGAGTTTGAGCGAGAAGGGAGGTGAACTTTTCCACAGCAGCTCTCAGCTGTTCATGAAATATTTATTCTTAATGAAGGCAATGCGCTGCTCTCCTGAATCTATTTATCGTTTATTTATTCCTCGTGGCTGGTGGGTAAAGGAAGTTATTGTTTTGTTATATTCTCGCCTTGCTTATCATGACCTGTGTTTCCTTTAACTTACCACAACTGGTGGGCTGCTCCCCGGAAGACGGCTGTGTAGGTGACCTATAACCTCTCGTTACACCGACCTAACCCCTCTGACCTCCGACAGCTGTCTGGGGGCCGCTCTCAGGACGATACTGACGCCTCTGACCCGCTGGTGGAGCCCTCTGACCCCTCTGACCCCTCTGACCCCTCTGACCCCTCTGACCCTCTGACCCTCTGACCTCTGACAGCTGTCGGGTGGCCGCTCTCAGGACGATACCGACACCTCTGACCCGCTGGTGGAGCCCTCGGGCGGTCGGCCGACGTTCCGCGGCCAGCGGAGTCGGCCGTACGCCGACATCCGCTCCTTCCTGGGACCGTCTCCCGGCTCCTCGGCCACAGGTCAGTGACCGAACAGCGGCAGGTCAGAACATACCAGTTAGTGGTAGTGTCAGACATTACACCAATGCTCTTGTTTTGGGCGGTAGTAAGTTGATATTTCAGAGGACTCATGAGTTGTTTTTGCATTGGTTTTAGCCACTGGTGTTCGCTGCATTTCTTTGATAGGTATTTGTGTTTGTGCGTGCTCCCCAGACTGTTCGCCTTTTGAGTACCTGGCGCGCGCGCGCGGCCTGTCGACCAACCGCGACTCTCAGGGACAGCAGGCGTACCCGACACAGGGTAAGGAGATCACACAGTGATCGCCAGGCAATGCAGTGGCGGGACTCACTGGCTGGGCTGGTCGTGATGGGCGAGGGGTGTTGTGATCGGTGACTCGGCCGACTGGCGCTGGACACGGTCAGTTGAAGGCCGTATCCATCCGATCCCAATATTTATCCTGAGGAGCCTGGCTGATTATTCCTGGGGTATCTCTTTAACCTTATTTATCCAATCAGTATTCAGTACTTTTATGAACGCTGACATAGTACAAGCCCACGTCTTGGAATAGTTCCCTTCTCTTGTTCTCCGTTTCCCGTTTCGTGTTCCCTACCGTCCTGCCGCTACCCGCCCTCACCCACCATCCGTCTCTGTGACCCTGTGCTGACCCAGAGGGTGCGGGCCGCCCGACTTGGCCCCACCTGTGTGAGTGTCACACTGCCGACGGACACACCGCCGACGGCGCCGAGTCGCAGCCCGTGAGTGTCGGAGAAGTGAAGGGTAGAACTGATGGGCGTAGCAGTGACGCCAGGCTAGATTGGTAGTTCTGCTAGACCAGCTGTGACTTTATGCCCCTCGCATGTATTTTGTGTGCGCCACGAGCTGTCAGATGCTTTAAGTAGAGTATTCGCCTGGAGCGCTTTGCAACAGCTCTTGCTGCCCTTCATGCCATCAATGCGCCAGTGTCCCCATCGCTCCCCACTAGCTGCTGCTTCACCTAACGCCAGCGCCGCCCTCCCCGCTAGCCTGCGCGCTGTGCGGCGGCCAGCCGTGCCACTGCGGTACCGGTGCCGCCGCCGGCGGCCGCTCTGGGTCGGTGTCTGGCGCGGCGGCGGCCGGCCGCGCTGCGCGCCGCCACTGGCCGGCCCGGCGGCGCTCCTCCGACTCTCGGTACGTGATCGACTCGGAGGATGAGCTGGAGGTGCTGGTCGAGAGGGCTGTCACAGAGGTGGGAGGCGCCGCCGACAGGGTGAGTGGTGCTGATCAGAGCGTGGAGTGGGGAGGGGAGTGCCCCGAACGTCGAGCGGGGAAAAGGAGCGGATGAGCACAGCTGCGGACATGTAGGGTAGTGGGATGAGTGAGTGTCCCAGTCGGGACATTGTGTATGGAGAGACGATGCTGCAGTAGAAATAGCCAGATGGGACCTTCAAATCAAATCTTAATGGTGTTTTCTCTTTCAAGTATTGTGCAGTTTCGCGTTAGCGATTCACGAATCACGTTTCTTATTTTGTTCATATGAGCTAAATTACAGATATCTTCCACTGTTCGCTGTTTGGAGCTTTTTAGAGCATGTTTCAGTCGTTCGTGTCAATGTCACTGCCCCGGATCGGACTCTATCGGACCACCCTCCCCGGCTGCTATACTCTGACCTTGCCCTCCCTGACAGCTCCAGTCTGACTCTCTCCTCCCGGCAGCTACAGTCTGACTCTGACGAGGCCAACCTGGAGCTGTGCGACGTGTGTAACGCGCTGGTGTTTAACCTGACGCGCCACCAGCGTACCACCCACCCGGGCTGTTCGCGCAGCTGGCTCAACACCTACTGCGGCGCTGTGCTCGGTGAGACACGGATAAGGATGTGCGTGTGGGGAGAACTAGAGAAAACTCGCCCTCAAATATGTGCATTTTATTGGTTTCATATAATTGTCGGCACCCCGGACCGTCCACGATTTGTAAAATATTGCAGATGGCTTGTCAATACTCCTGAAACAAATTTGATTTTATCTCTGCAGGGTTTGCTGTCGATATTCTAGGTTGGTTTAGTCTTGCCGGGTGTTTTTCAAAGCATGTTGTAATTTTCTGACTTAAGTGTCCGTCCTTACCTGACCTCTTCAGTGAACCCGAACGTGCCGGAGGGTCTGGTGCGCACCACGTACGTGCTGTGTGACCTGTGCACGGAGCGCTACTCGGCGCAGACGCCGGCCGGCCGGCGCAATTCGAGTCAGAGCGTGGGCGCGCGGCCACCGCCGGACGCCGGCGCTACAGATCTGCTCACACCGTCAGCCGGCGAACAGGACGGTCAGTGGCCGTGCGAGGTAATGGATGCGATGGCTGGGACGATGGGGTTTTCGGTAACTCCAGGAAAAGTCACTTTTCGCAGTGCCCAGCTCACTTTCTGTTTTCGCTCTTGTGTCTCGATGTCGCTAATGTCCTAGCCTGTAATGCCTTGCTCAGTTGTGACGTTAACTTTCGGCCAGTGAAGCGCCTTGAAGCGCTCATCAAAGCATAATCTAACGCTGCGGGAGTTTTCTGTCCTCTTTCTCTCGTCCTCAAATTGTCTTGAACTCCCATATCCTCCTAAAACCCCAGCAGAGTCGCCGTTAACAACCCCCGCTGTCGGTCCACAGACCCGGAGTCGCCGGCGCGGCCGCCGCCTCTGTCTGGCGACTCGGACCTGCTGGCCGACTCTCCACTGCTTGCCTCGGACCGGCAGCGTCCCGAGCCAGTCCCGTTCTCCGAGTCGGACCCGCTCGGAGCCGGCCGGGTGCCGCTGGTGGCCGCCGAGCCGGGCGCCGGGGAGCGGCCCGAGCCGCCGACCGGCCGGCACCGCAGCCTGGCCGAGCAGGCCGCTCAGCTGACGGCCTCCGCCGACCGGGCGGCCGCCCTCCGACAGGTGGCCAGGGCCGGCAGAGTGCTGCTCTGCCGGGCGGCCGTCATGAGGGTCGTGCAGTACGTGGCCGCCAGGTGAGATGGACGAGGCAACGGGTGGGGCCATGATGGTGTGCTGGTTTCTTGACGGGTGAAATGAATGGTTTTACGTACCACAGGTAATAACATGCATAGGTTTTGGTTGGTAGGTTTGGTAGGATCCAATTATTCTGTTAACGATTCGTAAATCGCTGACTCGTAAATAAGCATGAATCACGACGTAACAACTCTTCGCCTTATCAGTAATTCATAACGGCAAACATGTCACCAATGTCCTCTTCCACGTAAACCCATCTGACTACTTTGCTCTTCCGTTCCGGCAGCGGCAGCGAGCGTCACCTGGCCGAGACTCTAACGGCCGTCGGTCTGGGCGACATCCAGCTGCTGGTGCGGCTCATGTGTCTGACGGCCGCCGGGCGCGTCCAGTCGACGGCCGAGTCGCCCTCCTGCCGGCCCCCGCCGGCGCCCTCGGCGGCCGCCGGCGCCGGGCAGCTCCCCGCCGCCGCCAGCGCCGGAGTCCGCGCGCTGAGCCGCGCCGTGGGAGCGCTGGCGGCCGCCGGGGACGGCGCCGCCGCCGAGCTGGTCCAGCTGTGTACCCAGGACCTGATGACGGCGGCGGTGGTACCGGCGCCGTCCGGCGGTACAGCGGCCGCCGCCACCAACTTGGCGGTGACTCAGACCCTGGTGGAGCTGCTGACTGCCGGCGATATTCTGGGGAAACACGGTCAGTGCACGACGGGAGGTGGACAGTTGGTAGTGAGAAACGAAGCTTAAGTTCCGGCGAACAATAGAATGTGACAGGTTGGCCGTTGGAGGCAGGGCTGCGTAGAGAATGGACTACTACCTCAGGCACTGTAGGAGCTCTGAGATGCCCAGTGAATGTTCTTTTAGGCCAGTTGGGTTACGAAAATGATGACATGACTTAATATTCTGTCTCGTAATTGCACGCGTGGGTAGTGTAGCTAATTCTCTCAGATCGTGACTGGTGCCAGCTGCCCTCATCTAACCGTCCGCTTCGCCCCTGCCCTTGACGTCAGGCGTCCCCCACAAGTCTCCGCCGAGCTCTCCGGGCGGCAGCAGCGCCGGCGGCGGCGCCCCGTCTCTGCCGCCCCTCTGTCAGCTGGCTGACGCGCTCAGCGCCTGTGTGCTCTCTATGAGAGCGACGCCGGCTTTGCGGACATGGGCCACGCAACAGCTGGTGAGAAACGGGGTCTCAGGATCAGGTATAATTATCGTCCTGATTGGTCTACCTCGAGTTCAGGACACGATGAGACCCGGTGGACAGAGAAGATTGTGAGCCGCCATTTCTCGGTCGTACGGAACAATGCCGTACTCTTGTTTCACGTCAGGTGGGACATTCTAGGTTACAAATGACAAGATCAGCCGTATTTCTTATCATAAATTACTTCCTTGCCCTTGTCCCAAGTTCAGCCAGTAGCTCCAATGTTTCCGTCCATCCGTTTAACCACTCGCGTTCCCCCCTCTAGGTGCGTTGTCTGTCAGTGTGCCAGTCGTCAGCCGACCCGGGCGACGAGTCGCTCTGTGACCTGGGCGGCTGCCTGCCGCGGCTGCCCTCCAGAGAGGTACAGGGGCACGGCGAGCGGGTCACACAGATCTGCTGGAGCAAACACAGAAACTGGATGGCTACATGGTAAGTGTGCACCGAGCTAAGCGTACCGCGGAGAGGTTTTGACTGGTCGTCTTTTTTAGTAGCGTGTGACATTACTAATGTTTTATGTTTTGTTTTACCGTTCGTTTGGAATCTCAGTGTCAGAAGTTTTGAGGCAAAATCAATTTAAACGCTTGAAGATTGTTGATGGATGTGACGGTACTCTGGTCGGCTCCGTGAGTGGTGAATCCAGTACCTAGGTGTGGACTTGGTGACCTTTCTCTTTATTCTCCTCCCAGCTCTTTATCCTCCCCCCCCCCTCCTCCAGCGGCAGTGACGGCACGGTGTCTGTGCCGTCAGTAGTAACTCCCCCCCCCCCCCTCCCCCAGCGGCTGTGACGGCACGGTCCGTCTCCGGTCAGCCCAGTAGTGACTCCCCTCCTCTCTTCCAGCGCTGTGACGGCACGCTCCGTCTTTGGTCGGTCCATTAGTGACTCCCCTCCCCCCCATCTTCCCCAGCGGCTGGGTAGTGACTCCCCTCTCCTCTTCCAGCGGCTGTGACGGCACGGTCCGTCTGTGGTCAGTCCCCTCCTCGGGCGTGCCGGTGATGGAGCAGACGCTGGTGTTTCACGCGGCGGCCGGCGTGTTTGGGCCGCAGCTGCAGAGCCGCCAGCTGGGACACCTCAGCTGGGGAGACGCCGGAGCGCTGGTGGCCGTCTGTATGGAGAGCACGCTCAACGTGTGGACTGTGCCCGGTGGGTGACGCGGGGGACGAGATAGAAGCAGAGTGGGATGCGATGTGTTGGGTGGTGTTCGCATGTTGTACGGTTGAATAGGGTGGTATTGGATGGGTTTGAACCATTTCAATCTGTAATGGATCTTATATTCTCTTTCTCAGCTAACTCTTCTGTGTCGCCTGCCTGTATAAGCTTCACGTCAAGACATGTCTGTGTCAGTGTATTCCATCTCTCTGAATGTTCTTCTCTCTCCCTCTCAGATGCCCAGCTGTTCATCTCTGACGAGCCGGCGTGGATCACGGCTGTGGCGTGGCCGGAGCCGTCGGGCGGCCAGCGGCCGGCGCTGCTGCTGGGCCGCGCCGATGGCCGCCTGGTGCTCGTCACAGTGCGGAGACACGGCGGTGAGGAGGAGCAGCACGGGCCCGCAGACGTCGAGTACGGCCGCACCGAGCTGGAACACTGCGGCAGCGACAACGGTGAGACGCGAATCGCGGCGGGATTGAATGGGGAGATAGTGGTGAGATACCGATGACGAGACACTGGTAGGATTATGCTGAAGTAGAGCTTAGCCTGCGAGAACGGAGCGTGTGTAATAATTGTTTGGGTCGATGGCTGACTGTCTCTTACCGCTCGTTTTCTACTGTTGCCGGTGAGTTGTCTGTTGTTGTTTCTCTGATCGTGCTACAGCGGTGTCTGTCAGTTTTCTGACCGTGCCCTCCCGCCTCCCCTCCAGCGGTGTCAGTGACCCACCTCAGCTGGCCGGACGGCGACTCGGTGTTTGCTGTGGGGTTCGCTGACGGCTCCGTTCAGATATCGTCACCCAGTCCCGACTCGGCCACACGCACACTCACCGTGGCACAGGTATGCCGGGTGATATGTGTTCGGAATTCTTAATTGTTTCATTTGAGATCGGTACTGGCCAACAGCCATTATGTTTTGCCCTTGGTATCATTGCTGTTGAGCATAGTAATTAGTAAGGACAGTGTCCGCGGTCCCTTGCTACACTGACTCTGATCTCTCCATCAGGGTCTGCTGACCTCCGTCTCGCTGTCCTCCGACGCCGCTCTTCTGGCCGTCTCTGGTGGGGACACTCCCCAGGTCACCCTGTTGGCGGCACCGGACTCCGGCGGCCGGCGTGAAGACTGGCTGCAGTTACCGCCGCTGCCGCTAGAGGCGCCACCCGTCACACTGGCCTGGCAGGCCGCCGGACGCGGTGAGTGGAGTGTGGAAGGGACGTGGTAAGAATTCGTAGGCATGGGGATTTGAGAGGAGGAAGCTGTATCAGTAATGGCCACTGACGGTCTGGTTGATGTTTGATGGATGTAATGCACTCCCGCGTCTTCTCCCCTCACTAGACGGCGGACCCTCCCCGCGCTATACCTTATTGCTCGGTTTTGAACCGTCTCGTCCGTCCCTTTTCCCCGTCAGGCGGCGCCGGTCCGGAGCAGGTGCTGTGCACCGGCTGTGTGGACGGTTCCACCGCCGTGTGGCTGGTCCGGCCCACGGCAGAGGGCTGCTGGTCGGCCGAGAGCTCCCTGCGACTGCGCGGACACCCGAGCTACCCGGTGACGGCCGTGGCGCCCCATTCGGCGGGCAGACCCTACCTGGCTACTGGTGAGAGACAGGGTCAGGGAGCGAGGGGGACTTATCAGTTACCTGGCGCCCTCCTCTAGGACGAGAAGTCGGTAGGGATCGACCCCATGATTGATATAGGATGTTTTCACCTAACTAATCGGTGGCGAGTCATCTTCATGAACTATGGTTAGATTTTATTCGCTAGATAGCAGTTGTTTGTCTTTTCTCTGCCCTAACGCCTCACCAAAGCTCCTCAACTGAGCTCATATAGTGAGTTAGCTATTCATTCTCTCCCTACAGGCTGTTTTAAGGGTATGATTGGCCTGGTAAACGTCTGGTCGCTGGTGGACGGAGCGCTCCTACAGACGGTGATCGGCAGCGGCGGACTACAGTCACTGGCCTGGGTCGGAGCCGCCGGCATCGCAGCCTGCTTCGCCAGGTCAAAGGTAAGACGCGTCCTCTGGCACAGATGGAGGGAATTTCCATGAGGGATGGATTATAGGAGGTCGAGTCAACTTCCCAACATATCGTCCGAATATGGTCAATATCGGTTTTTATGGCCAGTAATTTATTCAAGGTGTAGTCTGAGTGCTGGCTAAGCTGACTCGCTCCGTTGACTTACTCCGATAATCACCATATAGAATACTCCGTCCGTTCTGATCTGTCAGGACGTCATAACGTTCGGCGCGGTGCGCCCGGAGCTGCGCCGTCTGCAGCCGCTGGCCACGGCGCGCGCGGCGCTCATAGGCCGCGGCGTCACCGCCCTCCACCAGATGTACTGTCTCAGACACCTGCTGGTGCTGCTGCCGGACCTGATGGCGCACCAGTACGCCTTCGAAAAACCCACAGGTGGGTGTGAGAGAAGAGCGAGGGGCTGGGGTGGTCAGTGTGGACTGTGAGGTGGCAAGTGTTGTGATTTATCTTGTCATGTTTTGTCCGATCGGTTAGCAAAGCGCGAATTCATTTCACCATGGAAAAAGTAATTGAAAAAAATATACTACAAGCATCCTTATATCATAGAAGACGAGGATGCCATGTGTGTTAATTCTTGCTGTAACCAAACAGAGTGGTTCCCGCTTTAAATGACACTGCGTCCGTGTCCTCTCGCCAGTGATGGCCGGAGACCAGCTGGTGCACAGCGGGTACCTGCAGGCGCTGACCTGTCTGGCGCTGGGACTGCGGCTGGACAGGGTCCTCTGTTACACAGAGACGGCCGCCCACGAGCGGCAGCCCCAGAGAGGTGGGTGGGGTAGGGGGGGGGGCCGGGTCCTCTGCTACACAGAGACGGCCGCCCACGAGCGGCAACCCCAGAGAGGTGGGAGGGGTCAGCGCAAGTCAGCGCAGGGTAATGGGGTGTGATGACCGTTATGTGTGGAAGTTCTGCTGTGTTAATCCCTGCCTTCCGTATGGAGCCGTTGTGTTTGTTGTCTGACTGCTGCAGTTCTATCCGAGTACTGACTGTTACCGTCTTCCCATCTGATCCGCAGTGCCGGAGTGGTCGTGGCTGCTGAACTGCAGTCAGGCGGCGCACGTGGCCCACTCCCTGCTCACCAGACAGCCGCTGCCCCAGCTGTTTGTCGCCAACCAGGGTAAGAGACTAATACGGGCCACCAAGAGGGTCAGGGTGATCGCTTAGGGCGTGGCTGGCTGTCGTGGTTGAGACAGAATGTAAGCCTTATTATTTATGGCCATCTGCTTACTCTGCCTAAATCAAAGCTTGACAGTTGACATCGGCTTCCTTGATGAACTTGTACGTGTGTCCACCTGTGAAAACGTTCTCAATGGGGAATATGACTTCTTGTCGGTGAATTTATTTTGACTGACCGGAAAACAGCGCCCGATGCGGTGCTTGCAACGGAGGACTGTCACCAGCACTGCTCAGCGAGTGCTTACACCCCCCCCCCCCCTCTGTGCGTTCAGCGTCTCTGGACGGTGACGGCGGTGACCGGGAGGGCGGCGAGCCGTCCCCGTCAGCCACTGACAACAGTCAGTGGAGCGTGCAGCAGGACGGCGAGCTGATGGCCTGGGCCACCCACCAGCCGCACGACTGGCAGCTGGGCGGCGGCTGCAGCGCCTACCTATGGGGGTCCGGGAGGCACGGACAGGTGAGAGACGGAAGGACAGCGCCTTCCTCTGGGGCTCCGGGAGGCACGGGCAGGTGAGAGACGGGAGGACAGCGCTTACCTCTGAGTGTGTGTGTGTGTGTTTGGGGGGGGGGGGGGGGGCAGCGCCTTCCTCTGGGGCTCCGGGAGGCACGGACAGGTCAGATGAATTAGGAAGGAGCAGGGAGGGATGTTGGGCTTTTGAAGAGAAGGGTTAAGGTTTGGGAAAGACTAGGACATTCATGGGCTTTGACTGACCGAACTGTGCTTGAACTGTATCATTCATGACGAACTAGCAGTCACGCTGAACTTGATGGGGGAGCTGTTGTTTGACATTCTGAGTTGTATGCGATGTTATTGTGAAAACATACGAGGAATGACTGGTCGACTTCATTCGGTACCGGCTGAGGCCTCTGACCCCCACCCCGCACCCCACCCTCCTCCGTCAGCTGGGTGAGAGCCGCTCCACCTTCACGCCCGTGCGCGCCGAGTCGTTCGGCCGCTCGCAGTCGGTGGTGTGCGGCCAGAACTGTACGTTCGTTATCCAGTCGAACGGGACAGTGCTGGCGTGCGGCGAGGGCAGCTACGGCCGGCTCGGCCAGGGCAACAGCGACGACCTGCACGCACTCACCGTCATCAGCGGACTGCAGGGTGAGCAGAGACGGGGAGAGGGAGGGAGGGAAAGGAGTGGCGCCCTGAGAGGGAGATGAGCATTGCGGACACTGGCTGAGTGGCTAGTTTGTTCAATGATTATGCCAGAAGTTATATATCGTTGTTATTTGAACTTCGTCTCGGTTGGTAATTTTGCGAGCTTACCGTCTTTTGCTACTTTTACTCTTGTACCTGTTTCTTTATTCGACTGCCGCTACTTCTACCGTGAATTATCGTCTTCACTGACCCGGCTATTGACCCCCGTCTGTCAGGGTTCGTTGTTGTTCAGCTGACGACGTCCGCCGGCTCGGACGGCCACTCGCTGGCACTGGCCGAGTCCGGCGAGGTGTTCTCCTGGGGAGACGGCGACTACGGAAAACTGGGGCACGGCAACTCGGACCGACAGCGGCGGCCACGGCAGATCGAGGCGCTCCAGAGCGAGGAGGTCGTGCAGGTCAGTACATACTAGGGGTTATAAAGAGGTCGGTGGAGAGGTATTCAGGCCAGTGAGGGGTCATTCAGGTCAGGAGAAAGGTCAGATAGAGGCCAATCAGGTCATATAGAGGTCAGTGGAGAGGCCAGGATACACTGATACAAGGCCGTGGTGAGGTTACACAGAGGTCTGTAAGTGGGCCGTGATGCAGGTTGGTATGATGTTGACCGTGGTTTAGCCGCCTACCGTACTCCAGGGTCGCATACGTCCTACCTCCACATGACCTTGACCTGTCCTCCCGCAGGTGTCGTGCGGGTTCAAGCACTCGGCGGTGGTGACGGCCGACGGCAAGCTGTTCACGTTCGGCAGCGGCGACTACGGCCGGCTGGGACTCGGATCCACAGAGAACAAAAAGCTGCCAGAGCGGGTCACCGCGCTCGAGGACCACCGCGTCGGACAGGTGAAGAGGTGCCGGGGAGGGGGGAGGAGGTCAGTCATCGTGTTGTGTGTCTGGTACTGCTGAACGGCTGCGGGTCCTACTGTATAATACAGGGGCGGGCAAACTTTTGGGAGCGCGGGCCGGGTGTTGCATTTGTGAGCAACTGAGGGGCCTGAGTGCTAAGCTCTCCAGAGTTTCGTTTTCAATGACTAAAATGGATGCTATGTTGCTATGACGCGACTGACTAACGACGGGCAATGACTGTCTCATGACAGAGACAAATAACTATAGTTACACTTATCAAACGAATGACTTTTGACCCATGACAGCCGTACTAAAAATCAAGTCTGCTTTTGTAAAATGCACAGACACAGGAATCATAGGAATAACGACTCACCTTACCTATTTGAGAAGTGCCTCAAGAAGCTGGAGACGGCGGGCTACCTTAATGTTTATGTTTAGTTTCTTGGTTTAAGCCGCAAAACTTTTCTCGATCGTAAGAAGACAAAATACTTTGTGATTCACATGCTATTTGTATTGACACGATACTCCACGTCATTCCCTTCATGCTGTCCCAGAAAGGTACCGGAATGCGTCCTTCGATCACCGCACCCTTGTTTTTAGTGCGAAGGGTGGTGCTGCTTCCTGCCGTGAAGAAGCCCTTCGACATTCGGCGCCACAGATGTCGTCGAGGTCAGCCTGAGGACGTCATTCAGGTGACGATCAGACAGTCTGAATCGGAGGCGGGACTTCACGTACTTCATTTTGGAGAACAGCTGTTCGCAGCAGTACGTGCTACCGAACATGGCAGCGATGCATTGGACGTGCGATATGTAGTTGGGATATCCGCCAGTGGAGATAATGACATCGCGGAAGACGGGCACAGGCGAAGAGGTTCGAAACTTTCCTCTGAGTTCATCACTGCTTTGAAGTTCCACCGACTCGATCTGCAGGGATACCGGCGCTTCATCGACACTGAAGTCGAACGGTGCTGTCACCAGCTTGAAGTCGGTAGCGAGCTCCCGAACGCCAGCGAAGCGGTTCGTGAACTCCTGGCGCAGAGTGGCAAGAGCAGGGGCACATCCATCGCGGTCAACATCTTCCGCAGCACAGGTGGCCAGGCGAGGGAAGTGGTCAAGCTGTCCTCGACCTACCTGGGCTTCCCACAGACGAAGCTTCACCTCGAAGGCAGTGACATGCGCATACATGTCGGGGAGCAGAAGATCTTTTCCTTGAAGTTTTGTGTTCAGCGTGTTCAGGTGGGATGTGATGTCCGTGAGCAAAGCCAGGTCAGCCAGCCACCTGGAATCACTGAATTTATCGCCGTATGACGAGCTTTTCTCATATAGGAAGCTCGCGATGTCCTGCCTGAGCTCCCAAGCACGGGACAGCATGGCGCCGCGACTCAGCCAGCGTGCCTCACTGAAGAACAGCAAGTCACCGTGTCCGTGGTGCTATTGCTACTGAACTCGGATGAACCATAATCCTAAACTGGGCTTCCGTAGGGCTCGCGGGCCGGATTGCAATGCTGGCTGCCTATCCAGGCCGCCGGCCGGACGCCGGAGCTTGGCGGGCCGCATCCGGCCCGCGGGCCGGACTTTGCCCGCCCCTGGTATAATAGGATCTAGCTGACTTCTAGGAGGTAGCATCGGTTCACAGCTGGCAGGGAGGTTCGGCTACAGCTAGCCCAGATATGATAAGAGGACGACTTGGAAGGACCGAAAACTCTATGGGGTTGCCTGGCCATTACATTATTATGATTACGAAGTCACCGAGATTTTGTCGTCACGCAGAGTGGTGCGAGGCTACACTAGTGTGATATCTTGATCCTGTGGATCGTTACGGTTAGATGCCCGGATAGCTCAGTTGGTAGAGCGTTAGGCTTTTAACCTAACGGTCCAGGGTTCGAGTCCCTGTTCGGGCGTCACTTTTCTATTTCGCATGATGCCTTTAGAACCAAGCGTCGCATTCATTATTCCTAGCGCACAACCCCACGACTCCATTTTTCACTGCTAATTGATTGTTAATTAGCCTTCACGCGTCATTATTCAGAGCCCTCACGCGTGATTATCCCGTGTGAATAACTCGGCCGTCGGCCGCCAGGTGGCCTGCGGCCTGAACCACACGCTGGCGGTCTCGGCCGACGGCGCCACGGTGTGGTCGTTCGGAGACGGCGATCACGGCAAACTGGGACTGGGCAGCACCGCGTCCAAAACCACACCGCAGGTAGGTGCTATCGGTATTCTTTGTGCTTCTCCGGCGGAGAAGCTACGCCAAGGTCACTGGGACGGTGAACGCGGAAGCTTCGAGACATGGTTCACGAATAGCCCACACTCTGATAAAACGATGTAAGTGTTTTAGCTAGCGACATGTGATAACTACATGCCGTTTCATAGGCGTAGGAACAGGGGGGGCCAGGTGGGCAAGTGCCCACCCACTTTTCGAGGTGGGGGGGGCCAACCATGTGTTTTGGCCCACCCACTTTTTACTCGAGGCCCCTCGTCTCGATTTGAGAGGACGTTGTCACCTTCCAGAATAAACAAACTCGGTAAAAATAAGTTCCACGAATCCCCACGCACGGACTCCAAGGGGCCGTGATGGATCCAAGGATGCCCTCTGTTCATACTTGTCAGTCGAAGCCCCTGAGACTGATGGCCTCAGAGGCCCTAGTGGACCTGAGGAGGCCTCAATATCCACACTGGTCTGGGGAGGCCCCTGACACTGGCGGTCAGGGAGGCCCCTCTATCCACACTAGTCAGAGGTCTGAGACTGGTGGTCTGGGAGGCCCCTCCATCCACACTAGTCAGAATAGGCCCCTGACACTGGCGGTCTAGCCGAGGCCCCCTACCCTCACTAGTCAGAGGAGGCCCCTCTATCCTCAATAGTCAGAAGAGGCCCCTGAGACTGATGGTCTGGGATGCCTATCCATCTACACAGTAGTCAGAGGAGGCCCCTGAGATGATGACCTGAGAGGCCCTTATAATTACACCAGGCAGAAGAGGCCCATGAGACTGATGGACTGAGAGGCCCTTCTATTCATACTGGCCACAGGAGACCCCCAAAACTTTCGATCTGGGAGGTCCCCCAATCCGGCACCAGTCAGAAGAGTCCCCTGAGACTGATGGCCTGGGAAGCCCTTATATTCACACTAGGCAGAGGAGACCCTGAGACTGATGGTATGAGAGGCCCTTATGATATTCACACTAGTCAGAAGAGGCCCCCGAGGCTGATGGCTGTGAGGCCCTTCTGCTCATATAACTGACCACTGGAGGCCCCTAAAACCGGTAGTCTGGGAGGGCCCTTTATCCACACTAGTCAGAAGAGGCCCCTGAGACCGATGGTCTGAGAGGCTCTTATATTCATACTGGCCACAAGAGGCCCCTGAGACTGAGTCAGAGAGGTCCACTCCTAATGAATCTGAGGGGCCCTCTATCCACATTTACACTTTTCTAGGGAGGCCCCTGATGGTCTGAGAGGCCCTTTTATTTATACTGTCCACAGGAGCCCCCTGAGATTAATGGTCTGAGAGGCTCTTCTATTTATACTAACCAGAGGAGGCCCCTAGGATTGATGGTCTAACAGGCCCTTCTATTTATGCTAGCCAGAGGAGGCCCATGAGACTGATGGTCTGAGAGGCCCTTCTATTCAAACTAGGCAGATGAGGCCCCTGAGAATGATAGTCCGAAGAGCCATGCGGCGGCAACTGGCCGTGGCCATATTTCGGCTCGATAGGGCCCCACAGAGCTCATGAGAGCATCTCAAGGGCTCATAAGTATGTACGCTTATCCCCATAAGGGTGCCACGCCGGCTTCTGAAGGCTCCTTGTAGGCATCTAAGGGCCCTTTCCGGCCTCTAACGGCTCCACCCGCCTGTGATGGCTCCACACCAGTGTTTATGAGCGCCACACAGCGGTGCCTTTGAGGGTCATACTAGTGTCTCTTAGGGCCCTATATCGGTGGCTCTGGGGGCCCCACACCGGCGCCTCTGTGGGCCACCACACCTGTGCATCTCAAGGCTCTATAGGTACATCTCTGAACTCTGAAGGACCCACACCGACACCTCTGAGGGCCCCACACCAGTATCTCGGAGCTCTGAAGGCCCCACACCGGTGACTCTGAGGACTCACCGGCTCCTGAGAGCACCATGTTGATGTCTAACGGCTCCACAAGGCCACTGAAGGCAGCACACGAGCTCTCACTGAGCTCTAATGTCCATGTACCGGCCTCTGAGGGATTTAAGCCAGCGCATTCATAGCTCCACACCAGCAATTGTAAGGGCTTCACACTGAAGTATCTGAGGGTTCCACACCGGTGTCTCTAAGGGCCACATACCGGCATCTCTGAGGGCCCCATACCGGCGTCTCCGAGGGTCCACATCTGGCGGGCACCCATCAGCGACTGAAGGTCCCACACTGTCGACTCCGAGAGCCCCATCTGCGTCTGGGAGCAACATGCCGTTTCTAAGAACCACAGCGGCTCCTCCGTACGAAAGATGGGCGTCTGCATGCCAAAGGGGAGCGGTTCTGAGACAGTAGGGCATAGGCGTCGCCAGAGATTTTCGGTTGGGGGGGCAAAATCGATTTTGGTGCTGAATCTTGCCTTTCTACAGTCATTACTCACACGTTTTACATGTCATTCGACGCGCCATGGCGCGAAGAATGCAGTGGTGGCAAATATTTTCCTCTAGCTATGAAATGCAAAAAAAAAGAGTGGACGACTTCGGTAAAATCAATGCTTGGCCCATTACCCGTTAGGTACGTCAGTTTTAGCAGGGCAGAACCTTGTTATGGGGAGGCCGGAGGGCACAGTGGGTCTTTGGGACCCCCTCCCTCAGACGGGCCCCGTGCAGGGGCTCCCGATCCTCATCCAGAAGAAGTTAAAAATGATCCAGGCAGTCGGTTCACCCTTCTAAAAATCCGTTTCTTGTATGCATAATTGCATAGTTTTTGCGATGTATTTGTTGTATTTTCGACTCGACTTCGACCCCGGCTTCCAAAATCAACTTCGACCCCGGCTCCCCAAATCGGATCTGACTCCGGTCAGAGCTGTCGACCCGACCGACTCCAAAGTCCAACCACGACCCGCAGCCCTGCTGAGAGGCACACGTGGCCCCTCAGATGCTGGTTTTGGGTCTGCAAGAGCCCTGTGTTGCCTCAAGAGCTCGGCTGGGCTAACTATTAGAGGTCAGCGAAGGTTTTAAAAAATCTCCGAAGGTCCTTGTTCGAAGATCCGTTTCTTTCATAGACCTGCCGTATGGATGATTGGAATGACTATCAGAGACTGCCATTGGCCATTGGACACCGATGGGACCCTCATAGGCCAGTATGGGGCCGTTGAGGCAGGCGGAGGCCCTCAGAAAGACTGTCCAAGTAGCCCTCAAATATCTGCGCCTAAGCCTTCAGAATCAGCAGTGGGAGACCGGAGTGGTGTTCGCAGTGCCGGCCCGAGGGCCCCCAGAGGTCGGTTTGGGTTCCTCGGAAGTTAGCGTAGGACGTTCTTAGAGTTCAGTGGGGATTTTTAGGAGCATAAGAGCGGCCTTTAATAGCCCTGTGGCACTTTAACGGCACTTGAACATGCCGCAGACATTTAGCCAGAACTGGAAAAGACCCTGACCCAACTTCGAAATTTTCGAGCTAGGTCTTCACACAAAAATTTCGTGACAAAATTTTCATAGACTGATGAAAACCGAGCATAGAACTCAGCTAAAACCAACCAATACATCCAATGAATCAAAGTATTGACATGTCCGAGTTTGGAGTCAAAGTCCGGAAGAATTTGGTGACTCTCACTCAGACTCTCGCTGGGACTCTCGACTCTGACCAATTCTGACTTCACAGGACATTTTCGAAAACTACCCCCATTTTTTGCCGACCCCAAAATCTCATCGGATCTGCATCGATCTCAGGGGGTGCCCTGCCGGAGGTTGGGGGGGGCAAGCTGCCCCGCTTGCCCCCCCCCCCCCCGTGGCGACGCTAATGCAGTAGGGCACCTACGTGCAATAGAGGGGCGCCTATGAAGCCCATAGGGGCGCCTCAATGCGAAAGAGGGGCGCCTCTGAGGCCTACATATATGGGCGTCCACATGCAATAGAGGTCTGCAATGCAATTGATCAATGCCATGGGGGTGCATTCATAAGAAACAGGGGCGCCGGCTTGGCAAAGAGAGGCGCCTTCAAGTGTCCATAAAAGAGAGACGCCTATGATAAGCACACATTGTATGCGACAACGGGGCGACCGTGGGACATATAGGGATGTCTCTGATGACTATACATAGGGCGCTTATATGCCAAAGAGGGCGCCTATAAAGCTAATGGGGGCACCTGGGAAACGAGGAAGACATTTGTTTGTGTAAGAATTTTCAGGGGTCATGCGCCGCTTGCGGCAAATAGATTCTAAAAAAATCGGAGGGGAATAAGTTTTAAAAATGGTGCGGACTTTCCGCACTGTTCGCTTAAGCGGTTACGCCCCTGCGTACATCTGCCCGATCTCAGAAGCTAGATTTGGAGGTCATACTTGAAAACAGCCAGCAGGACGAGGCAAAAGTTGGAGGCCCCTGAAAATAGGAGGCCCCCTGGAAAAGGAGGCCCCTTGACAGGGTGGCCCACCCACTTTTCATGACGTTCCTACGCCCGTGTGCCGTTTTATGAATATATAATAGCACTTGTGTAACCCAGCTGCATATGGTATCCACAGAACGAGCTGTTATGTTTACGCCTTACCCCATTGCTGAATGCAGCGCCATACCGCGCCCGTCCCATTGACCACCGTACACCCATTACTACCACCCACTGCTGATGAATGCGTCACTCTTTTCCCGTCCGCACGTCCTACCCTCCCGCGCTGTCAGTGTGGTGATCCCGTCGTTCCGTCGTCAGGTGGTGGAGGCGATGTCGGGTCTGGGCGTCAAGAAGGTGCTCTGTGGCAGCCAGTTCTCTGTGTTCCTCACCCACTGCGGCAGCCTCTACACGTGCGGCATCGACAGACTGATCGGACAGCCCGACGGACGCATACGGGGACACACCCGGCCCCAGCAGGTAAACGGGATATGGACAGAGGGCTGTTAGACCTCTGTCTGCCGTTCAGTGCCGTCCCCTTCCCCTTACCCCTAACGAATAGCGCCTCCCCTTCCCCTCCCCGCAGACCTTTCGTTCAGTGCCGGGCAGCCTCCAGCTCTCCATACCTTTAGCCACCGAACAGTGTCTTCCCCCTCCACTCCAGACCTGTTTGCCGAATAGTGGAGTCCCGTCCTCTCCCCTGCTGTCTGCCGTCCCCTCCCCTCCTCCCCAGTCCTCTGGGTCCTGTTTTATGGCTCGACGCTACCAGGCATTGGCGCCTTGGTTCCCGAGGAAACGTGAGCAAAATTGTCAAGTTTGCTTACGTTTCCATGGTAACCGAAACGCCAGCATCCGATAGCGTCAGGCCGTGAACCATGGCCCCGTTTACCGATCAGTGCCCTCCCACCGCCCCATTCCTCCTCATCTCCGTGTCAGACCATGGACGGCAGATGGAAGGGCTCGGGACTGCATGGTAGTTGGAAGGGTGCGGCACTAAGCAATAGTCTAAAGGAGGCGGCACTAAGCGATAACTGGAAGGGTGCGGCACTAAACCATAGCTGGAAGGGTGCGGCATTAAAGGTAATTAGAGGGGCGCGGCACTGAAATAAAGCTGGAGGGGTGCGGCACTGACCGTAAGTTAGAAGGGTGCGGCACTACCTGTTCGCATTCAGTGCCGCACCCTTACACCTTGCGCTCAGTGCCGCACCCTTGCAACTTATGCTTAGTGTCGCACTCTTCTCATCCCTGATCAGTGCCGCACCCTAACTCTACGTTACGGAATACTCTAGGGTGCGACACTAAGCGTAGAATGAAAGGGTGCGGCACTGAATGTATGACCAAAGGGTGCGGCACTGTGCTTTTATTAGTGCCGCACCCTTGCACCTTTCGCTCAGTGTCGCACCCTTGTGGTCTTTATTTAGTGCCGCACCGTTCCGTTGACAATTAGTGCCGTATCCTTGCGTTGTTCGTTCAGTGGCGCACCCTTTTGGCGGACGTTCAGTGCCGCATCCTTGCACCTTGCGCTTAGTGTCGCACCCTTCTCATTTTTGGTCAGTGCCGCACCCTGGCATTACGTAAAACGCAAGGGTGCGACACTAAGCGTAGAGTGTAGGGTGCGGCACTGTGCTTCTATTAGTGCCGCACCCTTGCATCTATCGCTCAGTGTCGCACCCTTCCTTTCACAATGAGTGCCGTATCCTTGCGTTGTTCGTTCAGTGCCGCACCCCTCCTGTAGTGCCGCACCCTAGTCGTTGTCCTTCGTTCAGTGACGCAGCCTTCCCATTAATATTAGTGTTGCACCCGCCTGGCTTCGTTTAGTGCCGCACTCTTACGGCTGTCGTTCAGTGTCGCACGTCGAGCGTCAAGTGCCGCACCCTTCCGTCGATGGCTCAGCGGCGCACACCTTTCCGACTACCGTTTAGTGCCGTACCCTCTCGTTCACCGTTGCCGAACGCCTTCAGCTGGCCCATCGTTCAGAGCCGCATGCCGCACTCTTTTCTGCCTACCATTCAGTGCCGCCCCCTCCCCTTCTCAGACATCCGCCTGATCGGAGGCGGGCCACCGGGACCAAACGCTCGCGCTCCGTGAGCGCTCGAACATGGGCGTGTATTTATCACTGATCTCTACACTCATACCCGCACGGCAGCTGGTGCCCACTTTTGTGGGCGGGCAATCACAGATGTGTATTTATCAAAGCCCTCTGCCCAATCTATCTCCACCTCCCATCTCTCCAGATGCCCGTGCTCGGACACTGACTAAGCTAGCTTGTCGGTGTCGTCCGTCTCACATCACCGGTCTCCCCTGTCCCCAGGTACCCGCGCTCCGTGAGCGGACGGTGGTGGAGGTGGCCGTGGGCGCCGAGCACACCCTGGCACTGACCGCCGACGGCCTCGTGTTCGCCTGGGGGACAAACAACGACGGTCAGCTGGGGCTGGGGCACACGGCCGGCGTCCGGGAGCCGCAGCTGGTGGCCGCGCTCACCGGGAAACACATCAGACAGGTCAGTAATTACGGGGAGGGACGGGGCGAACTGGGGATGGGTAGCTAGTGCTTTGAATGGGCGTAGGGAGGGAAGGAGTGATGCCTGTTGGTGTCGTAATGGTTGATTTGTGGGCCTGTGGGCACAGAGAGCTCTCAATTCATGCTGTCCTCTCACATCTCTCACATCCATGCTGACACACATCTTCTCACAGCGTCTTACGGTCGATTTTACAGAGATTCACGTGAACCCATAGGTGGAGGTTTGTGCCGAGCTAGGGGTGCCCGAGATCTCCCAATTCCATGCCGGCTTGGCTTTGGAGCCGCAACGGATGGAACTTCCTCCTAATCAGGACTAGCCCACTGTTATATCAGTAAAGATATCCCTAACCCGTCCGGTCCCGTCCCTCCCGCGTTCTACTGACCCTCCCCGCCACCTCCCCAGATCTCGGCCGGCCGGTGTCACAGCGCGGCGTGGACGTCGCCGCCGATCGGTCCGCGCACGCCGGGCGTCTCATGCGGCCCCAGTCTGGGCGTGCCGTCGCGGGTGCCGCCGCAGTACAGCCGGCTGCAGGGGCGCGCGCCGGCCGCGCTCCGGCGCCGCCTGCTGCTGCTGCACCGCTACTCGGACCTGGTGTACGCCAGTTGGAGACTGCTGCCGCTCACCAACGCTCAGGTGCGGAGAGGGGCTGCGGATGGGAGAGAGGGAGGGTGTCAGAAGCGGGAACGAGGGCTGAATGGGAGACGGGGACTGTCGGCTCGGTTAATTTCTGAGCTGCATGATAAACGTTTTGACCATTCGATGAATATGTGCCCGTTTTTTTATCCTATTAGGTAGTCTGCATTCTATGTCTGCATTCCAAATGGCAGTCCGCCACGTCGCCGCTCTATGTCGACGTGCTCCGATGTACATTGTGCAGTTTACCACGCCTCGGGTTACTGTTCCTCTGTAAACTGTGTCACGGTTGTGTTTCAGCCGAGTGAGCAGCTGGCGCCCGGCCTGGCCGCCGTCACTTCCCCGGAACTGAGGCCCCTGCTGGCGCCGCGCGTCTACACGCTACCCATGGTCCGCAGTCTGGGACGGACCATGGTCCAGGTACGGTTCATCAGTGGGGTTCTACTCGTACACGCTACCCATGGTCCGCAGCCTGGGGCGGACCATGGTCCAGGTACGGTCCCACCCTGCGGGTCTACACACTGCTGAGCTGCCTACAGGGTGATTGACTGTTGTAAATTGTATCAGTCTTGCTAGTTCGTTAAAGCTTTTGCGACCAGCTACTTCCAACAAATTAGCATTAGCATGGGTTAGTTTCTGCATTCTCGCTCAGTCACAAAGCCAATGTTTCAGCTGTCATTTCCCGACCATCTCACCCAGCTCTGACAGTTGTCCAAATGTCCTGACCGTCGATATCCCGTTCGCAGGGTAAGAACTACGGGCCTCAGATCACGGTGAAGCGTTTGGCGGTGCGCAGCCGCGCCTGTAAGCCCATCTTCCTGCAGATAGCGCGACAGGTGGTACGGCTGAGACCGGCCGACCTGCGGCTCCCCAGCAGGGCCTGGAAGGTAGGTGCCGTGCAGGGCCTGGGAAGGTAGCACGGGTGGTTAGAGTAGGAGCGACTCAGTCGCGACTGGGGTGTCACCGTGTGTGAACGTGGCTATGAGGGAGGGGCGCCGTGCAAATATAACTACCTAACAAGCGATGCTATGGAGGTTCACTCATTCATTCATCAAGTTATGAGTTTTCAAGTAGATGAAGATTGAAAACGGTGTGATTTTTTCTGTGATCTTGGAATTGTCAGTGGAGCACGAATAATAACGGGTTCCATCAGATTACGCCCCGCCCTTACCCCTTTCCAAATAAAAAATAGCTCGCCCCCTCGCAGGTGGAGCTGCTGTTTCTCCAATTGCCGCAGCTGACCCCCTGCCCCCCCCCCCCCCGTCCTGCAGGTGAAGCTGATCGGCGAGGGTGCCGACGACGCCGGCGGCGTGTTCGACGACACCATCACGGAGATGTGCGTGGAGCTGACGGGCGGCGCCGTGCCGCTGCTGGTGCCCACGCCCAACGCCGTCTCCGACACGGGCTGTCACCGCGACCGGTTCCTGCTCAACCCCGAGCTGGCCGCGTCACACCAGCTCAGCCTCTTCAAATTCCTCGGTATGTGTCTAGGGGATAGGGGAGGGATAAGGGATAGGAGTGGCGGGATAAGGGAGGATAATGTCTTTATAGGGATGGGATACTGGGCCGAAAGATTAACGCGAGGAAAATTTATATTTGCTGGCATGGAGACAGCTCTAGGCAACAGACCAAAGGTTGGTTTGTACTAAACGTTGGCTTCCACCTTTTAGATGATGCAAGTTTTCTTTCCGTGATTGATCGAAGACTCCTCCCACTCTGTTGACAAGTGTCTGTATTGACTGATGCCTCACCTCGCTAACAAGCCACCTTCCCCCTGCAGGCATCCTGCTGGGCGTGGCGATCCGGACCAAGAAGCCGCTGGCCATCCCGCTGGCGCCGTTCGTGTGGAAGCTGCTGGCCAACATGACGCTGGGTCTGGACGACCTGGAGGAGACCGACTCGCTGTTCACACAGAGCCTGCGCTACGTGCGAGAGCTCAGCGACGACATACCCGAGGAGACGCTCAATGAGGTGAGAGAGAGAGGGAGGGGGAGGGAGGGATACAGGAGAAAGTACGAGAAATGAGCGACGATATACTGGAGGAGACTCTCAATGGGGTGAGGGAGGGAGAGCGTGAGAGATAACGGGAGACAAAGGAGAGAGTCTGGGAGTTGAGTGACGAGATACCGGAGGGAGGTAAGATAGCCACAAAGACCATAATGTTGTCAAAAATGTCGTTTTTTAAATTACCATAATGGCCTTGATAGATGGCATGTGACAATTTTGCACTTTATAAATTTGATATATTATATCAGTTATCTCGTAGCACGTGAGAGTACTGAGCAGCGGACGCCACAACCCCTCCACTCTCCCCTACTAGCCACTGGCCACCTTGCGAACCCTGACTCCCCCCCCCCCCCCCGTCGTCAGGTATTACCGGTGGAGACGTTCGAGGCGCCGTCGTGCACGGGCCGTCTTGTGCCGGTGGTGGCCGGCGGACGCACCCTGCGCGTCACGGCCGCCACCCGGCGCGAGTACGTCCGGCGCGCCGTGCTCTACAGACTGCACGAGATGGACCTGCAGGTGGGTGGAGCGGGCTGAGAGAAGGCAGACGGACGGACGGACATAGATGAACGGAAACAGAGATGGACGGAGGTAGACAACTCAAGTATCAACGGACGGACGGACGGACGGACCGACGGAGGGACGGACGGACAGAGATAGAGACTGCATACAGAGAGACAGACAGACAGGCGGACGGACGGCGGAGAGACAGACAGATGGGCAGATAGACAGACAGAGATAGACATGTGGACGGACGGACGCAAAGTGACAATGGACAGAGTAGAGTAGAGGACGATAGCACCGGTCACCTCGTACATCTCGGAAAAAGATGTCCATGGTGAATTTGAAATATCGTGCCATGGATTTGTTTAGTCTTATGCGAACGTGTTGTAACATCCTCTGTGTTTAACCCCAGGTGTCGGCGGTGAGGATAGGTATGTCCTGGATGGTGCCGGTGCCGCTGTATGGTGACGTACCCCTGTACCCTTCAGGTGTCTGCGGTGAGGGAGGGTATGTCCTGGATGGTGCCGGTGCCTCTGTATGGTGACGTACCCCCTGTACCCCCAGGTGACTGCGGTGAGGGAGGGTATGTCCTGGATGGTGCCGGTGCCGCTGTATGGTGACGTACCCCTGCACCCCTTCAGGTGTCTGCGGTGAGGGAGGGTATGTCCTGGATGGTGCCGGTGCCGCTGTGTTGTGACGTACCCCTGCACCCCTTCAGGTGTCTGCGGTGAGGGAGGGTATGTCCTGGATGGTGCCGGTGCCGCTGTATAATTGTGACGTACCCTGTACCCCCAGGTGTCTGCGGTGAGGGAGGGTATGTCCTGGATGGTGCCGGTGCCGCTGCTCTCCCTGCTCACCGGTCAGCAGCTGGAGCAGCTCGTCTGCGGTCTGCCAACCATCTCCGTACCGCTGCTGAAAACCATCGTCAGGTGAGCTGGACGGGAAGGAAGGAGGAAGTGCGCGGGCGAGTGAGTGTGTGAATGAGTCAGTCAGTCAGTCAGTGAGTGAGCAAGGCAGTCAGACAGTTATTCGGTCCAGTCACTGGATCAGTGAACGAGTGAGAGAAGAATGAGAGTTAGAGAGAGAGAGAGAGAGAGAGAGAGAGAGAGAGAGAGAGAGAGAGAGAGAGAGAGAGAGAGGAGAGAGAGAGGAGATAGAGAGAGAGAGAGAGAGAGAGAGAGAGAGAGAGAGAGAGAGAGAGAGAGAGAGAGAGAGAGAGAGAGACCCACACGTGCGGAGGCGAATTATGCCGGCAGTACGCCGGTTGTAGGAACTCACTAGAGCTGAGAGAGCTAAGCCAGGCAGCGGAGGCATCTCTCACCCCTGTGCCTTGCCACTGACAGTCTGACGGCAATTTCGGCCCACCGCAGTCACCATGTGACAGTGAGTGGGGAATTTTCGACAGAGTTCGTCCCGGTAATTGATAAAGACGAGCGGGTCGACACCCGCTGTCAGCAGTGTGGCAATCTGCCAATTTAACCCATCTGTGTGGGACTCTACCTCGGTGGTGGCCCGCCTGCCTGTCAGTCACGGGAGCCGGTTAATTTACCCCGGCGATGCGTGGTCAATTTACAACTTTGGCGTTTGGTTATTTATCTCCGCGATGCGCCGGTTTATTATCCTGGCAATACGCTTTTGAACTTATCCTACTAGTGTGCCTAATAACTCCTCCCCGGTGCACCTAAACCATCCCCGGTGTTCACAGATATTTTAATCAGTTCCCGCTCGGTCAAATAACCTCTTCCGGCGTTGTTCCATTTCAGGTACCGTGAGCTGGACGAGCAGCACCCGCTGGCCCAGTGGCTGTGGGCCGTCCTGGACAGCTTCTCCGACTCCGAGCGCGTCCTCTTCATGCGCTTCGTCTCAGGCCGGTCCCGACTGCCGGCTAACCTGGCAGATCTGTCCCAGAGGTTCCAGGTAAGTGCGGTTCCTGATTGATTGGCTTGTGGGTTGCTGAGCTGGTTGAATTGTCAACTAGTAACGTCGACCAAGTTCCATTTAAGTGCTGTTTGTCGTGATGGCGACTGATCGTTCGGTAATTGAGGTCATTACCAACCAATCACCGCGAGGGTTTGCACCATTCAGTCCGTTGATTACCTCTCGGCTGAAGTACCGTGTCCGCCATTAACTCTGTGTATTTCTGCCGCAGGTGATGAAGGTGGACAAGCCGACGGACGGCCTTCCCACGGCTCAGACGTGCTTCTTCCAGCTGCGTCTGCCCCAGTACTCCAGCCAGGTGAGAGTCTTTGACCGTTGTACTTCAGACCGTTACACGTCCTTCTCACTAGCTCCCACCTTCGTGTCACAATCCTTCGGCCGTTCCGACAATTTCATTGTCGGAACGGCCGGGTGACAATATCATTGTCGCCCATATTCTTCCCTCCGTACAGCTTCTGCCTGCACCAGCCTTCCACTGTGGCTAGACTGCGTCAAAGTATGACAGTCTTGCTGGTATTTCAACCCTCCGCCTTTCACCTCAGGAGATGCTGGCCGACCGTCTGCGGTACGCCATCAACAACTGCCGCTTCATCGACATGGACAGCTACATGCTGGCGCGCAACACGGACGGAGGCACCGTCTCAGACGACGAGATCATGTAGCTACAGGGAGACCGCACCGCGGGCTCTTCGGAAACCGCACCGCGGGCTACTCTGAGATCGCACCGCGGATTCTCCCTCCAACGGCAGCTGGTGAGACAGACGAACTTACCCAAGCTGCGCGATAGGCGGTATGAAATCTATATCCACTACCGTGGATTGTTTGGACGGCTGTCGGGTCCCCAAATCAAAATCCGCTGTGGCAGAGCGAAGAGCTGTGGAGTTTTGACCGAACTGTGTTGTGTTCCGCGGAGAGAGAATACTCGGCCCTATCCGATACTCAGGTTGGTACTGGGAGAGAATGAAGGGGAGGTAGAGGGGAGCGAAGTAGAACAAAGAGATGGACGGCTGGAGATATCGATGCGATGGCTTCGTTCCTATTCAGTGCGATGGTGTTGCTAACAAATTGTACATTTTGTTGTCTCAAAGTTCCAAGTGAGTGTTGTTATGCCGTGTTTTATGTTGCTGCTGCCTGTTTTAATCATGTTCTCTTTCAACTTGCTTTAATTACTTTTAATTCATTGTGTGGAGCGCTGTGGTCCCGACTCTGTAAATCGAGCTTACGACGATATTTGTTTCTTTACGCGATGCGTATTACAAATCCAGCGATGTCGTATTTTTACTTGTCTGAATCTGGGGACTGTGCATGCAGATGTTTGGGATATTTCCCAAAATATATTTTGAAACTCATAGCTACCTTTGTTTAGTTATATTTTGGATGGTATTTAGTAGGGCTGTTTGCCCTACGAGTGGATCAAAAACAGCCGGTTATCGCACACGAAGAACGTCTTAATTATGTGAGTCGTTGGTCGTGAGCCTGGAAGGGCGACCCAGTTGTTCATAGCGTGACATGGGCGCATTGTTTACCACCGTACCGCATTAGTAGGGATGCCAGTCAGCCAGCAGCCTCTGTGGCGGGGAGGGGGAGAAACGAGGGCAGACGAGGGCACCGGCGCGGGCGGCGGGGCTGAGCGAGTTTGTTGTTACGGGGATAAAATACAGGACTGAGAAGGGGATGTGGAGAAGAATACCGAAGAAGTCCATTATCTTAACCGTTTGTCTAAAGCCTGAAACAGACTCTTTCCGCAGTCAGGAAATCGCATGCGAGAGCCTATTCAAATACATGGAAGCACGCTCGCATCAATCGCACGCACCTCCCGCAAGCGATTGATGCGAGAAGAATTACAATGTATTTGAATAGGCTCTCGCATGCGATTCCCTGAACGCGGAAAGAGTCTGTTTCAGCCTTAACAGTTGACCACCCCTGTGCCCTGGCTATCGTGAGAATCTGGTACAAAAGGGTGTTAGCCGCACAGCCAATCAAATACTGGAGAAACGAGGTTCACAATGTGCAATCAATCCTATTCAGAAACAGCAATGGATGTCTATTGGGGCACCTGATCGAGTTTCGCAACTCTGTCCCCGGTGACGGGGACAACGATCAAACGACTGTTCTCCGGTCCGGCGGCTGTGCTGGGCAGCCACCGAGAGAGTCCTCACGGGACACAGTCGGAGGGTAAGGTGGGAGTTCCCCATTTTAACAACGCTCACCGGCTGAGTGGATCCGGAGACCCTCTGACGGGTCGAGTCAAATGTCAGCGCGATGGAGATCGTTCAGACTTCAGAGTTTCATACGGCAAACGGGTACTGGCTGATCAGTGATCATGCTCGCTTCGAAATCGTGACTGACATCTCGAACGCCGACGCTCTGGGTTAGAGGTAATGTGAAGTGGCGGTTTATAGGCGACTCACCTGGCTGGAGTACTGGGGCAGACGGAGCTGGAAGAAGCACGTCTGAGCCGTGGGAAGGCCGTCCGTCGGCTTATCCACCTTCATCACCTGCGGCACAAATACACAGAGTTAGTGGAGGACACGGTGATTCAGCTGAGAGGTAATCAACGGACTGAGTGGTGCGGATCCTCGCGGTGATTGGTTGGTAATAAATAATAATCGTTATCGGACGCTGAACGATTGACAGAGCCGTACAATTCCCTCGCAGTCAGCCATCAGCCTCCGCCCATTCTCCATAAACTCTTACCTTCTGTGCATAGTCCCTCTTCTTTATCCGTACCTAACTACATGCATTGTATGTAGTCTTCACGACGGGTACCTAAAGCTCGATGTGAATATGAAAGCTTGGGTTAAGTCGCGTCCGGTCGGATGCAGCTAAACGCGCCAGCTCCAACTTTCAGTAAGATAAGTTAGCGAATGTTCTTGCATGTTCCGAGCTTGTCGGCGTGCTCTGTATTCATTTTCACTCAGAGCGGTGGCATCCCTATGTCAGCCCGATATTGTTCCCACATCTACATTTCAATATCGGTTTCCCTACTGCGATTCCAAGAGATATATTGTTCATATTGTGGCCCCAATTCCATTTCGGCCGTCGGGCTGGACCATCTCTCCGTTTTATTTTCTCATCTATCCCGCCTCTCTGTTCATCTGCCCGTTTCAGTCAGCCCACATTTTGATATTGGTACCAGACAAGAGCTTATATGTGATTGGTTCCCAGATGCTATAGAAAAGAGGAGTCGTAAAGTGAAAAATACGAGGCACGTCGCCTGAGCCGGCGACTGCCGAACGGTGGCGAATCCGCTGGCGTTCACCCGGCCTTATTGGTGGCCGGTATATAGGGGTCAGACTGAGTTGCAGCCAGGTCCGGGGTGCGGGCAGGAATCTGCAGCACCTGATGTAAGTCGCGGGAGCTGGGCGGACGTTCATTCCTGCCCGCACGGTCATATGTTACACAGCTCATCTCCGGAGAGATGGCAGATCCCCGAGGACCCCGCCGGCCGGCAGCATCTTACTGCCTGGCCGAGGCAGCCCAGACTCCGCCCAGACCGAAACAGATGGCCGGCTGCCGGGGTAGCAGCTCACAGAGCTCAGCCCGCCACTCTGGCAAGCGTCATGTGAAACTTTGATAAGGGGTAAGTGCACCCACGAATCAAAGGTCGCTGGGTGCTCACTGGCAGATGGAGGAGCACGTGACATGTGAAATGCGAACGAGGGAGGGTGGCGCCGAGCGGGATGGAATTAGCGGGGCTATGCAGGTGATGTGATGACACATCACCTGCACAGTACAAATGCGACACATTGGCACTTCGACGCAGCTTATTTTCTACGCGACGAATAAGACGAAACCGGGTGATTATGACATGGAGCAAACGAGAACATTCACGATCCTAAAGTAATTGTGTAGCCCCTGCATGTACCGCCGGTCACCGCTAGGCGCGTTTACTTCCACCGGTCACCGCTAGATGCTGTGAACCGCTAGTTATAGTTTTTCTCATAGGTGTCGCTTTTACCAGTCTCTAAATTGCTAAAGCCTTCGATTAAGTTGTGCGCCCCCCTTTTAACGTTCCGTTCGCTTAAATTGCTGTATTGTTTGGTCAGTTGTATTGGCTATGTGTATATTAAAAACCATATGTATTCGTTTATTACATTCGATGTTCTCGCCAACATGTGTGCAATACTATATAACTAAGTTCGTATGTAAAACTATATATGTCTCGATTTTGTGGCGAAATACAAGATATATCTGTATGTTACATTGTTTCTACTGGCTACACCAGCCAGATTGGTGACCCCGCGTTCTACGCAATATGGGATCGCTATCCCCTCGTGTTCCCAGTCACACCGACACTGGCCTGCACCCTGAGCTATCTCCTCCAGCTCTCTTTGTGTAGGAAGGAAGTGGCGGATGGTGTGTCTCCACGAGGATCCTTCTCTTGTGCTGTGTGAAACTGGATAACGCCGACTACTACTGCTGCACTACGGTCCAGCCACTTCATCGGCTCACCCTACCGTCCGACTACCTCTGCAGCTGCACCGCGGCACCTGCCGATCGCCGTGTCGCCGTCGCCGCCACCGATCTTCCCGACCATTGCTCTCGGCAGCCATGGACCAGAAGACCCAGCCTGCCGGCGCCGGTGCAGCCGCCGCCGCCGCCTCGCATGCCGCTGCTGCTGCCTCCGGTGCCGCTGCTGCTGCTGCCGGTGCCGCCCAACCGGACTACCTCCGCATGGCGACCGCGCCACGCAGCCACGTGGCGCCGCCGCGCTTCTTCGAGGAGGACCCCGTGATCTGGCTCGTCCAGCTGGACCTCTTCTTCTCTCAGGCAGCTGTGGACGATGAGCTCAGCCGCTTCCGGATCGCCGCTACTCTCCTTCCTGGCTACCTCCTGCGCGACTTCACCGACATCCTCCGCAACCCTCCTCTAGACCGACCTTACACCATCCTTTCCGACGCCATCCGTCAGCGGTTCGGCAAATCAGTCGAACAGCGTCTTCGCTGCCTGCTCTCTGGCCAACAACTCGGTGACAGGCGTCCTTCCCAATTCCTTCGGCATCTCCTGGACCTTGCTGAAGCTGAAGGCTCACAAGATTCCCCGCTCATCCGTCAGATCTTCCTCAATGCTCTTCCGCCTCGGACTCAGCCCTTCCTCCAGTGCCTGCCGCCTGGGACGGACCTTGCGACCATCGCTAGCACTGCCGACCGACTCCTGGAGCTTCCGCAGCAGTCGGACGTCGCTGCACCTACCTCAGGCCTTCTCGCCGCGGTATCGACTTCTGCGCCTGCTGCAGCCTCACCTGCTGCTCCTGCAGGACCCTTCCACCTCCAAGACCTGATGAGCCAGCTGCTGACTGGTATCACGGCCATCACAACATCAGTCGCCACACTGCACTGGTGGACGAGACGCGCCGCCGAGAGAGGTCTGCATCCCGTGCCCCCGGCCGCGCTCGCCACCGTCCACCACGCGACCTTTCTGCTGCTGCCCGGTCACCCAGCCCTGCAACCAACACGTCTACCGGCGCTGGTGCTTCCTTCTGCTGGTACCACCACAAGTTCGGTACCAACGCGCGCTCATGTCAGTCACCGTGCTCGTGGTCTGCAACCGCAACTCAGACCTCGGGAAACCAGCAGTAGGACAGGTGACACAGACGTCTGCACCTGCCCTGCTCAACCCTGACGTCCCTCCAGCCAGCGGCCTTCTGAGACTCAAGGACAACAACACTGGTATCACCTTCCTCATCGACACTGGAGCCGAGTACAGTGTTCTTCCAGCGACACCCACCGATCGTGCTCGCGGAACCAACGGACTGGATCTGCAAGCAGCCAACAACAGCAGCATCCAGACCTATGGTCAGCGCATGCTCACGCTTTCTCTCGGCCTCAGAAGAGATTTCAACTGGATCTTCATCATCGCGGACGTCTCCCATCCTCTCCTAGGAGCCGACTTCCTCTCCTCGTATGATCTCCTCGTCGACACCAAGAGAGGCCGTCTCATCGACCACCTAACTGAGTTGTCTTCACCTGCTTCCCACTCTTCAGTGCCATCCACCGGACTGACAGCCGTCGTCAGAACCGACAACCCAGCATTCCTTAACCTCCTTCGAGAATTCCCCAGCCTCACCCAGCCGTCACATCATCCGGAGCCACAGCACTCAGTCCGACATCACATCGAGACTACCGGCCCTCCAGTCTTCTACCGCCCACGCCGTCTGGATCCAGCTCGACTCGCCACTGCCAAGGCAGAGTTCCAGCGCCTCCTCAGTCTCGGAGTCATCCGACCCAGCAGCAGTCGGTATGCATCACCGCTGCACATGGTGCCCAAGTCGTCTGGAGATTGGAGACCCTGTGGAGATTACCGTGCACTGAACCGCATCACAGTGCCTGACCGGTACCCACTACCACATCTCCATGACTTCACTGCCTGCCTCGCTGGGACATCGATCTACTCTCGGCTCGACCTCGTCAGGGCCTTCAACCAGATACCGATGGCCCCAGAAGACATCGCCAAGACAGCGATCACAACGCCCTTCGGCGCCTTCGAGTTCCTCCGCATGCCGTACGGTCTCCGGAACTGCGCTCAGACCTTCCAACGGTTCATGGATCACATCCTCCGTGGCCTGGACTTCGCCTTCGTCTATGTAGACGACATCCTCATCGCCAGCAGCAGCATCTCGGAACATCTCACACACCTCCGAGAGGTCTTCAGCCGTCTTTCCCGCAACGGTGTGCTCCTCAACCCATCGAAGTGCGCCTTCGGCATGGAGAGCATCTCCTACCTCGGCCACCAGATCTCCAGCGGAGGCATCACTCCTCTCGACGATCGAGTCAGTGCGATCAAGAACTTCGACCGTCCAGAGTCAAAGAAGAGCCTCAAGAAGTTCCTGGGGATGATCAACTTCTACCATCGCTTCATCCCACACGCTGCTGCTCTTCTGGCACCTCTCCACGGCCTGACTGCCTCAGACGACCGAGCTGCTTCAGTCACGTGGACCCCAGAGGCAGACGCCGCCTTCTCTGCAGCCAAAGCCGCCCTCGCTGACGTCACCCAGCTCGCTCATCCCGTCAAAGATGCAGCTCTGAGCCTCAGCACTGACGCCAGCAGCACTGCAGCCGGCGCCGTGCTTCACCAGCGAGTTGGTGGTTCTCTTCAGCCTCTCGCCTTCTTCTCGCGCAAGTTCACGCCCACCCAACGCCGCTACAGCACCTTTGGACGGGAATTGCTCGCCATGTACCTCGCCGTGCGACATTTCCTGCCCTATCTGGAAGGATGTGACTTCGAGATCCTCACGGACCACAAGCCGCTCGTCTTTGCTCTCAAGGCCAACGGCAACGCCAACCATTCTCTCCGTGAACAACGTCACATGGACCTGATTCTGCAGCACACCAGCAAGATCGGACATGTTCCTGGACATCTCAACCCGGTAGCTGACGCCATCTCACGGATCAGCTCAGTGTCTGCGTCAGCTTCTGCCGCAGCTACACCTTCACCCGGCCTTCTGAGCCTGGCCGACATCGCCCTACACCAAGCCAACGATCCTGACCTGCCGAAGCTGCAACAATCCTCATCTCTGATCATCCGTGACTTCCCAGTCCCTGATCATCCGCATCTACGTCTCTGGTGCGACACCTCAACGGCCACACCTAGACCTGTAGTCCCAGCCAGACTCCGCCCTTCCATCATCAAGAGCTTCCACGACTTGTCTCATCCTGGCATCAACGCTACGCGTCATCTCATCTCATCGAGGTTCATCTGGCCCCACATCAACGCGGACATCCGTGCCTTCGTCCGGAGCTGCCAGCACTGTCAGCGTGCCAAGATCCAGCGCCACACGAAGCCACCCATGGGCAGCTTCCAGCCACCTGACTCTCGCTTCCTGCACATCCACATCGACCTTGTCGGACCACTTCCTCCGTCCCATGGCAACTCCTATCTCCTGACTGTCGTCGACCGCTTCACCCGATGGCCCGAGGCAATTCCTCTGCCCACCATGGACGCCGTCACGGTGGCTCGGCATCTCGTCAGCGGCTGGATCGCCCGCTTCGGAGTACCCGAACTCATCACCACCGACAGAGGATCCCAGTTCGAGTCCCGCCTCTGGACAGAAATCTCCAAGCTTCTCGGCACCTCTCGGATCCGGACCTGCGCCTACCACCCAGAAGCAAACGGGATGGTAGAGCGCTTCCACCGCCAACTGAAGTCAGCTCTGCGGACCGATGACGACGCCGCCTCCTGGTCGGACCGACTTCCTCTGGTGCTACTCGGAGTGCGCACGGCCCTCAAGGAGGATCTCGGATGCACCGCTGCAGACCTAGTCTATGGTTGCAGTCTCCGACTTCCTGGTGACTTCCTCTCCCCCATGTCGTCGGACACTTCTTCTGATCCGGCTTCCCTAGCCTCTCGTCTCCGTGCCGCCATGTCGGAGCTCCGTCCAACTCCTCCTCGTCCTGGCTCCCGCCAAATCTTCATCTCTCAAGACATGCAAACCTGCTCCCACGTCTTCATCCGACGCGATTCGCATCGCTCTCCTTTCCAATATGTCTATGACGGTCCTTATCGTGTCCTATCCCGCGACCAGCACACCGTCACCATCGACCGTCTCGGGCGACGCGACACCGTCACCCTGGCTCGGTGTAAACCGGCCTTCACGGACAACATGCCTGCCGCAACGCCGCCTGCAGCACCGGACGTCCTGGTGAACGACACGCCTACTACAGCGACAGACAGCTCGGTGGACCGCCCGCCTGCTGCATCGCCTGCACCCAGCCGCTCAGGTGCCCCCGGCGGCTCTCGCCCGGCTCGCCGCGTGCCGCCGGACCCGCCGCCTGCTTCGCCACCCCCTCTCCGCCGTTCGTCGCGTACTCGCCGCCAAACTTCTTTTTATGGTGTTTAACTAGGGCGGGGGAGTGATGTAGCCCCTGCATGTACCGCCGGTCACCGCTAGGCGCGTTTACTTCCACCGGTCACCGCTAGATGCTGTGAACCGCTAGTTATAGTTTTTCTCATAGGTGTCGCTTTTACCAGTCTCTAAATTGCTAAAGCCTTCGATTAAGTTGTGCGCCCCCCTTTTAACGTTCCGTTCGCTTAAATTGCTGTATTGTTTGGTCAGTTGTATTGGCTATGTGTATATTAAAAACCATATGTATTCGTTTATTACATTCGATGTTCTCGCCAACATGTGTGCAATACTAGATAACTAAGTTCGTATGTAAAACTATATATGTCTCGATTTTGTGGCGAAATACAAGAGATATCTGTATGTTACAGTGTTTCTACTGGCTACACCAGCCAGAATTGCAGAGCTTAGCGGAAAAGCACGCAAATTAAATCTATTCTAACACACAGGCGCTGGCTCTGGCATTGCCGCGCAGCCTGAAATGTACAGGAATTAGCGCGGATTCCGGGTACCTACATCGCGGAAACACATCGCCTCTTTGGACATATGGGCTGACGGATGAACCGGTTTCATGGGCTACAGATTACTAACGGGCTAGGTGTCAAGATGGTTGCTGGTATGGAAGCTATTCATTAATTACGGGTGTTAGATAATAGATTGGCCCGGCAGTCTTATTAACGGTACGAGCTCCTAATTACAGGCACTGGCGATGATTACACTGACAGGATAAAAGGAGCAGCGCTTCCCTATATGGAACGATGTAATTCCTACACGAAGTTGGCGCCCTATCGTAAATCTCTAAATTAATCCCGAACCTTCCACAAGTTTCGACAAAGATCGATCAAACGTCCATCATTGCATCCTTAGAAGTCGAGGTGGGTCGTCGATCAACCAACGTATAGCTACAATTTATTGCCACCACTTTAATGGCTACATAGTTTGAGTATAGGTAATCGTTATCTAATGAGCTCTGCCGTAAAAGGCAGCGAAGCGTGGGAAGCATTCTGTCCCACTAAACCACGACATAGTGCACCTGGCACCATTCAACAATCAAAACTGAAAGCGTCATAGTTAGTTACATTAGACGCAATTGTAAGAAACGCAACTCAGTGCTATGAACTTCGGATGGGTATCCACAAGTTTGACACGGCTTTCCATCAACAAACTCGCAGGTGTTTCCCCTATCTTCATCTCCATTCATCGAACAGCATACGCTCTTTTTCACTCGTTAACGTCATTAGATTTAATTGTCCCAGTAACGTGGTCGACTACCACAAGCGCTTCTAAACGTCTACCCATCGGCCGTGCCGGTCTCTCCTGCCACTCTTTCCGTCGCTCTCGCCGACCCGCCGACCCCTCTGCCCCCGTCGGCCGACGCTCCGCCCGTCGGCGCTCGCCGGCAGCCCGTGACCGTCGCGCTCCGACGGTCGTCGGCGTCGGCGGCCGACGGTGACCACAGGCTGCCGACACGACCGACGGTCAGTAGCGCCGTCGACACACGGGGGTGCGGACACTCGCGGGACGGGAACAACAGAGCGACGGCACGGACAGGTGAGCCGAGGGTGGGGCCGGCCGGGAGTTGACGGAGAGGGCATCCGCGAAGTTAGTTATCATATCCACCGATAGATGGCTGCAGAATGTAACGCCTGATCCATGCTGTCCCGTATCGCACTTCGGTTCCGGTAGTCGCCAGCAGATAGCTCTTCGGCGTAACGCCTGATGCATGCTGTTCCGCAATACACATTAATAGTTCTCATGTCCACCGACAGATGGCTTCTTAGTATAACGCCTGATGCATGCTGTTCCGCACGACACGTAGTTCTCATATTCACCGACAGATGTCCCTACGGTTAAACGCCTGATGCATGCTGTTCCGCAAGGCCCTCAGTTCTCATATCCACCAAAGATGGCTCTACAGTATAGCGCCTGATGCATGCTGTTCCGCAAGACACATAGTTAGTTCTCATATCCACCAACAGATGTCTTCATAGTATAACGCCTGATGCATGCTGTTCCGCACGACACGTAGTTCTCATATTCACCGACAGATGTCCCTACGGTTAAACGCCTGATGCATGCTGTTCCGCAAGGCCCTCAGTTCTCATATCCACCAAAGATGGCTCTACAGTATAGCGCCTAATGCATGCTGTTCCGCAAGACACATAGTTAGTTCTCATATCCACCAACAGATGTCTTCATAGTATAACGCCTGATGCATGCTGTTCCGCACGACACGTAGTTCTCATATTCACCGACAGATGTCCCTACGGTTAAACGCCTGAATCTGATGCATGCAGCTCCGCAGGGCTCTTGCTTCTCATACTAAACAACAGATGGCTCCACAGTATAGCGCCTGATGCATGCTGTTCCGCAAGGCTCTCAGTTCTCATATCCACCAACAGATATCTCTACAGCATAACGCCGGATGCATGCTGTTCCGCAAGGCTCTCAGTTCTCATATCCACCAACAGATGGCTCCACAGTATAGCGCCTGATGCATGCTGTTCCGCAAGGCTCTCAGTTCTCATATCCACCAACAAATGTCTCTACAGTATAGCGCCTGATGGATGCTGTTCCGCATGACACATACCTAGCCGGGCAAAATTGCAGAATTGCATGAACGTAACTGGAGCAGGATGAAGGGCTAGTCTTAGGTCGGGCATCATAAACGATTTTCTAAAATTTCATTTTCAGTCTTTTGCAGGCTTTTACGTTTGCTCTAAGTGCTAAATGGCTTTACTCTTGCACTTTCGAGTAAGCCGCTTTGTCGGGCCGTCTGTTAAATGCATAAGTATATATGTTCTATATTTTTTACATTTCAGCCGCGCGCTTTTCTTTAGCACCGGCTACAGAGTTCGTTTTGTGGAGTGTGCCGCCTCCTTATGCCTGCGCCATACCAGGGCAAATGGCGAGTGATCCGCCTCGTTTGTAGCAGCCAAGCCGCTAATACTTCCCGAATGGGAATGACCCTTATGAATAGCTATTGGTTTTTGCGAGTGCGGCCACTTGGTCGTCTCCATGTGTCACGCGCGGCCGGCGATGGACCGTCGTTAGAGGCGTTTAGGAACGATCGGCGGCGACGGACGCGACTACCGGCCTGTTGATAAACTGACCCCGCCTGACAGGATCGAACGTTGGCGGAAACGCGATTTTGGCCTTTCGATGAACGACTTAGTTTCTATACGTACGGACGAATCAGCCCATAGTATCAACTTTCATAACAACAATTTCATTTACGAAACACTAAAGGTATTTTCCTTGGAGCTAATGCATTTATAGATTGTGACAGTGCAGCCTGTAGCGGTAATGGTCTCCAAATGCGAGCCACGCTCCGTACTCCTCGTCACGGCCGGTCTGTGGTCGGACGTGTCAGTAACATCACAGTTCTCCGGTGACCATTACCGTCACTTTCCGGCCGTCAGATGACCCTCATTTTCTGGCCTGGCTGTCACTGAGACGGGCCGCCGCCCGGCTGGGTGCCTCTGATGGTGCGAACTGGGCTGCCTCGACTGTAGCTGATGTGAAAAAAGCACCCGGGCTGTCTGATGTTGCTGCGAGATGGGCCACCACTGTCACAGTCAACAGTGTTGACTGTCTGTTGCCTCAAAACTCATCACCTGTCACGTCTGTCGTCTCATCAACTATCACATTCAGCACAGTGTCGTTATCCACCGGCAGCCATCATATTCAGCACAATATGCCATCATCATCCATCAGTCATCACACTCAGCACAGTGTGCCATCATCAGCCGGGGGCCAATGGCCATCGCTCATAAGACTGGCCACTGGCCAGAGCTGACCTACGCCCGATTAGGACACCGGGTGCATGAAAACCTGGCACTCGTTACGGCAGCCGTATGACCTCAACGGCCTAACGTGAACCCAGTGAAAACAAAGGAATAAGGAGCTGACACAGAAACAATATAAGAAAATATTGAAAGAATGCCGGTGCTTGCGCTTGTTTTAAAACATCTCACTGGCGCTCTGTAACTCTGCTTGCACTTACAAATGACCCTGGCATAGTGTATCATCAAAACCAGATAATCAGATTGCCCCGAGGAACTTTAAAAACCTTGCTGTGCTGCGCAACGCTCAGTTTCCAGATAGCGGAGGGACAATCTGAATACAGAATGACGCTATTCAGCAACTTTGCTGTGGCGCACATGCATCTAAAACTGAAAGCGTGACTGCATCGTGCCTATAGTCCAACTTTGAACAGTGAGAGCCCCTAAGATGTGCAGATGCTAAGACCTGAAGGCATTTTTAGTTAGCTACGTGCCCACATAGTTAACCAATATAGGCAGGTAGTAAGTACGTACGCATTTCTATGCATCCAGCACCCTGTTTTAGTCATTATCGAACGGGTTGAGTCGGTTTTAACAGTCCAAACCGTTTTTGCTGGGGTGGGTGAGTTAAGCGCACTTACTCGTGACTGAAACCCACATCATTGTGCTTTCGTTCTGCGATTTTGAACGGATGACACTTTTCAAAGCCTCAGTATCATGAACATTGTGCAACGCATTATTAGATGTCCTAGTCTGAACCCTACAGAGATAATTCGCAGGATGTCGCCTCTTAAAAACAATCATCAGACATTACCTCAATCGATTATAAGAGCATTTCCACATTTTTGGACGAGGTTCTAAAAATGAACGACTAAAGGCAGATCATTATTTTTATGATCGGACCGCGATTCGGGAGTTCGGCACGCGAACGTGAACAAGTTTCCTTATAGTGCCAAACTGCCGTCAAACTTGGTAAGTGTTATCGAACAGCGCTCTCCACTATCGCTTTATCCGGTGACAATGGACTATGCCTGTATTTTGCTTTTGCCCTGGTCCGGAGTTCGGACGGGGTATTCGGCCAGCCTCTCATCGGCTTAGGAGATTCAGCAGTCGATACTCCTGGAAAACTTCCAAACGAATGTTCACACAGAGAGGCAGTAAAAAAAATGACAAAATATCTTGAAGACATTTCTTCTGATATTAAGAAATTTCCTCAGCCAGGTCGAAAGTAAGTCGGAGAAATATCTTTCTGACAAGTTTGATCATAAATGATCTCAAAATTCAAGCAGGAGAGTGTTGTGGATTTCAGGTCATCAGTCTGAATGGATTACTCCAAATTATCGTAACTTAAATAATTACGACAATTTGTAATTCAACCTTCTTATTTTTCGTGTGGGTTCTTTCATCGGCGCTTATGCTTCTAGATAGCAGGATGTGTTTAGTGTGACTGCAGCGTTCCATTAACAAGACATCCGGAAACACACTACGTCTCTGCAGTGAGTGACAAGGCACAACACTTTAACTACAAGATGAAAGCCGAGGGAGGGATTAAAGCTCCACTAAATGACGCACGGAAAGCAGCTAACAGAAACATCAAGATAGGAGAGAAAACACGTCCTCTCAATCTTCACAGCAGCTTCTGAAATACACCCGCCTCTACTTCCAAGCTAATGAGCGTACTAAGCCCGTTTCCGTCTTTCCGTTTCAGATTAGCACCCCTCTCGTCTGGCTGCTTAGTTCGTCCACCGGCCCCCAGATGGCAGGCGGCCTGGAGAGCTCCTCAGAAGCGGCCCTCACGCCCGTCGAGCTGATGCTCCGCTACCTCGAGTCGCTGCCACAGGAGTTCAGTTTCCGCGAAGAGGTGCGCTCGCCCAAGTTCTGGAAGGCGCTCCGGGCGGAGTTTCTGGCGTCGCTACTGCTGATGATCTTCCTCGGTGGATGCGGCGGGGGTGGAGTTGGAGTCACAGGAGTCGGAGTCGGAGTCGGAGTCGGCAGCGGCGGCGGAGCTGGAGTAAGGACAGACACCACATACAGCTCCAGTCCGGGTGCAGAGAGCAGCCCTCTCCCGTCCAACTGCTCTTCCCCGTGCCGCCCTCCCACCTCAGACGGTGGCGCGGCAGTCCGACTCGCCCTGGCCTACTGCCTCACCACAGCCACGCTGATCCAGTGCTTCGGGAACGTGTCGGGCGCCCAGACCAACCCGGCCGTGACGCTGAGTCTGCTGGTGACCCGGTACATCTCTCCGCTGAGGGCGTCCGCCTATGTGACCGTGCAGCTGGCCGGCGCGCTGGCCGGCGCGCTGATCGTGCTAGGGCTGACCCCGCCCGACTGGCCCGACCAGCCCCAGGTGAGCGGCAGGGGGGCAGGGAGGGGCGCTGATCGTCTTAGGTCTGATGCCGCCCGACTGGCCCGACCAGCCGCAGGTGAGGAGGAGAGGGAAGGGGATGAACGGAAGAACCTGTGTGAGGGAAGGGGAGAAAGGGTCTAGACTGAAGAACGAAACCGAGGGGCCGAGAGCGAAATATTCTGAACTGGTTAGGCGGCCATGAATGGTAAACCAGCTCCAAAACAGGCGAACCAAGGAGCCAGACTGCTGGTTTGTTATTTTTACGAAACAAATACTACGCATGTTTTAATATAGAATCTACAGATAGAGGGTAAACACGTTTAGGCCGTAACTGTTAATGTTTATTCATATCCCGGCCGGGCCCGGGGGGTAATCCCAACCACCGCAGCCCGGGGGGGGGGGGGCGTTTTTCGCCCCCCCTGTCTAACTCCGTAAATAAGGGAGCTACGGAAACAAAAGCGATACCAAACGAAAGGTCCTTACGAGACGATTCTAATGCACCTAAAATTTTTGACCTCAGGTCAATTTTCAAGGTCAGAGGTCAAGGTCAAAGGCCAAAACCGGCACATGTGTAGTGATCTCAAAGTAAGCCTTCTAGAGGACGGCAGGCTGCATCAAACCGGCAAAATTGGGTGTCAAACGAAAGAAGAGAATCTGAGGATTCTGAAAATGTGCTCCAAATCAAAAGTCAATGTCAAGGTCACGCTCAAAATTGACCTCAAACTTGGCACTTTTTCGCACATCTTGCGTGCTAACTTCCAAGATGTTTTGAAATGTTTTGAGGCTTATCAGTTCCCTATTTGTGGTTCATCTTACGATACAAGGCTGCTCAAAGGTCAAGGTCACAGAAGAGTATCCCTGCTAGAGGCTATTTCACTGATTCAAGTTAGTAATAATAAATAAGACAATTTTGCCATCCGAAAGCTCTAAATGAAAGCTTAGAGGAAAATAGATGCCAGATTCGTGATCAGCGGGTACAAATCCATCATAAACGACCTTTCATGTGTCAAGGTCAACCAGAGGTCATTCGAGGTCACATGAGGTCAACATGAAACTTGACCTTTTCCGAACAAAATATATATCATTCGACGCGGCTTGACAAGGCGAATGCGATGGTACCACTGCCGTAGCTCTAGGACCATTTTTGTCGAAGTTATTTGCGAAAAACTAAAACCACATTTCGGGGTCGTTGACCTGACCTCTGACCTCAGGTCACCAAAACTATTTTTCTATTTTTCTCTAGGTCAAACGCTACACAGCTGTGCTCGTAATTTGTCTTTATCTCTAAAACTCTATTTTTAGCAGCTATTTGAAGTTTGCGTCTGTGACGCCGAAGTTTGCCGTGCAGGGGTCTAGAAAAATGGACCTTGTGACGTCATCAAGGGGGCTAGGTCCAAATTTTTTACTTCAGAAGATGTCAAATTGATGGGAGAAAAGGTACTGAAAGTTTCGCCTTCCTATCCCTAAGCGTTCGGGAGTTATCGCAAATATTCGCCAGGGGGGGCGAAAAACGCCCCCCCCCCGGGCCCGCGAGGGATATCGATCTTTGATTTGTTGTAATGCCTTGTTGTAAAATGTTTGTCACATTTGTACTAGTAAAGTAAACAATTGATTCCCAAGAAGATGGCAGTCGAGCCCACAAATAATTCAGCATCCTGGTTTACTTTGCCAGTCGCTTCCAAGTCCAGCGTACGTGAGTCCCTTGCTCGCTACTGCAAAGTTAGCAAGCCGCCCAGGTGATTCCCAAGGAAAGATACAAACTTTGTTCGCCATTATTGTGTCAAGCTCCAGAGTTCGAATGCCTTAAGCTGTACAGTTCCATGTTTCACTAGTGCCCAACTTTTAACAGGAGCGTCGTTTGGCTCAGAACTTGGGCCTGATAAATAGAGCAACGCACATACTGGCTGGAATAAAAGCCTACGCAGACATATCCTTAGATAAAGTAAAATGAAGTAAAGTTCATCCTAACTGTTGTACGAGGGGGTACCCAAAAGTAACGGGAATCGTTCTCTGTAGGCCAAGCCAGTTGTAGCTCGGCATTGCCCTGCTAGGGGCAAACCAGTCTGGCCCCTGGGACTTAGTCTGCACCGTGAGGTGACGAAATAAAGAGGCGCGGCCGCGTGGTGCACGTATTTATTGAAGCACTCCCGCCCGATCCGGCGTTTTTTATGCATAGCGGAACTGAGCAACAACGCACATCTGTGAAATTTTGTTTCCTGCTGGGGAAGTCCGCGACTGAAACGGTTCCAATGCTTCAAGTAGCATACAAATATGCTGCCGTGAGCAAGACGCGGGTTTATGAATGATTTTCGCACTTCAAAAGTGGTCAAATGTTATCCCAAAAGCGCCCCAAAAAAGCTTGCCAAGTGAATTCAAATGTCAAGACAATGCTGATTTGTTTTTTCGATGCAAAGGGAGGTGTGCAAAAGGAAATTGTTCCTCCCTGGTCAAACTGCCAATCAGACGTTTTACTTGGACGTTCTGCGGCGTGTGTGAAACACGGTGAGACGAAAACTCCCCGACAGGTGGCGAAGCGGGGAGTGGTGATTTCATCACGACAGTGTGCCAGCGCACACCGCCTTGAGTGTCAGACAATTTTGGACAAAAAATGCATGACCCCACGGATCCACCCTCCCTATTCACCGGATTTGGCACCCTGTGACCTTTTCCTGGACCCCAGAATGAAAAAGACCTCAAGGGAAACCATTTCGACGACTTTGATAAGGTAAAAGCAAAAACGACGATGGCTCTGCAAGGTATCACCTTGCAAGAGTTCCAGAGCTGCTTTGAGAGCTGGAAAACGCGTCTGCATAGGTGCATTGTCTCGCAGGGAGAGTACTTTAAGAATGACATGAGTGACGATGTGTAGGGATCAGTGAATGAACAGATATGAAACAATTCCCGTTTCTTTTGGGTACCCCCTCGTAGAAGGTAATTCGTCGATATATTGATTAAGTTATGAAACATCTATTTACATTGTACAGTTACATTAAGGGCAAACATAAAACAATATAATCGTAACACAATAAATGAAAAAACATGTCCTATGGCTAGTTTTTACATGATCATCAGGCCACATACGTCGCATCCAGGGAAGATTTCGGACGCTCTGTCAGTCTCAGATTTCCCCTTTCCCGCCCAGTTGTGGGTCTATCAGTGCTCTCAGTGCTCTTCAGTGTAACCTAAATGGTTCATGTATTGAAAAATGCATGAGCTATGTGGAACAGAGTTTGCCTACTCACCTACAATATTGATTGAACTGAGGAGCGAAAACCCATCTCAACTAGGTCTAGCCGGTGTGAACGAGTGAATGAGTAATGAACGTCTGTGACGCAGCAAAGTCAGTCTGCTTGTGTTTTTGAATGGCTAGCAAAGTCCAAATTCATGGTGAGTACGAAGTAACTGGATGGGCAGACTTCGTACTTATGTTAAAGGAAACTCAATGTAAGCATAATTCATGATTCACTTTTTAAGGCAACTGTCGAATGCATACAACCTGCAATGCACGATACACATGCTTTCCAATTTACATATGTTTTGTCTGACCTTATCTCCATCCCTGCAGCTTTATTTGGTCTGACATTGGACTTGACCTGATCCTGACCTTGACCTACTCTGACCAGACCTGGATCTGACCCTGAACTGACCTGACCTGGACCATAACCCTGACCCGATTCTGACTGGCTGGTTCCGACCCTGGCCTGACTCTGACCCCACCCTGACCCTCAGCCTCACCCTGACCTGACCGTGACCTGGCCCGCCCTGCCCTCAGGTTCTGTCTGTTGCTGAGGGCGTCACGCTGACGCAGGCGTTCGGTGTCGAGTTTCTGGCCACGTTTCTGGTCGTGGTGACCACTCTGGCCGTTCTGGACCCGGTGCGGGCAGACGTCGGCTGCAAGGCGCTCTCCATCGGCCTGGCCTACGGACTCGGCGTCCTCTTTGCGGTAATTTGGCAGATATTCCTCAGACATTATTGGCTTTATGTCATGGTGACATTCTTATGTCATTATGTCTAACCATAGATAACATGAATTGGTTCATGTTATGTTATTCATGTTATCTATGGTCTAACTTATGTCATCCTTTATTGAGCACCCTGCATCTTTTGAACGCGTCATAATACGTGCCGTATGAAATGTTATCACCCTACGAAATACTGATGTCAGTACCTAAACCTAATTATGAGCTTTTTTTGCGAGAATGTCCCAGGGGAACTAACATTGGCTGCCTTCAGTTCCAGAGGACCGGTGCGTGTCTGAACCCGGCTCGGGCGCTGGGACCGGCGCTGGTGAATAACGTCTGGCGAGATCACTGGGTAAGCGACACATGCTGGTATTTGACTCGGTAAAGCTGTCATGATATAGCCTTTTATTTTCAACATTAATGGCCATGCTCTTTGGCCATGCTCCTTATAAATGTCAAATGTCTCATTGAATTTCATGGTATTCGCTTGCTACATCAACTGCAGCAATGACATGGCTAAGATAACATACGGAAACTGAAAAATTTTCAACGGACGAGCAATGGTAAACGATAGCCATGTCGAGAAAATTATACAATCTGATTAATTAAAAACATGAGATATCACTTGGCCTTTGGGTCTCTTTTCCCTGAAACAGGCCTCCTTCTGTTTCAATTACATCCCGAAATAGAATTATCCATCTTCTTCAGGGAGCCACTTTCCAATAACTTCCTCAGTTATAATTGAAATGCAATTTGTTCGTCCCGTAGCTCAGATGGTAGAATATCAGACTCCCAGTGGTGAGAGTTTCAGTTTGTGACGCTCCGGCGCTGTATACACGACTCCCCTGACGAAGATAGTCTGCCGTCTGCGGCTGGTTAAAGTTACCACGGTCTGTTGAGACCAGCGAGTGGAATGGATATGTTTAGCCCGCGACCGCCTGGGGGGGGGGGTCGGATCCGACCCCCCCCCCCTCCGTTTTTCTTGAATAACTCATGAACCGCTTTCGCTATCTACTTGAAACTTGGCATACCTTCTCCCCCATCAATTTGACGTCTCCTGTGCAATTTTTAAGAAAACATTTCCAAAAATTTCTGAGATATATCGATTTTAGTGATGTAACTACATGGCGTTTTTAGTCAAAAAGTGGTAAATGTTTAAAAAATCGCCAAAAATCAGGGTTTAAGGCAAATTGCAAATTAAGGACATGAAAAGACGCAGCTCAACGAGTTCTTTAAAATGGCTATCTCGGATTTTCCATAAAATGCGTTTTTCACCCCTAAAAATTCAAAAAACTATATTTATAAAATCCAAAATTTTGGGAATTTCCAAAAAACCGTAATATATGTTGTAGAGCTCTATTAGAACATTAGATGCCCCAAATTTCAACTTTCTATCTTGATTTTTTACCCCAAATTGTAAAAAATAGTTCCAACATGCATAGGGCAATAGGGCATGGTGACGTCATAAGCATTTTCGTGAATTAGAGGCACTTCTTTCTGAACATCGCATGTGAAAACAAATGGCACCATTAGATTTCTGAGACAAAGCTCGTCTAGAAAAGTGCATTTTTATGTCAAAAATAAAAAGTTGAAAAATTGACTTTTTTCTTAGCCCTCGTTCAGTTATGTATGGTATAAACGATTTTTTATGCTTTTAATGCACAGTTATCACCAGCACAGTGACCTGGGGTCACATATAACCATTACCATCGGATTCGGCGTGAAAAATAAGCCATAAAACATGTGTCGCACGCCCATGTAGCAGAAAGTGAAAACCGTGACCTTTCGTGACCTGACCTGACCTTGACCCGTACTTAGTATGACCCCTATACGCACATGGTACCTTCACTAGGCCTTTGAGGTCATTTTTGGTGAGTTTCGAGCAGCAGCTATTGATTCCGCTGTCCGTAAGCCTAATCATGCAAAACCCCTAAATTTGACCTTTGACCTAACCTTGACCCGAAAGTTGACCTCAATCTTAAAATCTTAAGAGTGCTTTGGGAAGATCTCGTAGAGACCTTTCGAACGCCGCCTCGCGGGGCTCGATACGACCATTGGTTCTCGAGATAACAGAGGGGGGGTCGGATCCGACCCCCCCAGGCTGTCGTGGGTACGGAACTAGCCCAGGCGGTGCCGGGTTAGAGTTCGGCTATGTGGGCAACTAGCTTTGAGTTAAAAAAACAAACATATTTACCACTTTGACCTTTCAAATTTGACCGTAAATGTCATGAGTCTTGACCCGCTAATACTAAATTATCTTAACAGAGAACATATGTATTGTGCAAGCATGTTTGCAACAATTATATCCTTGCCGATATGACGCTTCATATGTATACCTCAGATCAGTCTAAATGTACTATGCAGCAGCACCCTTGACCCTACCACCTCAGATAGCCACACGGGCTGTTGAACGCTCCCGTTTGATGAACCGACGGCCAGTGTCCGGTAATTCAGCGGGCCGTGGCGCGGCGCAGCTGGGCCTCGCCCGTCCCATCCATCGCCGGGACAATAGCCGCCGACGGTCGGGTGTGTTGATAGCCAGAGAGCCATACATCTCCGGTGAATGGCGTCCCAAATGTCCCCCCGATGGCCCCCGTGTGTGTGTGTGTGTGTGTGTGTGTGTCTGGGAGACGGACGTCGCGGCGACGGGCGACCTCCGAGGGCGGGTCGAAGGGAGAGGTCACTCAGGAATGACAGCGGGGCGCCCCGGCAAGCAAGGTCATAGGATAGGGCCGTCCCCGATTGACAGAGTCGGAGGATCGGTCACCTCAGGGCTGACAGCGTGTCAGAGGGCCGTCTCAGCCTGGTAGAGGGGTCAGGGTCGGAGGGTCACCGCGAACTGGCAGGGTCGTAGGGTACGGGACGTTCCCGACTGACAAGGTTGTATAGATGCAATACAATCTGCAATACAGCAAAAATGTCTGCCGACAAGCGGTCAGACATAAAACAACACTGGTCTAGAATCCATTGTGGTTGGAACGCCCAAAGTGACAGGAATTGAAGATTAATGTCATCCGCAAAGCACCCCCCCCCCCCCGCCCGCCCTACAGGTAAGATGAATGGTTGATGTAAATTGATTCATTTCGACAGGAAAGCTTACAATAGATGGTCGCAACATGATATGGATATATGATCTTCGACTGTTTGGCATTGCTACCGTACTACCTAAAACTGCATTGGGGGGGGGGGGGGACTCAAACTTATGCTACCCATTAAATTACATAGGTAGAGATTCTGTTTCAGTTAACCGTCAGAGTTAATCATGTCGGCATAATGCGGCATACAATCAAATCCTAAAAAAAATCAGTCTACATAACACTCACGTCCTCATTGAAGTCCTCACTCAGTTTCTCGACTGTGCAGTGACCCTCGGCTCGGTGACGTCTGCACTGTGCAGTCCTTGGCAGTGTGTCAGCCGCAGCACGCGCAGGTCACGGCCAGCGGCCCCTTGGCAGTCTGCCAGCTCCGGACCGGCTCGGTCGCGGCGAGTCGGCCCCCGGAGGGTAGGCTGTGCCGCCGGGCGCCGGCAGCGGACGGTCCTCGGCGGGCGGCGAACAGCTGTCAGCAGCGGCTGCGGCTGCGGCTGCGTCCTCGGCGACGGATGGCGACAGGGTGGCCCAGAGCCACGCTGGTAGCACCACGTCGACCTTGTCAGTGGTTCAGCACGGGCCGCAGAGCGCTGGAACTCAGCGTTGGCCAGCGAAGCTGAGAGCCAGGCCATGGCGGCGCAGATGGAGTCGACCACTGGAAGTCACCACGTTTTGAGTCGCCGTGCTCATCGAGTCGAGAGTCTATTGGCTCGCTGTCACCAATTCAAGCGCTGGCCGATGGTCGGCAGTCGACTGTGTCGGTTCTCGAGTTAACAGGTGCCAAATTCAACAACCTCACTGGTTCATATTATTCAGACGCACACCAGTGCGATGGACAATCGTTCCCTACGGCTGCACGAGCAGCACACAGCCCGTCCTGGACAATGACAGACAATGTCTTTCGCATGCCTTGTTTACCCACATTCTACAATGCAAAAGCGATGACTTAACTATAACATCGCGTTAAATAATTAACCACTCACACGCACGATATATCACACCAAATCATTATCATGGTTATCAACCAAAGATATTAAAGCCTCACGTTACTAAGTGCAAGTCACCTGAGACCACGGTTCCCTGGAGCGAGGATTGCCAAATGGCCCGGTGTTCGATTTCACGCCACCAAATCGGTCGGTGTAATGGGGCACAACGAGCGGTTTCTGATGTAACCCAGCCCTGCCATTTCCCTGGAGACACTCGAAGCCAGCGCGCTGCCTCTTTCCGAGGATTTTGGACTATAATAGCACTGTTATTCCCTCCTCAGTCCTCACGATCCCAGGCTGTCGAAATAATGCACTACACCCCCTCCCCCGAACCCCTAGACCGGTGTGCTGGTGTATCGCTCCGCTCGACTGTAAAGTGTCCCCTCACACCCCCTGACACCCCCGTGTGTCCCCGTTCCAGGTGTACTGGGTGGGCACGCTGTTCGGCGGCCTGCTGGGCGGCTTCACCTACGAGTTCGTGCACGACTCATCCCCCCACGGTCGGCTGCTGCACCGCTCGTTCCGGAGGAAGCGCGGCGGCCCGCCGGTCAGCCGGGGCGCCTCGTCCCTGGGCCGCGACCTGAGCGGCCTGAGCGCGGCCACCTCTGAGCTGCTTCAGCACCCCGGGCCAGAGGATATCTCCACCGTCAGCCGACACTGAGGCGGCGGCGCCAGCTTCGGAAACTTTGGGCGTTCACGTGATAGATCTCGTAGGAATTTGAAAAAAGAAGACATCTTCCTATCGAGTTTGACAGTATTATGTTGATATTTGGAAAAAGTCATAAGGTTTGATGGCTTTCCAGTTTCCAAAGTCATGTCGTGTATGAGCGAGCGGCATCGAATATGTGAGGCGTGCCCAGACTAACGGCATTCACTATATCAACGTCTTTCGCCGATGGCTTCTTCATCGTTCCAGTCATCAGGCAATCCGATCTCATCATGTAGATGAAATGATAACATTCCTTCGCTATTCGCGACAGATGTAACCGCATTACATCTCACATTCATTTCTGTGTCAACAATGTGCTTCATTGCTATGCTAAGTGTGTTGCGCTTGCAATAACGGTTGTAAATAAACTTCATTCTATTCGGAATTGGATGAGTGTTATGGCCGACCCAGGTGAAGTTCTTATTCAAGATTCGCTTGATTCAATTAAGCTTAATAGCATATGCGCACTGCGAAGGCATAATATATACATACCTACTACACATAAGCACAAAAATTATCGATAACAGAGATATTGTCGGTTTATAGCCAACAACTTCAAACAAATAATCGTGTTTGGCACCAGCACCATTAACTGAAACAACTAAATAACAGCACGCCAACTTACTTTTCTGTACATTTTGGCTCGACTGCTGGTGACAACTTGCAAATTCTCGCTCGGTCCGACCCCCTGCGCCGCTGCCGCTAGCGGTTGGAAGTGTCCACATTGCAGTCGAAATGTTGACTTCGGGAGCGGCTAGGCGCCCCGGGCGGAAACCGCACACAACGCGAGCAAACACAAAGTTGGCCCGGCGATTAAAAACAAACACAGGGCGATTTAAGACAAACAGAAAATTTCGCCAGCCCCGCGGCCAGGTCAGCTGGTTTGGTGAGCCACACAGCTGTTGAACTTCACAAGCACGGCGCGCTTACAATGCAAGCCATTCCCTCCGGCCAGCATACTAGTCATGGGCTTTGCCGTTGTATAGATTGCGTGTTTCACTGTCAGTGAGCTGGTTGAATGGGGTTGGTCATACCGGGTAAGTAGAGTATAATAACAATGTTGACTCTATGTCAAGTATCGAACACCATGAAGTTTCACTCGCAGAGAGACAAAGGTACAGAAATCGTTTTGGGAAACTATGATTATTTTATTTGATAGCGCAACTTTCAATGTTCATAATTATATATTTTGATATAGATATCTTAATTTAGTAGCTACGAGATAGTATGGTCTATTTACCCAAATTTACCAATCGAGAGGGGAAGTTTTGTTAAAAAAAAACAAATAACTTTTAGAACGTGCGAGCCATAAAACAGTACAGTGTTGCTTTATTGTGTAAAACCGGCTGCCCCGAGAGATCCAAGGCATGTCCAGCATATTTGCTTTTAAGCGGGCGATCAGGCCACCACGAAAGTATAGTTTGATGCTGAAGTGGTCTAAGGTGTTGCCTTGGTCCTGTTTTTTTCTTTTTCTCCTCTTTAGAAAACTCGAACGCGGCTCGTGGAAAGTGCATGTGCATTGTGCATAGTGGTTCCCTGATCATGTGCCATCCTGAAATAACTATGCCTGCATGGAAGGATGTGCAACAAATAAATAAATAAGTAAAGCTTATAGGCACGACACGACCAGCCTGAAACCTCTTCAACCACTACCATGCAAGCAACAACGGGACGGAAATGAGAGCCTGCTACCTTCGGGAAGGTGTTCGCTTCCCGCGGGAAGCGAACTCCACTAAACCGGGAATGAATGGCTTTACACCTTAGTAGTAAACGGAGATGAGACAACGCCGTAAATGTCGTTGGCGTTGCTATCCGGTATATGGTACCGTCTACCATCTGGGGCAATGATGCCGTGCCTCGCCTCGGCGCTTCTCTTCCCCAATGACATTCTATTGCCAACAGCTAAAGCTTCATTTACATTTTACCCTTGTCTTTTTGGTGCCGATCACTTAAAACACATTTCATAACATTTTGTCAGAATGAGCATGATTGCTTTAAGAGTTGAAGTCGGAATCAACTGCAGAAAGCACTTAAACGGCTGGGACCGCAGGCCCTCAGTAGCAGTCTGACGATTTTCTTCAGGTAATTGATTTGCTTTCAACTTAAATAATTGATCAGTCCAACATTTAGGTACTACGATAATCAGAATAGATTGTTTATAAGGAAATCGACATTTTTTACACATCCCGAAAAAGGAACGCACAAACACGCTTATAAATTATCGATTCACCGGTCACCTGAACACCAAAATGAAAGACAGTTTTCAATTAAAATAGCACAAGGCCTTCAAGCACACTTCGTCCAAGGCCCTACATACCTTCATCGTCTGCTAACGCCATAGCTTACCTCAAAGATGGTATTCACTCGCTCGCTGCCTTTCTCGACATGTTTTGGCCAGAAAGTTCGGTCGGAAGCCACCAAAGGACGGCGCGGTGAAAGATGAACGAGCGAGCACGGCCGCCCGGACCGATCACATTATACCATACGAGTCTGTTTACTCCGGGCTTCACACATCACGAAGCGTCGCCGCTAAATGTTTGCGCGAAACACACCAGAGCTGTTTGTGCGCTAAGTTTCGGACGTGTTTTTCTTGGAAGAAGGATGGGGCTGGTTGGTAAAAGGCGATAGTACAGTAATTTTGTTGTCGGTCGAAAGTTGAAGGCACTTTAAAGCGCTGCTCAGACAAGCACGTAGGATGATTTTAAAATTACACTTAGCTTTCTATGTTGAAGAATGAAAGTTTAATCTACAAAATATTTTTTTTTTCATATCTCTTGCATTGGTGAAAACGTAGTGAATCAGTAAACGGGAAACAACACCCGAGCATTTGTAGCATTTATCAAGTTGTTTTGTTAAGTTCATAAGAGAATTAGCCATAGAAGCAGATCCGATTTAATTATAAAATGTGCTGTTTGTCCAAGGTGCTGCTGTGCCTGTGCTTTCTTAATCACGATTTTGTCGTCTGCAGGAATGTATGCGAGTGCATGTGCGCATATAAATTATCACGCCATGATGTTCGACCCTGTCACCGTTTCATCAATTATGAGACCTATCGAGTGCGATAGCTCATTCATTTCTATTGCATAATGCATATATGCTGTAGTTGAGTATATCACATGGAAAGCAGCAATGCGACAAATTTGGCGACAGCATCACAAGTCAACACGAACACCAGCAGTCATGTTAGGTTACGGAAGGGGAGTGCTGTACTCACCACAAAGTTCCTGCTGATACTTCTTTACTAATGCAAAAAGTCTTGTTCTCTGTACAGCGAACATTTAAAACGTGAAAGCTCTGACCCGGTAACCACTTCACCGATACAACATCAACATGAAAATATCACACCTCAGGCAGACCGCCCTACCCCCAGCATGAGCTGCGGTCAAAAGGTCAGATAACCTCGACTGTCTAGACAGCTGAACGACAGTTCCATGTACGCGTGCCCCCGTCTCCGCATGAGGACGACCCCGTGCGTGCCGCGCGGGGCGGGGCGCACGCGTAGCTGAGCGACATTGAGCGGCGCAGCGCCCGAGGGGTGAGGTGGGGGGGGGGGGGGCAGAGGAGGAGGTGGAGGGAGGGAGCGCCGCCCAGAGCATGGCTCGTGTCACAACGAGGTCCGGACAATGTTATGTCCATTGTAAACCTACACGAGGCGTCAAGCGAGTTTTGATGAGCAAATCTGCACGACTTTTCGACAGAAATACAGAAAACGACGTATGCTGGGACAATTTCAGTAATCAGTAGCATTTCATGGATTTATTGATTAATCTTACATATTTACAATTTATTGTTCAAAAAATATAACTCAATTCCAGCCGTCATGTCACCGATGACAGAAGGGGGTGCCGGAAGGCAGCACGTAGAGCTATGAATTGTCAGTTTAGTGCCACACTGCCGGATGGGGATAAGGACGACTCACGGCAACCCTAATTACCAGACTAAGTGCCGCTAAACATTTTGCCGTACCAAATCAACAGCCCAACAGACATCAAACACACCCGACCTCACCGCACTTAATCAGCGTCTTGCACTCAGATTTCAGAGCTGGGAGGCCATTTCGATTCCAGTTACACCTGCAGATAGTAATGGCCGAGCCTGAAGCCGTCGATTGCGACGCTTCACCAATCTCGGCCGGGATATATTTGACTCGTGATAAATGACCCCTGGAGCCTCCGACGGACCAACTTCGCGTTCGGCCCACCCACACCTTCCTGAGGCGCAGGTGAAACAAATGACGGCGATTTCGCCCCCGTAGATGATTATTGTGCGATATTTCATCACCTATAATAATCGCAGGTGCACAAAAGGCTATAAAGCTAAGCGGAAACGGAAAATGACTCTGCCAGCTAATACCATAATCCGCTCCTGATTTAGTCTAAGGATGCTGACATCTTACTATAGCAGACACCACGAGGAGCGAAGTCGGCGATCGGCTTCGAACTGTCGCCGATAAAAAATGTGACCGAGACGTGAGTTGAATCGCGCCGTCTACATTCCGTCGAATTGACTGGCAATTGGAGTGCCCCACCTAGACCGTCCGGCAGGTTCCGAGGCGTAACGAGATTTCAGAGTTTGTCGACGCTCACCCAGCGGACTGAGAATGCCAGGTAGTTACGTAAGGTCGATAGAAACTTTGATGTGAGTGGTATATTTCAATTTGTAGCTACTTTACATATGTAACGATGCAGTCTAAAAGGCTACCAGGAAACGTAAAAAATCAGATTAGAAAACATGTATGCCAATGCATCGACTAGCATCGCAATGCACAGAAGGCAAAGCTGTTTACAATTTAAGTCTTGCGGATACCGGATAAAAGCAATTAAGGCTCAGGTTATAAGACCATACGTGTTCCCTCTCTATCAATCTTCACCCAAAGTCGATCATACCGATTCCCTATGATGTATATTGTCACATTAAACATGTCATCACCGCTCCAAAGCTCGTCGTCTGTACACGTTTGGACGACGCTTCTGGACGCCTGAGTGGCCACAAGAACAACTTCAGGAAGATATGGTGCGCCTGGCGGGCGGTACTAGGGCACACAGCACGCGCTATAACAGTGGGCCGTGCCCCGCGCCGGCCGGGCCCCAGGGGCCAGTCTCTATACTCGGCTCGGTAACAGGGGTCAGCGGCGGTGGCACACACACAGTGGGAGAACCCTAAGGCGTTTGTTGTTCGTGGGAAGTGACTCTGGTCGCTCGTCGTCTCACTAGACTGCCGCCATTGCAGGCGAAGTGAGACCCACCCCCTTCACCGACCCATTGCCTCCGGCAGTGTCCCCGGCGCCTAAATTCACTGACGGTGCTTCTATCATCTGCTCAATCACTATGGAGCGCCGACCAATCACTACCACCGGTATCACACCAACGGGGTCAGGCAGCTGCGACACCGCGGCCCGTCCCCCGGAGCCCTTCTGGCGTACTCAGCCCCTACCTGACACTGGAATCAATACACTGCCGACCGGCGAGATACAGCTCACCTGACCACCATCCGCAGCCCGACCCGAAATAGTGGCCTCATCAAATAATCAGCGCGCTACACTCACGAGAGATGGCTGAGCGCACATCACAGAGCCTCATATGCCGGACGTCACCGCTCACTGTGATGACGTCACTAGCGGATGTGACGTCACTGTTGATAACCCGTGCCGCGAGACCGCTCGATAAATCCCCGCGTGACGTCACAGCATATAATGACGTAATAGTCTACATCGCGTAACAGTGACTTCCTTCATTAAGTTCGTTGATAGCCGTTCTGGCACCATCAAACAATCGGCCAAAAGCCGAGTTGCAACAAAATTCTCACCGCTGATGGAATTAAACATTCCTCAGTGTTGCTAACGACTCCATCCTAACAATCACATCCCTCGGATCACCTCCTGCTCCTACGCTCCCCGCCTATCATTCCGCCCTGGCTGTCTCCACCAGCCGGCGCACCACCACAGCCGACTCAGTGTGTGCGCTCTGCTCGGTCAAATCGGTCGCCTCTGCGCCTGCGCGGCGACACGCCACGCCCACTGACCCGAGGTCGTAGAGGCCGGGCCGGGTGACGGCGGCGGCCAGCGGCAGCCGCGCAGAGCCGCCGGCCGCGACAGTCACGTGCGGGTGGGTGCGACCCACCCAGACCAGGTCTGAGGAGATGTGGGACGAGTACGGCAGCGAGCGGCGAGACGACGAGCTGCGGGCGCAGAGAGACGGGCGGGGTCAGGCCAGAGGTCACCAGGGGTCAGCGCGGTTCAGCACAGGTCAGGAGAATGTCAGTGCAGGTCAGACAGTGTCCATTATACGAGTATGTCAATGTCAATGCAGGTTCGGGTCGAACACCGAGCACAAGTCAAATCAGGTAAAAGCAGGCAACAAGATAGAAAGGTCACGACAGGTCATGTAGATTACCAGCAGTCAGGGAAAATCAGCATGTATTTGGGAGGCGAAAACAGATAAGCAGAGGTCGGTCAGCACAGAGATTAGTGAAGCGCGGGGAAAATCAGTCAAGATCAGGAGACAGTCAACAATCTGATTCAATCGATTTGTTCGAATCCAAGCATGTGACTAGATACATTTCGCCGCTGAGTCTAACGCATCAATTCATTTTATGGATGTCTGATTAAATCCATTGAATGCTTCTGATACCCCCGATCCGGACTAAACGCCATTCCAATCTACCGTAAGTCTATATTCGTGACCAAATGGATAGTTCACACACTTCATTGCGTGCAATTATGGTTCAAATTAAAGCTTGGGAAACATTCACGTAATTGATGAATTGAGATCAAAGACTTACGACTGTAAGCGATTGAATCAAATAACTTTTCCAATGATTATTGAATGATGATGTGATTACTTCCATAAGAATCCTACAAAAGTTTGGACATCAGAGGTAAACCTGTCAGCCACGTGTGAGAGCACGTGTCACAAGACTGGACATCCCGGTCTACCACGCGGTCGCCACGTGACTCCTTGTTACTGGCCGAGACACGTGGAAGGCCAGATCCGTAACAGAGAACATAACGAGGTCGACCGCGGTCAGAGATTACAGACCGAAGCCGACCAAAATACACCGAAACAGACGGCCAAAAACACAACACTGGACCACCGCAAGGCAACAGAAACATCTCATCGCGGGAACAGCCTACGTCATCATATTCATGAAATGCTTATTCTGGGCGCTCGTTGCATAAGTTCATTACATGCAGTCTTTGATTTGAATATTTTGCAGCTAAGTGATGACATTCAGTCCATCAAAGCGTGAGCTAATCAAAGGCCGGCGACCCCGGACCTCGGGTGATGGTCCGACGCCGTCTGCTCGGTCCAATGGGGCCCATTTTCCACCCCGGTAGGTACCGCCCGGGTCACACGCTGACGAACGGAGCTTTGATCTGGCGCCGAGCCAAGTTTTCCAATTAACGCCACCTCCGCAGAGGCTGCCGATGGACGGAGGGAGGGGTCACCGGGAGAGGCGCTCGTCCGCCGCTATTTGTCCACCTAACGACCCAATCTGACCGGGGGGGTCGGGGGTCGGCACGCCGACCGAAATCCAATTAGAGCCGGGGCGTCCGGGCCGCGCACAAAAACGCTCCGCCCGCGCTGTCCCGCCGGGCGACGGCTACAAAACGGACGGTGCCGCGCCGGCCAATTTGGTGCGGCCGGCCGGCGCTTTTTCAGAGTTCTGGAAAAGGGTTTCGTCGTCGACGAAGACAAAGTGAACGAGCCCGTCTGCCGACTGGGGTGTGAGGTCGCTCGAGGATATGTTGTGTAAGGACACGGGATCGAACTCTAATGATTTGCGTGTCTCGACAACAAGCCAACATCAATCGAATATTTAATCGCTCTGAAGCCAGCCTGTTGCCACTTAGTCCGCACCATTTCCATGGCCTGTGGAGCGATCTATACGAAATGAGACCCAGTTCTGCCCAGAATAGCACGACCAGCCACGACATTCGCGAGGTCCGCAGGCGACTGTTTGGACAAACCCACAATTAGCGAGGTGTTATGAACAGGGATGCGGAGCCGTGGAAATTTCAAACGGCTCCGGCTCCGGCTCCGGCTCCGGAGAAAAAAATCGGCTCCGGCTCCGGCTCCGGCTCCGGGTGAAATGTTATGGCGGCTCCGGCTCCGGCTCCGGCTCCGAGTAAAATGGTCCGGCTCCGGCGGCTCCGGCTCCGACTTAGTACATCCCCTATGCAATCAATTAAATACGGGTGGAAGAAAAATTGGATTGGTTATACGCGTTACCTACTCTTGCCATGACCGGCTCACCGCACTCCCCGCGCAAACGCACCTCGGAGAGCACTGGCAGAACAAAGGACTAGGAAGCGATGGCATTGGAAACGCAGTCGCCGCGAATCGGAGTTCACTGAACCATCGTAAGCTGACACCCATCTCGGCTGCATTGGGGGGGTGGGGGTGAGGGGTGGGGGTGGGGGTGGGGGTGGGGGGTGGGTGGGAAGAGACGGCGCTGGGAGTCGCAGTCCACTGCACTGGCTTCAAAACAATGGCCGTCACCTGATGACCGGTCCTCATGTTCTGGGGATGCAGTAGACGTGAGGGGGGAGGAGCAGACAGGAAGCTGAATGCGTACTGTGGGATACTGGGGATATTCGGCTTTTCATTCAATTGATGGCCCATGACGTACTATTGGTCTCAAGATAAGGGCCCAGGCGACCTGTAGTTTTGATGCGGTGAATACCCTTACCCTCGCCACAACTCGGGCCGAGTGCACCCCTCCTCCCAGCCAGCGCCACCCCCACTCGCATTGTGGCGAGGGTGAGGGTATTCACCGCATCAAAACTACAGGTCGCCTGGGCACTTATATTGAGACCAATAGTACGATATGTTTTACTGCCTTGTACTGTCAAACCGAACTAGGTCAATTATTTTTTCCTCTTCAAAAAATAAAAAGGAGCCGGAGTCGCCCCCTTTTTTGGCGGCTCCGGCTCCGGCTCCGGCTCCGGGCTATATTGTTTCACGGCTCCGGCTCCGGCTCCGGCTCCGGGCAAAATATGCCGGCTCCGGCGGCTCCGGCTCCGACTCCGGCTCCGGCTCCGCATCCCTGGTTATGAATGCTGCCATCGATCCAACAGGCCAGAGGGCGTAATGAACGCTGCTAATACGACCGGCGGCTATTGTCACGGCGGTCCGCAGGGTCCCAGCGCAGCGAGCTTCCAATGCAGCCACTGAAAGGCCGCAAACACTCGGCTCTAAAACGCCCGGCAGTGGAACACCCACTGGCATTTCGACGTTCGCTCGGACGCCGCTCGACGACTCTGAATGGTCACCAGCCACGCGAGGTCAGCGTTTGGCCATCGGCTGATGGCTCAGTCGTCAGAGGCCGGCAGGGGCGACAAAGATATCCTATCGGCGGTATCCCCTCCCGGGCCCACCGGCCTAGGGCAGATCCGGCTGGTGAGGGGATTAACCGATGGCTACGCCCGAAGTCTAACCCGTAGGGTGTATTGCTCAGTGGCAGATATTGCGGGAAAAACACCAGAAACTGTTTCGGATGGGTTAATGGATGTCGTTAACTGATGAGCTTGCCTTCAAGTAGCAACCAATCAGCATACATTCTTATAAGCTGGAAACCCACGGCAGAAAGAAATCCACTAGCCCCCAGGATCTGTGAGTACCTACAACAACCATCTACACGGTTGTTCCACATCAAATGATTTTTCCGCCCCTACAGCCGGCCATTCCCGGCACGGCGGTACGTGTATTTTGGCGGCGACTCGGTGTCGGGGGCCGATCACACGCCGCCGAGCTGTTTACCAGCCACAAAACACGGTCATTATTCAGCCAGCCGCCAGTGCAGAACGGCAATGACATTCCTCGGCGCCGCGCCGGTCGAAAACTGACGACTGCCGCGGCGCCGCTCCCGTCGGTCCCACATCGCTCCCGTCCTGCTGAGACTGGGAACGGAATTGGGACTGGGACTGGAGAGGGAATAATATCCCCGCCCGAGTCAGGAGAATGACCGCAGTTCCTCCCCAGAGGCCTGCCCGCGGCACGTGGGTGAGCTCTCCGCTGCCGCAGACGGCCGCAGTCGTAAGACCGCCCTCCCGCCATCAGACACGCGAAACTGGGCGGTAAAGTTGCTGCCCGAATACAAGGTGTGAGTTATTCATAGGGCTTCTGATAACGCTGTGAAAATATTAAATAACACTATGAAGCGTTCCTCATCTAAGCACGGTCCATTTACTACAAAAGTTTTCGAAGCATCCTGGTTTTATGGATGACGAAATAGCGAAATATACTAGGCATCTCGCGAACTTTGCGGAGGGTGGATTTGACAAGGCCGACTACTTTGTATTTTTAATCTTCTTTTCCCGGCACTCCCATATAAAATGTCAAGACTTCGGCTCTTGAACTTTTCTATTATCCTTTACCTCCCAGCTTTCTCCGAACCTGAAAAGCTTCGACCATCGTATATATCGAGTTTCGCTCATTTTTAACCTCGGCTGTTCTAGCTGCCATCGCTGTTATTTTCGAGGTTCCGCCGCACCGCCTCGGCAGCTGCCGCGGTACACCGTCCATCTTGAGCAGCTGTTAGAACACACTGCTACACCTCAGCAGCTGTTACAGTATATCAGCCCACGTCAGCGGCCGCCAGAGCCCACCGCTAGCACCTGCCACAATACACTACCCAGCCTGAACGGCACAGCGCCTGACCTCAACGGCTGACACAGCCCACCATTCCACCTATGACCTAACAAGCAGTAATATCAATAGAAAAACACAATTCTAGCGAAAAGCGTTTACAAACAACCTGCGGTTATAGTTCGCCGTCCGACCCCGGTAGCTGCCACAATACCACAATCCACAACTCCAACTTTGCTACCCACCAGACTACCGCCCCACCTCAACAATTACCACAGCCCCTCGTACCGCCCCTGGCACTATCATCCCACAGGCGTCAGTCCGATACCGGCCGGCGGTGACGGCCAAATCAGCCGCGTCCATGCAGCGTGGCACACAGACCGGCCTCCATAGGCACGGGACGACGTGCGCCGCCTCCGGAACAGAGGTGTACCGGCCAATTGGGTTGGGAGCGGGAAGATGTCAGTCGGGTGTCAGACGGAACGAGGAGGACAGGGAAAGTGTGATGTGGCGAAAAAAAGTAGGAGGAAAAGACGAGACATGGCAGGTCGGAAAAAGCAATGATAGGTTGCGAAATGACAGGGCAAG